GTTGAAAGCATCTAAGTAGTAAGCCCACCTCAAGATGAGTGTTCTCTTATTCCGACTTCCTAACATACTTATGTATAGCACACCTACAAGTAGAAATAAATAATATATGATTTTATTTTGTTGCAGAAATAGATAAAAATAAACAAGAACACCAAAAAACTATAAACCCAGTTTGATTAGGATAATCTATGCCTTGGAGCGGCTAAATCAGGTTTGTCTACCGGCTAAATCAGGTTTCAAAAAGAAATTTTTGGAGAAGTATTTTCCGGCATCGCGGGCGGCGATATTATGCAAGGAAATTTGCGGAATCAAGCAACAACAATGAGAGACGTTGCATGAATACCTAGAGAGGTTCAACAGGCTTTGTGCACGATGCCCATAACACTAAATTACTAACCAACTTTTGTTTCAATACTTTTATGAAGGACTGGGTATGCGAGACCGGAACAATATTGATGCCGCTAGCCAAGGAGCACTGGCGGATAAAATCCCGAAAGCTGTATGGGAGTTGATCACAAGGATGACAAAGAGTTCACAACAAGTCGGACCAGATGAGTCGAATATTCGGAAGGTAACGATTCTATTCGACAACAAATTTTTGAACTTACAAAAGTTGTTCATCAATTGACTGCAGGAAACACGCGCCATTTGAAAGTGTGTGGAATTTGCATGAGCCCGGAGCATGCCACCGATGCATGCCCTATCCTGCATGAGGACAGTTATGTCGATGTGAATAGCCGGTTTTGGCCAACCAAGGCGTCCACAATTTGATCTCTATTCAAACAACAACAATCCAGGGTGGAAGGATCATCCGAATCTCAGGTATGAAAATTCACACCGTCAAGGGTTCTTCCACAAGCACCTCCGCAACAATTTGCCCAACCTCCACCACTGCCTTCCAAATCCAACACTTCACTGGAGGAAATGATGAAGACCATAGCCGCCAACACAACCCAATTCCAGCAAGATACAAGAGCGAGCATTCAAAATCTTGAATCTCATGTGGAGCAAATAGCGGCGGATCTTCGCCATGTTAAAGAAAGGGAGACGGGGAAATGGCCATCGCAACCGGAAAGGAATCCTAAAAATGTTAGCGCCATGACTTTACGAACTGGAAATATAGTAGGAGCTCCAGAACCAATCATTCCGAAGGACAAAAATGAAAGCACAATCGAAAAAGAAATTGAGAAGGAGGATGCAAAAAAAAATATATAATTGATGAAACTATCACCAATTGAATACTAATTTTACCCATTTTCCTTCAAGGTTGGCAAAGCCGAAAAAGCCAAAAAGGGAGAATGAAGTTTTGAAGATATTTCAGAAGGTAGAGCTCAATATACCGTTGTTGGATGCAATCCACCAAATTCCCAAGTACGTGAAGTTCTTAAAGAAATTGTATACCAAAAAACGGAAGTTAAAGGGCGACGAATGTATCATCGCAAACGAAAATGTGTCAGCCCTCCTCCAAAGAAAGATTCCACTGAAGTGTGGAGACCCGGGTATGTTCACAATCCCATTAAAATATGGCACATAAAAAAAGTCCTTGAACCAAACAACCCCTTAATTGTGGAGGACACTTTGGTCCCCAACAAACGGCAAGGAAGGTTTTGGACAACGGGTTCTATTGGCCAACATTGTTCAAGGATGTACACACATTTTGCAAGTCATGCGACAATTTCCAACGTGTAGGTAATCTTTCCTCACGAGTCGAGATGTCTCAAGTACCAATGTTATTTGTTGAAATTTTTACGTATGTGGTATCGACTTTATGGGCCCATTTCCAATGTCTCATGGATTTTCATATATCATTCTCGCCGTTGATTATGTTTCGAAATGGGTGGAAGCAAAAGCAACCCGGACTAACGATTCTAAAATGGTTGCAGATTTTATTAAGTCAACCATATTCACCAAGTTTGGAATGCCTAGGGCTATGGTGAGTAGTAGGGGAATCAACTTTTGCAACATGACCATCGCCTCTCTCTTCAAGAAGTATGGCGTTTGTACAAAGTTTCGACCTCATACCATCCTCAGACAAATGGTCAACCGAAGGTGTCAAATCGAGAAATCAAGTCTATTTTTGAAAAGACTGTTCGACCGGATAGGAATGACTGAAATCTCCGCCTCCTGAATGCACTATAGCATGTGTTGTTAGTTTATGTATTGTATTTGTATTATATTAACATATACAATATGTTGTCTGTAGTAATATTATGTAATGTTGACACTATATCGTGTGTTTTTATTCATGTGTTGCAATTGTATTATATTAACATATACTATGTGTTGTGTGTTGTCTAATAGCACACAATGTGTTGTTCAGTACAACCATGGCCTTATCAATGACTCTGTTTCTTTAGCAAATTAAATTTTTTCGAATTTTACTATTTGAACTCTGCATTTCTAAAAAAAAATAATATATTTTTTTCTCTCACAAAATATTTCATCAAATATTATTTTTATACCAAACATAAACCAATTTTTTTCCAAACTCATCGAAAAAAATACACCTTAAGTATAAGATAATTCAATTCATGCTTCAATTCAATGATTAAAATGATAAATATACAGAATTAAAAATAAAATAAAATAAAAAAGCATTTATATACTCCTAAAAATGTCAATGCAATCTAAGGAATGTTCTAAAGTGCATTGCATTGTGGTTTTAGTACTTGTTACCAACCACCTAGGTTGTGTTGTGCTTGTCATGTCAAAAATGGCTTATCAGAAATGATTCCATGTACAAAATTAGTATTAACAAGTCCTCTCGTATTATTATTATTATTTTTTCCGTCTCAATATAATAATTTTGTTTATTATTTTTATTCGTCTCAAAACAATAATCTTATTTTTATAAATAACCATATTACCATAAAACTATCCCCATTTTTTCATTTTTGTTACACAATTGTCACTACTTTTTACACTAATACACTCACAGGAGCAAAAAAAATTTTTATCTATATTTTTTACCAACTATCCATATAATATCAATATTCTTTAAATTTTGTACCAAATCTAATTAAAACTATATTTATGGGACCGCTGACGTATTATTATTATTATTATTATTATTATTATTATTATTATTAATGCGTTTGTGTTTGTGAAAGACGCTTTCCACCGTTTTCCTTTTCATTCATTTCCCCGTCTCCATTTGGCACTTAAGACGACCAAATATGAGGTGCAAACACACACCGTATAAAACTGTATCACAATCATAATACATCATTCATGACCGTACATATTCTTTTTAACATCCCATCACAAATTATTATTATTATTATTATTATTTTTCCTCAGCATCACATGACAAATCATTTTTTTTTTATTTCATAGCAAATTTATTCATTCTAAATATAATTAATCAATATAATTTAATTTAATTTAATTTAATTTTTATATACATATGACTCACTCATAGAGGAGGATGCAGGTAAGGGTCTTGAGAGACTGCAAAACATCCATATTTCTCTTCAATAAAAGAAAAATAATTTTTTTTAATTTAATTTTAAAAAAATTATTTTTTTATAAAATTAATTTAAATTAATTATAGATAAATAAATATATATTTATTCATTTATTTTTATTATATAAAACTATAAAATAATATTCATATTGTATATATTTTATTATATATAATACTAAACATATTTTAATTTTTTAATAATATATACTAATTCATATTTAACAACATTATCTATATAAAAATAATATTATAATTTATTATTAATACTTTAGTAATCTATACTATTTAAATAATTGTGTCCAAAACAAATAGATCATCTGTTCGGAAACAGAAAAAATATAATACCGTTAATTTATGTTATATAAAATTTAATGGTAAATACTAATATTGACACAACTAATTGTAAATAATTTATATCTAAAATAAAAGTAAGTACTCTCCTATCCTGCAAATTTTTGTAAGTTTTCTTTGGACAAAGGAAACTAAAAATAATACTCCATTGGCCTCACTTAAAGTCTCCAGGTTAATAAAAATAATTAAATATTTCAATTAAAATTAAAAAAATATAAATTATAAAATTTAAAATATGATTAAAGTATAAAATTATATTTCTAAAATAACAAAGGACAAATTATATAGACGGACAAATATAGAAAAAATAGACTCTTTATGTGGGACGGAGAAAATATTATTTTAATATAAAATTAATGTAATTAAAAATTAAATTAAGACTATTATAAAAAAAATATTAAATATACATATCAGAAAAATAGAGTACATAAATTTATTTATTTAAGAGATATATAGAAATAAATTTTACTTAAAAAAAAATAGAATAATATTATAGTCATTGTTATTTTAGTGTGTCCAAAATATTTATACTTTCCACATAATAATAATAATAATAATAATAATTAATAATTAATAATAAAACCTTTATACTATATTATTATAAAAATAACATCATTATTATTCAATTAATTTGTTTATTTAAAGTAAATTTTAATTTTTTATTCTTTTGTTGTATTGTTTATATATAAAATATTAATATTTTAAATATAGTACAAAATTTAAACGGGTAAATATTACTTGTTAAAAGCACAGTGACATACGCCAAAAATACTCTAAATTATATCTCAAACATTTAGAATAATAATTAGAGGTTATTCCCACCGTGTTATATAAAATATATTTTGCTTAGTTGACATTAAAAAACAGTAAAATAAAAATTGCAAAGTAACTTTCAACATATAGACCCGGAAAGCCAACAATTGCAGCTCACCAAACACCGGAAATTAAAATAAATTAAATTAATTAAAAAATTTATTACTACGATTTACGACCAAACACGGTGTATGGTCAACCAATATTTGCAACGCCTGACTTGGCCTTCATTTTCAGTTTCTTATTAATTTTATTTATTTATTTATTTTAGATAATTCTGTAAAAAGAAAATGCGCACGTACACGCGTAACAGTGGTCGATCGGCACCCGCGCGGCGGTCTATATATATATAATAGCACGCCCATTTTGCGAGCTCTTCAAGCTCAGAGAGATAAGGAGAGAGAGAGCGCGGAAAAATGGAGAACTGGAAGAATGTTCTGCACATTTTCGTTACGGTGTTCCTCTCGAATTTCGCCTCGTTGCTTGTGAATCCGACGATTGCGGATGTGACGATGGAAGCCGTCTGCCCTGGGAAAGACGAATGCTCGCTCGCTATTTACCTAACCGGCTTCCAGCAGGCGGTAAGTCTGTCTCCTCTCGGCGTTTAATTACTGATTTCAGTTTGCAAAAATTGAATAAATCACACACAAGCGCATTTCTGATTTCAATCGGTGCAAATGTTAGAGATACATCTATGTATATACTGTGCGAGTGTGCGTATGAGTTCAGTATAACCGCCATCGGCGGCGGTTTCGCGCGGTGCACGGTTTTAGGAACATTTATGTAAATCCTCTGTCTCTCTGTCTAATCACTGCGTTTGATTACCGATTTCAGTTTGCAAAATTGAATAAATCACACACAGTGCATTTCTGATTTCAGTCAGTGGTAATGTTAGAGATACGTCTACGGATATACCGTGCGAGTGTGCGTATGAGTTCAGTATAATCGCCATCGGCGGCGGTTTGGCGTGGTGCACGGTTTTAGGAACATTTATGTAAATCCTCACTCCGTTGCTATTAGGGCTAAATTTGCATACCTAAGTAAAATAGTTAAAATATTATGAACCTTTACTAGATACCAATGATTAATGATGTTCGTTCGTTTAATTTCACCTGTTTGAACTGTTACGCAGCTATGATCGAAATAAACGTGCCAGGATCAAAACATTCAATTTTGTTAAGGCAGTCCATGCATCGAGTTTGTTAATTAATTATGTCAACTTTTGCTATGATTTAAATGAGTTGGTTGGGACTCATTCTCATATATATGTTGATTTCGTACGAATTAATATATAAACAAAGAGTTGAATTGCTTCCCTCCATGATCTCCTTTTTCTGTTTGAAGTTTCAATATGTTTATATACTATATTATATGCATTATATAAATAATATATGCAGATTTTGGTTATATGATTCTAAGTGCTTTGGCTTCAAATGCGTTTTAAGGCAGTCAACGTTTTACCATAGTTGTGAATAGCACGTTAATGCATTCTGCGATGCCGCATCTATGCAATAGCAGTAAAAACTCTCTAGAGTATGATTATTCGTGGGATTTGATTTTCGATTATACTATTTCAATTATTTTTCTTTCTGAAAATATTAAATTAAATGCTTATTTTTTGTTTATTATATTATACTAAAATTAAATTTTACATTCAAAATACCATGTCGATACATATTTATATTATATCAAATAATTATTTCAATCAAAAATTTTACTATTTAAAACCAAATCCTAAAATCAAAATCTGACAAGAAAACATACTGTTATGTTTGTTTTTACATATAAGACTATGTATTTAGTAGGACAAAATGAAAGATTATGAACATGAAGAAGAAGGTAATGTAATGGTTTGTTTGGTTTTGATTTCAAAACCAAAATCTTACTATTTGTATAGTACTATTCTCGATAAAAATTTATTATTTTTTCTCATAAAATATCACATCAAAATAATATTAAATCAAAATTCAACACATAAAGCGGAGAATATCTATATAAAAGTAAGTGATAACTAATGATAGATGCTGAACTTTTGTATGTACTGAGCTTCAGTATGAAAATGAAATACCTCAGTACAAAATTTCTAACCAATATTGTACCAAAAATCTACAATATAGTATGATAGCATAAAAAATAAAAATTTACATTAGAGCTTCTTCAATGAATGACATATATGGAGGAATACTTTATTTCTGGAGGAAAAATTCTCCAACGGTCTTCATTATTTGCTCCAGTTTTAGAGCGAGCTATCTATAGTGTTTCTTAAAAAAATGAACAAATGTTATTTTTTTGCAGTTTGATCCTTAAAGTTTTGAGTTTTATATATTTTATATTTTTGATTTATTTTTTATTTTTTATATTATTTTATAAAGTATAAATTAGAAGTAAATATTCATATTGTAATAAATGTGTGTTATTATTATAATATTACATAAAATAAAATAAATTATTATTATATTACACACGAATATTAAAACATAAAAGTTAAATAAACTACAAGTACAAATATTTATAAATATTAAAAAATTGTAAATTCTTTTTCTTTCATATTTTTAAATCATAAAATATTTAGCACAAAATATACTCAAATTATTATTATTATTATTATTATTATTATTATTTTAAAATATACATATATTGTAGAATTTTAATTTAAGAAAAAATATTTTTGGGATTAATATATAAATAAATAAAAGTTGAATAAAGATTACTTAATTGTTTAAAATAGAGACTATATGAAATATTCTTTTTAGAAAAAAAAAAGAAACTTGAAATTGAGTTAAAATTTAGAAGAGAAATTGAAAAAAACAATATTGAAAAAAATAAATTACTCACCGAAAATATAATATTTTTTTATATTTGAAAGTACTGGAAGTTTGAATCTATACCATAACCTCATAGTAACGAGTCCACTGCACATCACCAAATTATTTTTCACGGGGCTAGATAATAATAATAATAATTATTATTATTATTATTAACTTTTGTCTTTGAGTTACGACTTCACATATCATGTCAATTTTGGATTGGAACTCGAAAAGTGTGTTTGTTTGTAGGTTTTAGTTTTTGGGTTTGAATTTGAATTTTTAATAGTAAAAAATTGAATTTGAATAATTATTTGATGCTATATAAATAAAGTGTGATGTGATATTTTAAATATAAAATAAATTTTTAGTATAATATAAAAAAATATTTGATGTGATATTTTTAAAATAAAAAAAAAAAATTCTGAATAGTGTAAAATTCACAAAAGAATAAAACCTTCGTTTTCTTTGGATGTGAGACTTGGTACGATTTTGTACAAGTCGTTGAGATTATTGAATCTGAGAATTCAAGCTCCAACTTAGGCGAGACATTATTATGACGTTTACTTGGATAAGTATGTTTGATCTACTTGTAGTGTACTTCAGCACACACTTTTATTATACTAATAAATTACTCGGATTGAATAAAGGGTGGTGCTACAAATTAAAATATATATTTTATTTTTTTGTTATGCTTACATATATGATATTCTATCCTAATATTTTTTTATTCTTACCTAACTCAATCATATTGTTTTATACCTTAGAATAAATATTGTTCCTTCTGGTTGGTGTTCCAGAATTATTTCTTAGGGGTGGCAAAATTGAATCCTATTTGAAAATATAAATCCAACTTGAAAATTTTTACATTTGGATTTAAATTTTTTGGGTTTTTAATAAATCAGATAATTGAATATATATATATATATATATAAAACGATAAATCAGATAATTGAATATAAAAAAGAAAACGATAAATCAGAACATCGTTCACATTGAAATTCAATTTTGAAAGTTGGCTTAATCTAAATTAAATTAAATTTATAATTATAACTAATATTTTATTTCTTTGATTTCAGATTAAATTATATTAATAAATAAATAAATAAATACTAAAAAATTATATAATATTATATTATTATTTAAAAATTTTAATCAAAGGAAAGTACCTAAAAAAAACTTTCTATTCTCATTTTAATATGCCTAATCCTTGTCCTTCGTCATCTTCTTCTTTATCTTTTTCTTAATAATTTGTTTAATGTTAACTTATTATCTTTTTTATGTGGGTAATTTTTCATTTTTCATTTAATATTTTTAATATAATATAATTATTTCAGGTTTTCAAGTTTTTTTTTTTCTTTTTGGCATTGATTTTGATAATTTTCAGATATATTTAGTATTGGGTTTTGTTTATATTATTGGAGGTTCTAAAATAAAAATAAAAATAAAATTGACTTGTACCTGTTTCGAAAGAATTTCTGAAATATTTGGTTGAAAATTGGATTCGGGCATATTAGAATTTGCATATTTTATTTTATTTTGTTATATTCATAGCTGTAGTAATTTGTAAATTGCTTGTAATGCTTATCTTTTATGTTCTTAATCTAACTGCAGGTTGGAGGATTGGGATCTGTATTTATGATGCCACTAATCGGTAATCTTTCTGATACCTATGGTCGAAAAGTTCTGCTCAATATTCCTTTGATCCTCGCCATCATTCCCACAGGTAACTATCATAGTAACTTAATTGTCAGTCTAATCGATTACGATCACAATGCACATAAAAAACATGTTATTGCAACCTCATTTCTCGACAATCTAGCTAACACTTGGGCCTCATACGAATGCAGCAACATTGGCTGTGAGCAGGACGACAGAATTCTTCTACGTATACTATGTTCTTAAAATTTTTACGGCCATGGTTACTGAAGGCGGCGTCATTTGCCTCTCCTCCGGTTACTTGGTAACTTTTTTTCACTTCTTATACTTACATTTTGTCCTCTTTGGAGTGATTTTGTGTAAACATTTCCCCGGCAGGCGGACAATGTATCAGAGGCGAACCGAGTTTCTGTATTTGGAATCATGGCCGGAGTTGTGTCTGCTGCAAATGTTTGCGGCACATTAGTTGCACGTTTACTGCCTACCGGAAGAATATTTCAGGTAATTTAGCTACCTTTAGAAAATTCAGAGATAAATCCTGTCGATTTTATATGCTGACATGATACAAACATTTTTTACAATTCAGGTCGCTGCAGCTGCGGCTGTTGCTGCCGCAGTTTACATGAGGATCTTCCTCCAGGAAAAGCCTCAAGAGGCTGATCCTTTGGAGCATCCAATTTTGAAATCAGCTACAGAGAACAATCAAGTCGAGAAGGAGGCGCTGACGAATGCAGATGTTATTAAGAAAATTTCATTGCCTAAGGCAATAATTCGGCTGCTCAGGAGCAGGTAGGGTGCTTCTAACAGTCCAGATAATGATCGAAAAGCAATTTTTACTCAAGTGTGAATCTCTTGCTTGCTTGCTTGCAGCTTTACTGTATCGCTAGCTTCCATTGTTGTCTTCTTCTGCAGCCTCGCCGATGCAGGAGTTCAAGCCTTCTTAATGGTATGTACTCTCCATTTTCGTAAAATTGTTTATAACTCTTTTGTAGTTCCGAAATTCAGTGTAAAATCTCTTTATATTTTAAAAATTGCATGATACCCCTTGTACTTTCAAAACTGTTGCATAAAACTCCACTACCATGAAAACTCTCTTGTAAGATGAGAGTATGTTTTGCATGACCGGGGATTTTATGCAATATTTTTGTATAAGGAGACACCATGATTTACGAATGATCAAACAAGAATAAATGATTAATAGGATAAAAAGAGAGTTTTAAAGAATGAGAATTCATGAAAAATATTTTTAGTAAATTTTTTAAAAAAAATTATAACTTATATACGATGTTTTTTAAGATTATATTTTAGTACAATTTCTTAAAATAACGTAAAAATTAAATACTTTGAAAATAAATTAAGTTTGTTTCTTGTAAAATTAAAAATAGAGAAATAAAAATGATTTATTTCTCAAGTTTCATTTATTGACTCAAACAAAAAAGAGAAATGATACCATTTTTATTTATCTGACCTCATTTATCTGTATCAAACACAAAGGCAATTATGGACAATTTTGCCATTTCCGCGTACAAATTGTGATTTGTGTTTCCTTGTGGAAGCTTGATGTTTGTTTGTTGATTGTAGTACTACTTGAAGGCGCGATTCCACTTCCAGAAAGATCAATTTGCAGACATACTCCTCATAACCTACATTGCCGCAACTGTATCAAATGTATGTGTTTACCCCCCTCTCTCTCTCTCTCTCTCCTTAGTAAGGGTGTGTTTGTTTGAAGGATTTTAGGGAAAATCCACTGCTCATACAAAAATTTTCTATCAAAAATATCAAATCAAAAATTTATTTTTTATTTTTTATATTATACAAAAAATTAATTTTTCATTCAAAATATTATATCAATACTTATTTATATCACATCATACAACTCTTCTTATTCAAATTTTTTACTATTCAAATCTCAATCCAAAATCCAAACCTCAAGACAAACACACCCTTTTTAAGTAATAATATCATTTGACAAAATGTGGAACTGTGCAGATGGTGGTAATGCCTGCCCTCAGCAAGTTCATGGCAGAGGAGACAATGCTTTGCATCGGACTTTTCGCAGGATTCCTCAATGTACATAGCAGTTCTTCACCAAAAATCGTAGCTTTACATGATCGACATCGATTATTATGACTTGGTTTTTGGTGTTGACGTGCAGATGCTATTTGACAGCATAGCGTGGGCGCCATGGGTACCGTATGCTTCAGCTTTGTTGGGGCTCATATGTTTCATGGCGGGTCCTAGCGTAAGTTGCAGTTCCCATCCCAGTTAATTAAAATTAGCGACAATTTTATTTAAGAAATTAGAAATCAAATTAAATGTAATTTTGCAGATAAGATGCATTATATCGAAAAAAGTAGGGCCTTACGAACAGGGGATTGCGCAAGGGTGTCTGATGGGGATTGCTGCATTGGCTAATGTGGTGTCTCCATTAATTTATAGTCCTCTCTCAGGTAACCAACCAACCTTAAAATTAAAGATAAATTGCACAAAATTTTATCCGCCATTTTACAAAATTGCGTCCGTACTTTAAAAACTGTGTCAAATTATTTCATAAACTTTGCATCTAACCCTCGACTTTTGTTTAACTTACACACGATTCAAACTGAGAAAGAATTTCAGAATACTAAATTTTAAACTCTTAAAATTATAAATATATTCATTTTTTTTTTATATTTAATAAAGAAAAATAGTTATTTATTTTGATATATTTATTAGTTCCTAAGGTTAAATAATAAGAATAATGAGTATTTTTATAATTTCAATCGTTTACAAATGAAGATTTTATAGGTTAAATAAGGATAATCTAGTGAGTTAGAAGTAAAATTTGCGAAATGGAGTTTGACCGGCAATTTTGAAAATACAGGAGATTTTGCGCAATTTTGTAAAATTAATTCTATTCACAAGTACAAAATAGGTTGATATTTGTGGGGGGTTTGTGTTGAATTGAATTGCATTGCAGCTTTATTTTTGTCGGATGGGGCTCCGTTCTACTTCCCCGGATTCAGTATGTTGTGCGTGGGGCTTGCCTGGGTAAGTATGATATGACGATGATTATATTTATTTTATATTTATATTTATATTTATATTTATTGGGCAAACTTAAAGAAATTTGATGATGATTGGGTGATGCAGTTAATAGCGTTCTTGCTGAGCACATTGATAAAGATTGGTCCAATTTTGTGGAAAGACAGATCCAGCGAGCCCTGCTTGTTGGCCTAAACATAGACCAACAACTCCAAAGAGCAGAGCAGAGAAGCCAGTCAATATTATTAATTAATTAATTAATTAATTAATTAAAAATGTACATTAGGGGCTGAGTGAGGGAGGCAAAGTAAGTCCGTCCGTCCGTCCGTCCGTCCTACAGTTTTGGAAGCTTTTTTATATTTGAAGCCGGGCATAAGATCTGCTTTTGGAATGCAGGCTGCTGCACAAGTTCGCTCGACTCAATTATGCATAAAAACTGTAAATACACTACACTACTTCATAAATGCATGCATGCATGCATACATATATAAACAAATTGTATTTATATAAATATATATCCTTTCATCTTGATATTTTTAGTTCATAATGTACAAACAATATATATATATATCGCAATATTAATATATATTTTGCTGTAAATGGCAGAGCCTGAGTTATATAGCCGAGAGACTGAAAGTTTCGTTGAGATTGAAAAATCATATAAGAATTGATCGAATTTTAATGGACAGATATCTATATAATTAGTAATATAATCAATATAATGGCGGAGACGACGACTCAGGGGCTCAGCACTGTATATGACTATGTGAAAAATCATTTTCACCCTTCACTTTATTTTTAAAATTTCTTGGTACCCTTCTATTCTAAACCCGATTTAGATCACACCTGAGGAGTGCAATATGAAAAATCAATTTGCTCCTGTTAAATCCAAACATGCACAAGAAAATTACAGTACAAGAAAATATCATTTCTGTAACAGAAGTTTTTTCGTCTTTAAATTTACTTTTTCCGTTACTAATGACATTAGAGACAGAATTTGGGATGAAATTACGTTAGCTATGTGAATTTTAGGAATGGAATTCCTTTACAAATATACAATTTTTTTGTAGTGAAAAAAATGTGATTTCACCATCGTGAAAAAGGGCAATTCTCTCTGCAAATTCGGCTTGTTTTGATCTATCCCAAGATAACCTTGTTTCCATCGGTACTAGTTGAATTCACTCATTTTCTTAACATGACTTGTAAGGTCATTGTGAAAAGAGATTTTGATGTTCTACTTTTGAAGTCTTCAATGTAGATTCTTGGACGTTCGTATTTGTCAAAAATATTGATAAGTTAAAACAATACTATCAACATCTTCCTGTTGCTTTACATCATCTTACTCAATATGTATTACTTTTCATTTCATTTAATTACTAAGTTGGAATATGAAATATGAATTGCCTAAAATTTTTATCCACTTTTCAATTCATATGTATATATATATATTTTAAATTCAGTCTAAGATAGTATAATGTGCTATATTGTTCCTGATATTATGGTTCGATGACACAAATATAAATTCCAGGCACACTGCTGAATTGTTGACTATACCAATTTTGATGACATGAAATATGTTGTAAATCACTTTATTTATTTGAATTGTAATATTAATTTTCTCGAAGCTCATCGTCCTTTGACACATTGTTATCTTGTTGATTTTTTAGTTCTCTATTTGATAAATAAAAAAGCATGATGATTCTCTTTCTCAAAAATAATTTTCTCATGCTTATATAAGGGTATGTGTAGTCTAGATATTAAAAAGAAATTTGTATTTTGAGTTGAACTCTGATTGGAACATTGAGTCTGTACTTATTTATACATATGTAAAATTTAGGTACATGAGTATGATAGCAGATGAGGTTATTCCATGAGCTATTCCAGCCCCAACTATGGGTATAGTGGCTGTAGTCAAAGGTAATATTTTGTAAGATTTATTATATATATATATATATATATATATATTGTTTTATTCACATGAACCTAACCAATTGTAAAAGAGACAGGAAAGGATAGATTTTGTTGTATAAATTTTATATTAGATGTTTCTTAAAGATTTTTCATTTGCTATTGTGAACCTAATGCTTGAGTGCTGCCTTAAAAGTACACCAAAATTACATTGGATGCTCCAGAGGTCATATTTAGATTGTTACTGAATTAGTTAGTATGACTTTGGTTCCTTTGTTATTGATGGCTCATGAAAAATAACATATCCTTACTAAATTTTAGTTTGTTGGCTCAATTGATGCATTGTTTGAATTGAATTACTTTAAATACACTATTCATTTCATTTTTTTTCTCCCAAAAACATCAAATTAAACACCTATTTTTTATTTTTTATATTATACTAAAAATCAATTTTACATTCAAAACATCACATCAACACTTATTTATATCACATCATACAGCTATTCAAATTCAAATTTTTTACTATTCAAATTCCAACTCAAAATCGAAACCCCCAAACAAACACACTCTAAAAGAACTCAAAATCCAAACCCCTAAACAAACACACTCTAAAAGAACTTTGGCTTGATTTTCTTAGCTAACAGTAATACATTAGAAATTTAAAATAGTTCTCATACGGGACTCGGTGTGCCGGATGCAAGTTTAATTCATGTATCATCAAAATTCATATGTTTTTATTTATTTTTTTTGATGACATAGAAACTTCGAAAATGCACGTTGGGTACCCGAATCTAATATCCTGCAAATTAGGACCGACAAGGCAAGTCACACTAGGCGAATTTGAACACATGACCCCACGATCACGAATCTACACCCACACCACCATGCCATCCCTTACGAGACAATTTATATGTTCTTTATCTTATAGAATCATGTTGTAGGTGCAACAATACTCAATGATCACACTAGCCATTCTCAAGTAGTTAAAAAAAAAAAAAAAAAAAAAAAAACTCTTTCATTCCATATATGGTATAAGTGATTTGATGGTTGAATTCATTCTTGCTGCATTTATTCAACTGTCCACGTCCAAGGAAGAGATTTAACATTCTTCGAGGTTCCATGCATGTCGTTGATTTGGCTGGAAGTGAGAAAGTCGACAAATACAAAGTAACTTGCGATAGACTAAAAGAGGCTCAACATATGAACAAATTCTCTTTAGCTGTTGTCGGTACCTTTGTGTTGAGATTATCCGCACTTTAACTTATATCCGATGCTAAGGCTATTCACTTCTATTTTTATGTTTGGTGCTCATGTTATGGAAAATGTTGCCTCATCGACTAAAAATTTAGGCCTTGAAATTACTCCGATACCCTTTCCAAAGAATGTAACTAACACAAACTGATAAAGACCTATTTGGTAGAGTTTTTTCGATGTAGGAAGTGGTAATGACTTGCTTCTTTAGGAGCTTGCTAAGCTAAGCAGAGGTATGAACAACTTCAGATATCTTGCTTCCAATCAATCATATATCAATATTTTCTTGTTAAAAGTTTGTTCAAAGATTTAGATGCCAATAACATAGTATATGCACATATATTATGCACTTCACATTCAAATGCTTAATACGGTATATTTTGCTTCTTGTAAAGAAACTGTCAATTACAAGAGTGTTTGTCTGTTATGTCTAATGTAAAATTGGTATTATTTTGAATTTATTTTTTGTTAGGGATGGCAACGGGGCGAATTCGAGACGGGTTCTGCAGGGCCCGGGCCCGTCCTGCTTGAAAATATTAGGTATCAAAACCCACTCCATCTCGCCCCGCTTCAGCTCAGAAAACTCTTTTTAAAAAATATATATAATTTGTTTTAACAATTTAATAATAATAATAATAAAGTAAGCATTAAAGCACCAAAAAAATTATAATTCTAAAAATTCAAACAATTAAATATGGGCGGTGGTCCAGAGTGATGGCGGTCGGAAATAGTAGTCCCGATTGCGAAGAGAAATGAGGAAAAAAACAAAAAGGAAGACAAATTTGATTTAAAGATTAAACTTCTATTTTATGTTAAAAATTATTTAAATAAATAAATAATTTATATTATATTATATAAAGATATAATACATATTAATTCTAATAATTATTTAAATATCCGGATTTGAGTCTAGGTTCGAGGTGGGATGAATTTTTAGTAAAACTAATAACCCGCCCCGAACCCGATCAGATTTAAAATTTAAAATCCACAATTCATCCCGAAATATATTTTTTAGACCCGAATTCGCTCCATTGAAAGTAGGTCCCGAACTAACCCACCCCACGTCTTTATTTCTTGTTATTGATTGCACATACAATTTCTTATGAATATTCTTACACTAGGACACCCTGTTAGGAATATATATATGTTTATTTAATATGAAAAAATAATAATGTACAATTTAGATATTCTGATTTATTTGATTCAAGTTATTAAAAGAATCAATAATTTATTTGATTGACTTGTACGCGATTTAATTATAAAAACAATTAAAAATTTATTTTATTGACTTAAATTACGTGATGAACAAATCAATTATTATATTTTCTATATGGGATAAATTTGGCAATTTCGGATAGCCTATCAATTAGGTGATTATGGATGGCTCATTGGTTACTGTATAAAGGTTATTCAGTTATGATTTACAATACATTAAATCAATTATTATTTTCTATTCTCTCCATCAGAATCAACTACGAATGATGCATTCGGTGATTTAGTTTAGGAAGACCATAATACTATTTGTTCGAATTCGTAATTCTGCATGGATCCACATATGTTTTAATTTGAGGTTTTATCATATAAATCATTATATGATATATGAATTTAAAATATGTCTAGTGCATTAAATATAAAATTTCTCCTACATACCCCAATATCTGTTGAGAGTGTGTATTAATCAATATATTTTCTATTAATATATTTTTACTTTTTCATACACAAATTCTTATTAATTATATAAATAAATATTGAAAGTTTTATACTTCATTCCATTCATTTCACGTAATTTGTTTCTATTTTATTTTTTCGTCCGTTCTAAATAATTTGTCATTTTTTTAAAAAAAAATATGATCATATACTTTAATTATATTTTATAATTTTTAAAATCTTAATTAAACTATTTATGTATCTTAATTTTAATTTATAGTTATTTTTATTATATAATAATTATTTCTGCTAATACATTTTTTAAATACTTACTACTTATATTTTACCTCAATTATTGTTTCTATAGTAATAGACCTAAATTATATAGTACAGACGTAGTATTAATTACACTTATTATAAATAATATATAACATAAATATAATTTTAAAGATGTTTCTTTATTCTTTTTGATTCAATTTTATTTTTATACTAATCAATTTGTACGATTTTCAATACAAATATAATATCAAAACAATACCAAGAGTGCACACATAAGAGTTTGTCCAATTTAACGTCTGACCTCTTTAGCAAAATCAGCCTTCGAATTTATATTATCCAATATTCCGGGGGCTAGCCCGGAATATTTATATTGATTTGGCATTGGTTTTATCAATATTCACTATCACAGTAATATGTGTGAACAAAAATAATAATAATAATAATAATAATAATAATAATAAAGTGATAAATTGAGTAGTTTGATCGAGAAATTAACATAATTATATTATAAAAAATATTTTTTTAAAAATAATAATAATAAAATTGGGACTTGGGATTTGGTGCCCCTCAAACTCCTCATTTGCCTAATTTGAACGGCGCTACCTTTCTAGTGTGTTTTAGATATGTGTGACAGTTAAGATTTGAAAGTATAAGAAGTTTAAACTTATAATTCTCACATCACCAAATCATTCTTTTACCGACGTGGTCTATGTCTAATTAATCAAGCATGGAATGAATGGTACAATACTGCTTAATCCGAGTACTCTTAGGGTGTGTTTGTTTGGGAGTTTGGATTTTGAGTTGGGATTTTAATAGTAAAAATTTTGAATTTGAATAGTTGTATAATGTGATATAAATAGGTGTTATGTGATGTTTTGAATGTAAAATTGATTTTTAGTATAATATAAAAATAAAAAATAGGTGTTTGATTTGATATTTTTGGGAGAAAAAGAATGGGATGAATAGTAGATTGAAAATCCAATCCCAAAAAGACACACTTACTAATATCTTTTAACTGGACAGTTTCGGAGCTTGCAGAACTCTGTTTCGACCGTTGCCATCGTACTCTTGTTAGCTCTTCAGTCTTTGTGTGGCGCTGCTCTAATCCGCTTTTCAAAATCAAAGCATGACGTGAGTTGATATACAACTGTTTTTGTCACGTGTGCAACGTATTTACATTCCTCTAAAGTACATGGCATAGCATAAGATATTTAGGATTTATTTGTTTGTTCTTTTAAATGGTTTAAAAAAATATTTTTTTTAACTGAAATAAAATTTTATGTAAATTATATAAAACTCGTGTAATATATTAATTTTTTTTTTATAGAAATATATAATTATTTCGCAAAACAAACAAAGTTTTAGAAATATGTATGTAATATATTAATTTTGGATTTTGATACATTTTTTTAAGAACATTAAAATAAAGATATATTTTTATTTTATAAAATATCAAATCAATTATTAATTTTTTATTATTCTCAAATTTTCAAAACTTCAAAATCTTCTAAGAAATTGTCTAAACAAAATTTGTAAGGATGTGTGTCTTTTGATGAGTTTGAAAAAATTTTGGTTTGGATTTGATATGAAAATAATATTTAATGAAATATTTTGTGAGAAAAAAAAATGTATTTTTTTTTTTTAAAAATACAGAGTTCAAATAATAAAATTTGAAAAAAATGATGCAAAAAAAAAACATACCCTAAGAGACTTTGTTCACTTTTGAGTTTTTTTCTTTTTCTTTTATTTTTTTTTAAAAAAATTATTCAAAAGTTTTTCCCTTTAAAAAATTTCATGTTAACGGAGGGATTTCCAATTTGGAGATCGTGCCAACTAAAAAACTTATAATATAAATCTAGACAATGATTATTCTGCAAGTAGGGGTGGAAATAGGCCAGGCCAGGCCAGGCTTTGGTTAAATAGGCTTGGCCTGTCTTAAAAAGATATGGCCTGAGCCTGGCCTACCAGCCTGAAAAAAAATATTTTTAAAGCCTGGCCTTTTTAAAAGCCTGGCCTGGCCTACGAGCCTGTTTAAAAGGCTACATAATAATTTATTATTATTATTATTTTTTTTTTTTTTTGTAAATTTCGTACTATAAATAAAAAATAAAACAGATACAATTATTTATATTATATATAAAAAAATAAAAAATTCTGTTTTTTAATGACAAAAATAATCATTTTTATTGCCATATAAAAATACAATATATTATACTAATAATTTGCAAAAAAACGTATATTACAATTCATTCAAATATATATATAATTATTGGGAATAAGTCTTGCAAACTCCAGACAAAAGCTGATAGAAATTACTGCATAATGACATTAAAAAAAAAAAAACAGTTCACATCAATCTATTGTCATTAAGCTGATTGTTCTAACAAAGAAATAAGCAACGCTAACTCAGAAGCAATATTAAAAAATTCGACAAAAATATTTAGAAATTAATAACATAGTTTTTCAAGTTCACGTCACCCACAGGCCACAAGCCACAAGAATTGCAAATTCCCCCAAAGTTTCTGAAACCATTAAATCTGTTCAAGTACAAAAGTTGATCAAATTAGTATTATATCTGAAATTTCTTCCTTCTATATATAAATTACGCAAAGCATCAGAAAATTATATTAGAACAAAAAGAAAAAAGGAATATCCTACTTACCAATACAATAAAAGTTTCAAGAGAAAAAAGGAACATGTGTGCAATAGTTGTTCATATTTGAAATTTTTTATTGGGATAAAAATTATTTTTATTTTTGTTTTTTTTAATAAATTTATAATTAAAATTTTTTTTTATATATATCATTATTATATATAAAACTATTCTTATTTTATAATAATAAAAAATAATTTTATATAATAATAATATTATTATTAAACAGGCCGGCCTGTTTAGTAAATAGGCTTTTTCATAAGCCTAAGCCTATTCTGTATATATAAACAGGCTTTAACAAAAATCTGAACCTGGCCTTTCTAATAAATAGAACAGACCAGGCCAGGCTTGATATAGGCCAGGTCATAGGCCCCTGACAGGCCGCCTGGCCTATTTCCACCCCTATCTGCAAGATGCTTTGAAGATATTCATTTTTATGTCATGTGTATATATAATATATATTATATATGTGTGTATAATTTGTTTATGTAATTTTTATTAAATATATTATTGTAATTTTATTTTATAATATTTATTATAATTTATAAAATTTTGTATTCTATAAAATAATATTCTCTCTGTACCATAAGTAAATATTCATTTGTTTTTTCACGTAGTTTTAGAAATATTAGTATTATATTGGGATACAGTGGAAATAAAATAGAAATGACTAAAATAACCTTATTAGTACGTGTGATAATAATGATATTTGTGTAATATATTATAAGTTGTAAGGGTATTTGTAATGTTAGTAGATAGTATATTTCCTTAAAAAAAAAAGAAATAAATACTTTGTTACGAAACGGATTGAAGGGAGTACTAATATTGAATATGTTTTTTAATTTAAATTCTTAAAAATAATATTAATATTAAATATTTCTATTACATCATTAATTTTGAAATTCCTAATTATTATCTCTATATTTTATTTTATCAATTTAAAATAATATTTATAATAATAAAAATGCAATATAAAACAATAGGTTGATAATAAAGTATTAATAATGAAAATAAATTAACTGAAATTAAATAATATATAAAAGTATTATTTAGAATTTTAATGAACTAAATACTAAAAAATTATTATCACTTTAGTATTGATTAATTATAAAATTAATAAAAGAATATAATTTTAAAGATAATGTATATAATAATGGGAAAATAAAAAATAAAAATAAATTTATTTGTTGTGCGTATAAAATAAAAAAGAATATTTCAGCTGACGTGATAGAAGAGAAAAAAAATGAACGGGCTAGTCTACCTAACTATCCAATACATAAAATTTGAAATTTTGAGAGGTTTTGAAAATTTTATAAATAATATATTATTTAATTTTATATTTTGAAAAAACGAACCTAAACTATGCAAACCAAGTAACTACCCGCCTACCGCTGAGCTCGCTCAACTGATTTTCAACACATATGCAGTTACCCACCCACCTACTCCAAATTCAAACCCAGCTGACCTTCAATTAGCTAGCCGGAGATTTTGGAAGATTTGAATTTTGAGGGAAGTGATCAAATAATCATTTGTTGGAAGTGGAGGTGGAAGAGATTTTTCATAATTTTTTTGTTTTTCCTGGTATTTGAATTGAACAGTTCGTCAACAAAGGGTGCTGTGTGGGGATCCCAGCCTCGATTTTTCTTCAGTTCAGATTTCAGTCAGCAATATGAAGGAAGTGGCCGATCTGCTTTTCGCTGTCCCCATCCACGTTTATTTCAAGCTCTACACCAACTGGATATCCGCATTACGCTGCATTCCTCAAACATCTGCTTTTGAGGGTGCGAGTCGCTTTCATCTCCGTAATTGGGCTCCAGATAAATATCAGTGTCGCCTTTTATACAAGAAAAGTTGTTGTTGCCATTATTGTTTGTTTACGTGATTTGACTGCGGCAAATTGCAATCGACGACTGGAGCAGAGCAGCAGCGGAAATGTTTGGGTCTGACTGGTGGAGGATGAGCCACCTCTTCGTGGTGGTGTTCCTGTCGGACTTCAGTACCTACGTCGTTAATCCGGCGATCAACGACGTCTTTGTCGATGCGGTTTGCGCCGGCAAAGATGAGTGCTCTCTCGCTCTTTATCTCACCGGATTCCAGCAGGCGGTAATGGTCGATGTGCATTCACACACTCACATTGGTCGTTTGATTCCTGCGTATTCCATTAGAATTCAAACAACAGTTAATTCACAGAGAACGTGTGCATCGAACGAGTCACACCGAAATTGGATAATGTTTATTACCTTTTCTTATAGCTGTTACCATAATAGTATAGTCTCAAATGAGCTAAGAGTGATTCAAATTTCAGAGTAGAATGTTAAACAATTTTCGACACAGTTCATTGTAGCTTCTTCGGTTCCTAATTTATGCTGCAAATCCTCTTTAGTGCAACTGGTTCTTTTCAAATTAGATCATATTAATGAAGGAATAGCTTATAATAAGAACCATAAATGTGTTGTTGGATGCAGATTACAGGATTAGGAGCAACGATTATGATGCCGGTGATAGGAAATCTGTCTGATGTTTATGGCAGGAAAAAGATGCTCTTAATCCCTTTGGTTTTAGCCGTTATTCCAACAGGCATGTTATGCATACTATTTGTATTGATTCTTATCTTCAGCTGGAAGACTCCCTAAAAATGGATCTTGCTATATATGTTCCTTTCATCTTTACAAGTTTGAGAATGATAAAATTGAGTAAGAAAAGTAATATACTGTTTTGAATAACTGGGCTGTAAATGTTGATGCAGCAATCCTGTCCTGTAAGAGAACAACAGATTTCTTCTATGCTTTCTATGCATTCAAATGTTTAACCGGCATGATAACTGGGGGTGGTGTTATTTGCATATCTCTTGCTTATTTGGTAATTCAACTTCATACCTACCTTCAGTTGATTTGATCTTTTTTTTGAGTTTCATCACTAAAGAAAATGTGTTGGTAAAGATAAATATAAGGATCCATTTTGACAGGCGGACAATGTGTCTGAAAGAACTCGCATATCTGCATTTGGAGTTCTGTCTGGCGTAACCAGTGTTGCAAATGTCATTGGCACCCTATCCGCTCGCTTCCTATCCACTTCTGATATATTTCTGGTAGTTTCATGTTTTCTTATGAGATCTTAGACTATGTCCCTTCACCACCTGAATCCATATTGTGTTTTAAATGATTCTGCAGGTTTCAACAGCTGCGTCTGCTGTTGCGGTTGTATATACAGCGCTCTTGGTGAAAGAGGAGAGCCATAATGATGATTCTAATTCTTTAGAACAGCCAATCCTCAATTCAATAAAACCACAAAGCCATGAAGAAGTTAATTGTGAATCATCAAGTCACAGTAACTTTATGACAGGCATTCCATCACCCAAGCATATAATTTACTTGCTGAAGAGTAGGTAGGAAAGTAGCATGTCTTTGGCTTTTACATGTTTTTATCTGATTGCATTGAGTGCCCAAAATAACCCTCTTTGGTTTTAAGTCAACACACGACATTTACCTCTTGTAATTTGGTAAATCTAGTTAAAGTAAATTGTGTTTCTGCTTGTCTTGCAGTACTACACTTTCACTGTTGGCAAGTGTTACTTTCTTCAACAGCCTTGCAGAGACAGCAATTTCGGCATTTTTACAGGTATTTATTGTATATTCTGTAGTTTGTTCGTGTTTTTTATCGTTAATATTTATTCAATACACTTCACCATCATACTGAATACAATTTCCAGTTAGATTTGTTCTGGGAGCATTACCTTTTAGTTGTAAACATTGATATCATTGTGGATAGAGCTTTACCTTTTAGTTCTCTGGAAGTTACATATCGTTGGAAGCGTAATGAACAGAATGTGAGTAACTATAAAAGCGTAGCTAGTCGTAAACTTTATTAGATTGTGCAACCCTCAGACATGAACAAAAAGTAAAAATATGAATCAGAGGGCCATTTAACTAGCCAGCCATAATCTCAAAGAGGTTTTAAAACAATTTTGGCTATTTTATTGACATGCTTATTGCATTGCAGTACTACCTAAAGGCTCGATTCCATTTCAACAAGGACCAGTTTTCTGAGATACTGCTAATTACCTATGCTGGAGTAACAGTAACCAGTGTACGTTCAGAATACTTGATGCAATTATAGAACTAATTTTGAAACTAAGAATATTATAAAAACATTGAAACCATGCTAAAAAATCTATGCAGATATTTTTCCTTCCGGCTGTTGGCCGCTTTATAGGAGAGGAGACCTTGCTTATGGTAGGACTCTTTGGTGGTTTCCTACATGTAAGTAATTCGTGCTAAACTCTACCGATCTTTCTTCTTATCCAAGATTGATGGTTCCATGTATTAACTCTTCCGATTGCTTATATTTAGAAACATTGTTATGCAGATGCTTATTGATAGCATAGCTTGGTCCCCTTGGGTAAGTTCTTCGACTTCTGACATTTATTAGCGCTTAAAATATGGTTCTCTGCCGTCATGAATGAAATGGCCTTATAAAGTTTTTAACTGGATAAGCTACAAATCATTGTCATTTGTGATCCATAGGTGCCTTATGCTTCTGCGTCGTTGGGGATGGTCTTCGCCTTGGCAAGCCCAAATGTGAGTAGCTAAAAATCCCTTATCAAGAATGTTGTGTTTCTCAATCTTCCTGTTAACAATGGCTTTGAGTAATTGCACACTCACTCACTCATTCACAGATAAAAAGCTTGGTTTCCAAACAAATTGGTTCAAATGAACAGGCAAGCTTCTTTCTTAACTATACCGGCTAATCTCAAATTACAAATTTTCGTGTATATCCCTCGTCCCTCCATCACTTTTTTTTTTTTTTTTTTGTTGATCGGCTCCCTCAATCACTTTTGGTGTCTGTATTGAATGGTCTGCAGGGCATTGCACAAGGATGCATTATGGGCATCACATCACTGACCTTTATTGCATCACCAATCATTTTTACCCCTCTTTCAGGTTGCTGCTTAATTAATTACCTTAGGAAACACTTAGGATCCACATATTATTCCCAACTGGTTCATAATCCATTTGTTCCTTAATTTTGCTGCACAGCTATATTTTTTGCTGATGATGCACCAGCTAATCTCACTGGCTTGAGCATCTTCTGCATTGCACTGGCTTATGTGAGTTTGAATTGAATTAAGTTGAAAAAAATTAAAAAAAGATAACACAACTTTTTGAAGGAATTATGTTGTGACATTGACATTTGTTGGTGCAGCTGATTGGCTTCATCTTGAGCATATTCATAAAGATCATTCCACGTGCTGCAAAAGCAGGAAGCCCTCAAGTAAAGATTTCATCCATTCTCTAAACAATTAAGGAAATTATGTCTGCAACAATGGTGACCTGCTTTCTGCTTGATAATGGTAACATTCACAGGTTGAAGAAGGGATGTGACAGCTACATTAACAACATCATCAATCTTTGATAGATTGTTGCCCTCTGCAACATATGCTAGCAAGTAAGTACCAAGCAAATATTGATTCGATGATGCTGCTGCTGTTGTAAAAAATCATATGTGCTAGAGATGTGTAGAGTAAGTATATTGAGGGAACGATGGAAGTGAAGAGACATTTTGATTTGTGATTAATAAATTATTGGATCATGAAAGGAGTGTTTTTCAAAAATAGATTTAAATTTAGATTTGTTTTTATTTATAAACTTTTATTTTCGTTATGAATAATAATGTAATTTTTTAGTCTTTCTAATTTATTTCTCACTAATGGAAAACATTCAGCAATTTTCATCTACCGATAAGTATAGAAGTGAGGTAATTTTATAATTTTGTGTTATTTTTTTCTTGAATTTGTTAAAATTACAAGAAATAGAGCAAGCCGAGGAGTGCTGCCCCCTCAAATTCAAGTTTGATATGAATCATATTAAAATTGAACAACAAAAAATATTACCACTGTAAATCGATAAGAGGAATAAGAGAAGAAGAAAAAGAATGAATAATACAGAATCAACAAGGCGTGGATGCTTGCTTGATGGGCAATGGGAAATATTGACAGGATTGATTGTATTGGACGCCTATTGATGCGCTGAACAATGTTGATATTGATAATAGAATGCACTACTTACCAATAAAATATAAAAATAAAATATTAGCTTGATAAAAATAAAATATTAGCTTGGTAATACAAACTTATTATTTTTTTTTTACGCTAATATTTGAATATTAATTATTATATTAATATATTGTATAAATTGAGAAAAAATATATATATAAATATTTTTATTAGTCTTTTATAATATAAATACAATAATATTTGCAGAGTAAATTATATAAATATAAAAATATTTTTAATATTAAACATAATGACTGCAAAACACAAACGGTACCTTTTTTGGGACGAAGTTTAGTATGTAATTTGGTACCATTTTAAATACAACACTTTGTGTATATGTACTATTGTGTTGAATATATATGTTATCTATAGGTATATATATCTGACACGATTGGGTCAAATGTATATATTGTCGTAAAAATTGTTATCGACGGTTTAATCGGCAAAGCCTGTCGGAATTGATTTAATCGTAGGGTTCTCCGGGTTCCTCCGGAAAGAGTCCAGGCAATCTCCAAAAAAAAAAAAAAAAATTACGAAGAAAGATGACAATAAAACAGAATGAAAGCTAAAATTGGAATTAATAAAAAAAAAACTGTAAAAAATTTGAAAAAATTACAAGAGGTAGTAAATTGCAGAGAAAAATCACACGCAGAGAAAAATTGTGGAGAATGAATGCCCTGTCCCCTTTGATCTCTCCCATTTTATTTGAATTTATTCGGATAAAGATTACATTCCTATATTCCCTCAACTAGATCCACTTTTTTCCAATCATCTTTGACTTGGGCTGTTTCTCTAGCCGGGCTGATCTAACCACTGGGCTGGTTGAGCCCGAAATCCCTTCCACTGACTTGGGCCTTCCACCGGGTTGCCAATTTCTCGAATCCTAGGTTGTACTTGTTCCGGACCGATCCAATCAAAGTTGGGTGTGTACAAATGTCCCTAATAAAATTATCTGGGTAAAAATTAATTTTTTGTCGAGGAAATTTTGTAAAATCCCTGCTTTCCAAGATTGGTCGGCGTGCTCAATCATTTCACTGTCAGTCTCATCCCTCGCCTATTTTGAACAGCTTCTTCGCCCTTCGAGGTAATCGATTCTACAACAAACCGCATTCTTCTCTCGATCGACAAAGAAAACTCTCGCGTCTCCTTTTACTTCCTCGCGGAAGCCTACCTTTTTTTCGTCCCCCTTTCATGCCGCCGACAAACTCAGTCCCCTTGACCTCGCACCGCACTGTGGCAACCTCCAGGCACCCTTTGTGAGGTGATTCGGAGACTGTTCCGTAGATCCAAGGCGATCCGCGGTGGCGAGTAGTAGTTCTTGGCGATTTTCAGCGGCGGTCGACGATTCTTGCGTCACGGGGGGTTCCGATCTCGAGGCCGAAAGCAAGCCCCCAGGCCGGCCACAATCCTCCGGCGCGCTCTGGAAAGATGGCCTCGGCGCCTAGGAGGGCTCGATTGGTGCTCGCACTGTTCGCGAAGGGCGAAGACGATGAACCTGACAGTTCCTTTGACGTTCTCGGAAGGGGTAAGCTTCTGCTGGCTCAACCTTGGTTCAATCTTAATGTTTTTTCTTCCCGCATATTTCGTCTTCCTAGCAACACTTCGGAGTTTAAATCTTGGATGACTAGGTCCTTCATTTGGGGTACAATGGAGAACTTGGAGTATTTGGGATATGTTGTCATTGTGTATTGAATTCATCCCCCGTGATAACCTCGTGATCAAGTCCCTCTTGTGTTTCTGAAGTCCGAGTATAAACGCGTTTGTATTCCATTTCGGATTTTAACCCTGACTGTACTAGATGTGATAGCAATTCTAGGTTTACCTTCAAAAGGGGTAGAGCCTCCCTTGTCCCCATTGTGCAAGTCTAGCCGGTTGCCCATCCTTGTCTCTTACGATAGTAATACCACCGTGAGCCAGTTCATTGCATCGAACATGCTTTCTAGTTCTGTCAATCCTTTGGAGCACAACGCTTTTCTTTTATATTGGTTCAACAAGTATTTCGTATGTTGTGCGTCGAAAGGATTTGTCCGGGAGGTCGAATCGATCTTGAATACTCTTATGTCGCGGGCTGAAGTAGACTTAGCTTCGGACTTCTTGGGTTTGGTATATCGTGCATGAATGATTTCCTAGGAAATTTTTCGGTGTCTTCTTCTCGCAAACCGGTCGGGGCAGGCCCTCTATAGTTCCTCGAGTTATGGGCGCGGCTATGTTTTCCTAGTTTAATCAGCCCGCACCTTGAACTTTCCACTGGTCAACTTTCGTTCTTAGGCCCGCATCTGGCGTTATACCCTTTTGTCCAGGGTAGTCTCAACTCCATCACTTACTCCAAGCAACTTCTTCACAATTACGACTAATAACTTTGTGACCTGGCACAGACCCATGATGAGTTGGTTGTTGTGTATTGGAAAGACGATCCGGACAAATATTATTTTCTTCGATAACTAAGATGACTACCTTCACACACTTATGAGTATTTTCGATATGTTGGATGATTCCATAGTCTTCTGACAAAGATGTTGATGAAGAAGAATTTTGAGCAACCATATTCGAAGACCCTCCCATTATGAAATTTATTTCTACACTTGATAAATATTTTGATATTTGGTTAAATATGTAATATATGCCACAAGGTGATAATTTATATAAGATATATAATGATAGTGTTAGGTAGATCCATTATGGGCTGTGTTCGGTTGGTGGAATGGATTTAATTTTTACTGTGAAATCACTATAGAGATTTCAAAAATAAAATCCACACCCTACTTTCCTACCCTGTAGCCTGAAAAGAGCTGTGAAGATTCTCTGCAAAGCTCCTCAAGTCCATTCACGGGATTAAGATACATGGAGGTGGTAGGTTGAGGTAATATATACACAACATCGGTTAGTAGTGTTTCGATTGTAGATTTACAGGGGTTTAACACCGGCGTGTCGGTGGGGAAGGGGAGTTACCAGTGGCGACAACCAGACGACACACAGGTAAGTCAATCTCGACCCCGTTTCGTCGATTTAGCGTGAGTTCGGGCATATTCTTCTCTGATTTTTTAAATTCGGCTGAAATTTGTGCAATTCGGAGAGGATATTTCTTCGGTTGTGGGTGATTTAGGTAGGAAGGGAGTGATCTATGTCTAATTTTAGGGATTATAGTGTGATTTTATTGTAGCAAGTATTACCCCCATTTTCGGCGTAGATCGAGTGTAATTTGTTAAACGGTGAGAAGAAATTGCTTTTTGATTTTGTATCGGAACGATTCTGTCGCTCTCGACTTACCTAGAAAGCTTCCCTAGAATAAGCAGTGGGTGGTTCGTGGGTAGTGGTTGCTTTGATTTTCTGGCACAAGTAATAGGTCGTAGCAGTTGCTGAATTGTGGAACTTCCGGCGAGAGTCGTTCGAATGTCATTAACACAGTCACTGTATGTAATAAGGGATATTAGGATCCTCGATCCGAATGTATGGGATGAGGTTTGTTCAATGTTATTACCCATTGAACCGTGTGTGCTTTCGAAAATCTTAGACTCAATATTGTTTCGAAGGTGTTTACGAGATTTCTTCGTCGTTAGTACCCTCTGCGGCCTTCGCTGTCGGTGTTTAGAAGGGAGTTATGCGCACTATTAAGATTTAGGTTGAAATTGATATGAGTTTTGTTTATTTGCAGATGGTAAGTGTGGGAATCAAGTTGAAATGTGTTTTTATGTTAGCTGAATTAGATGCTGCGAAGTACTTTCCTTTTAAAAGTCGATTGTAGTTCGCTTGAAATTAGGTACATACGCTTCACGCTTGTCACCCCGTAACGTAGATACTGGTTTTCCGCCAACGATTAATGTGTGTGGCTTGTGTTTCGTACAACTAGGTGCAGTTTTATTTTGCATTGTGTACTGAGTTTGAGCACCACAGTGATAGCAAAGTCATTTTCCAAGAAATCAAATCATTTGGATTAACATTGAGTTGAATGTGTGTTGTCTTTTTTCCTGGAATTACTTTGAGGTTTTGTTCAATCAATTCCATATATGTTAGGTCCAATTCCCCTTTCATCGTTGGTGTTCACACCCCTAAGATAAACCTGAAGCTTAGTTGTCATTGTCCACTGATTGGTACGTAAAGAAACAGTCGTTGTTGGTTGGATTTATATATTTGGGGGGGGCTGTTGGATTGGGAGAATAATGTGAAGATCTTCGCCGGTTGGGGTTTCAATTTTTAGTGCTTCGTTACTTCAGGTCCTACATCTTCGCTTAATGCTAATGCTTTATAAATTTAGAAATGCGAACATGTGTATTCACCATTATCTTAGTCGCTATTTCATGTAGTTATTATTTTAATATTGGAAATTTGCAATTGATTCAAGTATATGAAGCTTTTGTGTTAGCCAGTACCACAATATTAACATGCTTTCATGATCATTCCAAAACTCATAAATGGTTTCTTTTGGAATAAGAGTTGTAACGTTAGTGTGTGAAGGGATCTAGGGGTATCATAATTAAAATCATATAGATGCCGTGCGAGAAGGCGGACATGGCATAACCTATTCCTATTACAACATTGAAAGCGTAGTAGTAAAGTTTGTGCATACCCTTTAACGCATATAGGGTGCAAATTGTAGTGTGAAGTTCCGGACGCGCATAGTTCAACTGGGAGCTGTGACCCCCCTCCGAAACGCGGGATAAAACGCAAGGTTAGAGTGCATTCATTTATAAATTACATAAGAGCCGGTTCGTAGAATGGAGAGTCAAACAAACATTGCATACAAGAATGATTGGTATTTTGGATCTCCTGGTCAGACAATGCCACGCGGAAGGCGCGCAGCGGAGGACCCTCCCACACCGCAGGCTTGTTGGTCGTTGCCACAAGAGGAGTGTTTCCTCCACCTTGTGTGGTTGCAATGGCAGCTTGAGGAGTATCAGGGAACAAGCTTCACAAGGCCGGTGTAGGAAGATATCACGGCAAAGTTCAATGCGGAGATGAATGTCCAGTACATAGTAGACCAACTCCAGACGAAACTAAAGCGAACGAAGAAGACGTACTTAGAACTCCAAGAGTTGGTGGTGATGACAACGGGACTTGGATGGGATCCAGACTCGCGGTTGATAGTAGCAGACGAGGAGAGAAAAATTGACTGGGCTCGGGTATATATCGTTTTCACGCTTTCGAACCAATCGTATTATTATCCCTTTACGTTATAGTTTTTCGTTGGCCTAGTTTAACCATACTCTCTCAGGCTCATAGTGCAATGAATGGACCGGGTAGCCAACCAAATGTGGAACCGAATACAAATGATGGAACTGCTGGCACACAAGGGGGGTTGGATGGGACGAGCAGTACAGGCACGGGGACGGGCCACACTAGACCCTCCGAGGCCGGACCAAGTGTTAGAAGGGTTCGGCGGAGGCGAACCTCAAGTCAGGCGGATGAGGTACGTGCTGTGGTTCATGAAGAACTTACGAAAATATTGAGTCGTACTACTATGGAAAAGGAAGCAGAGAAGGCTAAAAATAAGGAGCATGTGGCACAGGTGACAGTCGCTCTCCTTGTCGTGCCCAAAAGTGCCGACGTCAGGAAAAAGGCCAACGAGATGTTTACTTTTCCAGAGTACCGCGACTATTGGTTGTCGTTAGACGAAGAGGATCGGATTCAATGGATCCACCAGTTTGTTGGTTCGGACTGATTTGAGAATGCAGGAGGTTAAGTTGGATCTTTGCTGTTGAATTGTGTAGGTCTTATCCTTAAGTAGTTGTAACTTATAATTTCAACATTTCACGTCACCTAGGTGGAGAGCTGGATTGTTATCATGTACTCGTTGGGAGTGGTTGTCGACGTTGTCGGCCTGTAACGTAGACTTCAGGTTCCGGAATGTTTGTTTCTTTATGTCAACTTAATGCCATGTTATCGGAAGAGTGGTTGCGTCGCCATTACAACGACACGCAATGTATTTATTATCGTATTTCCTTCACATGCAGACAACACATGGCGAATCGCAATGAATCAACCAACTCGACGCGCAGTCTTCTCCGTCAAGCACTTCGTTTGAGAGAAAAAAAAGAAAGGGAGGAGGAGAAGGGGGCCACTTTGTTTTTTGCAATGGCAACTACTGCCGCTGTGGCGTTAGCCTCAAGTACAAGGATGCATCGTTGCTATGACTAGATGCTCAGAGGAGAAGAATTCACCACGAGCTGATTAATGGGCACCCCGCTAGAATTAAAAATGTATTGCCGGTATCATCTGACATGTTTCAAGATCTTTGTGCCACGTTGGTGGAAAAGAGACTTCTGGAATGCCATTCAAGGCAGCGAGTAAAATTTCAAGAGCGTGTAGCAATATTTTTACACACAGTTGCCCATTCGAACCGGCAACGTTCCACTGCAGAACGTTTCCAACACTCGACATCGACCATTTGCGACCACGTTAACGAGGTGGCCAAAGCGCTTGTGCGCCTAGCACCTCATGTCATCCGGCCTGAGGACATGTCGTCCCCTGCGAGGAAGATTCGTGACTTCCTAATTTTCTGGCCGTACTTCAAGGTAATTGCATCTACTTGCATCCCTAGTTTGCTTGCGTCATTTTCCTATCCTATGATGACGTTTCTTTTCATTAGGATTGCATGGGCGCCATAGATGGAACATTGGTGCACGCATGATTACCTTATAGGGATCAACGACTCTTCCGCGGGAGAAGGGGTGACACGATGCAAAATTGTCTTGCGGTGTGTGATTTTGACATGAAGTTCATGTACGTGCTCGCTGGTCTGGAAGGGAGCACACATGATGCTCGTGTCTTAAGGGTCGCTATCCGAGAGCAAGGGGATTTCCCCTTCCCGCCGGACGGTACTATATGCCAAACTTCCATCGTTACTTGGCAGTTTAGCGTTTACGATCACCTCATATTCTTTTTTCATAATGCAAGGAAGTACTATATCGGGGGCTCTGGGTACATGAACGTTTTTCGGTGCCTTACACCGTACCGCACATATCGCTATCATCTATCGGATTTTCAGGGAAACAATACGTCCTCGAGGTAAGGAGGAATACTTCAATTACCGACACACACAATGCCGTAATGTCATTGAACGTGCGTTTGGTTGTCTTAAATGTCGTTTCGCCATTCTTCACAGGCCAATGCCAAACTACAAGTTTGATCGCCAAGTCAACTTTGTAATGGCCTGCGCCGTCGTGCATAACTTTATGTTACTCTATGGTGAGGATGTACTAGATCATGCCTCAGAAGGCCACGACTCAACCGATGAGGAATCAGTCCCTCAACCGGTTGCACACAATCGCCAAACACCGAACCCGGGCTGTGAAGACAGGGAAAATCAGAATGAATTTGGTGATATGATTGCGGACTGGCTTTGGATTAATAGATACGAGCACGTGGAAGAGTTCGACTCCTCGTGGCCTACTTAGGATTCTGTGTTTGATGGTGTATGGTGCGTTTCCTTTATTTTATGTATGACGTTCCACGCGCAGTTGTATAATCGAATTGAAGACTCATCCGTCTAGAATTGTATGCATGTAGCCCTTAACCGCCTCCCCGTTATGAGTCCTTGTGTAATGTTCCCCCACTTATCTTATAAACTACCATTATCCATAATCCGTCTAGAATTGTACGTATCTAATTTCATTATATTTTCTTCCATAACTTCACAAAAAGGCAATGTTGCAGTAATCATTGCGAATGAAAGAGATTTACACATTCAACAACACACCTACGCGTACGACCGGGGTGTTATATCCTGCAGTCCAATAGAGATTTACCCAGCCGCCGGCACAGTTTACCCAGCCGTCTGCACAGGCTGTGCCGGCGGCTGCTTTAATTTCTGTATGTCCTGTTGTATATGGCATTCGTGTATCTCCCGTTGCAAGGAGCCAAACTTTGCGCTCGTTTTTCCCACGCACTTTTCCATAGTTTTCGTGCACATTCATAAGACTGATTTCGTTACTGCGCAATAGTTGTCCTGGACCAGAAATAACACGATTAACAGCACACCTGCGCATACGAGCGCCGTGTTCCATTATGCAGTAAACCAGATAATTACGTAGCCGACTGCAAGGGGATTCTTAAATTTCTGTACGTGCGGTTGAATATGGCATTCGAGTATTTCCCGTTGCATTTAGCCGAACTTCGCGCTCGGTTTTCCCACGCACTTTGCCATACTTTTGGTGCACATTCAAAACAGTCATATCTTCACTGCATAATGTTTTCATACGACAGACATGGCCGAAGAAAATGATGAGGTCACTTTGATTCCTTTCAATTGGTTATGCCGCACTGAACCGGACATTGAGGATACGTACCAGGGAATAAGCATTTTACCGATGCTAACTAGATGCATAATCGATGCTGACGCCGTGGAAGCTATGGGTGGAGAAATGGAGATAGAGAAACTACTTTTGTGTGGGGCGTGGCGGAGGTTGTTTGAGATCAACGAGCCCATATACAAGGAACTAACATTAGAGTTTCTGTGCACACTAAAGCACGACAAGGCGAGTTTGTATCTGTATGACAAACCCAATGCCCTGCAGTTTCGCTAGGGAGGCCGTAGCTACTCACTATCTGTCACGGACTTCGCCATCGCACTAGGACTATATGACCGTGAATTCATAGAGACACACGAGTACAAAGTTTGGCTCCTTGCAACGGGAGATACACGAATGCCATATACAACAGGACATACATAAATTAAAGCAGCCGCCGACACAGCCTGTGCAGGCGGCTGTGTAAATCTCTGTTGAACTGTAGGATATAACACCCCGGTCGTACGCGTAGGTGTGCTGTTGAACGTGTAAATCTCTGTCCTTCGCAATGGTCACTGCAACATTGCCCTTTTGTGAAGTTATGAAAGAAAACATAATGAAATTAGATGCGTACAATTCTAGACGGATGAGTCTTCAATTTGATTATACAACTGCGCGTGGAACGTCATACATAAAATAAAAGAAACGCACCCTACACCATAAAACACATAATCCTAAGTAGGCCACGAGGAGTCGAACTCTTCCTCGTGCTCGTATCTATTAATCTAAAGCCAGTCCGCAATCATATCACGGAATTCATTCTGATTTTCCTTGTTTTCACGGCCCGGGTTCGGTGTTTGGCGATTGTGTGCAACCGGTCGAGGGACTGATTCCTCATCGGTTAAGTCGTGGCCTTCTGAGGCATGATCTAGTACATCCTCACCATGGAGTAACATAAAGTTATGCACGACGGCGCAGGACATTACAAAGTTGACTTGGCGATCAAACTTGTAGATTGGCATTGGCCCGTGAAGAATGGTGAAACGACGTTTAAGACAACCAAACGCACGTTCAATGACATTACGACATTGTGCGTTTCGGTAATTGAAGTATTCCTCCTTACCTCGAGGACATGGGTTGTTTCCCTGAAAATCCGATAGATGATAGCGATATGTGCGGTACGGTGTAAGGCACTGAGGAGCGTTCATGTACCCAGAGTCCCCGATATAGTACTTCCCTACATTATGAAAAATGAATATGAGGTGATCGTAAATGCTAAACTTCCAAGTCACGATGGAAGTTTGGCATATACTACCGTCCGGCGGGAAGGAGAAATCCCCTTATTCTCGGATAGCGACCCTTAAGACACGAGCATCATGTGCGCTCCCTTCCAGGCCAGCGAGCACGTACGTGAACTTCATGTCGAAATCACACACCGCAAGACAATTTTGCATCGTGTCACCCCTTCTCCCGCGGAAGAGTCGTTGATCCCTAGAAGGTAAGCATGCGTGCACCAATGTTCCATCCATAGCACCCACGCAATCCTAATGAAAAGAGACGTCATCATAGAATGGGAAGATGGCGCAAGCAAACTAGGGAGACAAGTAGATGCAATTACCTTGAAGTACGGCCAGAAAATTGGGGAGTCACGAATCATCCTCGCAGGGGACATGTCCCCAGGCCGGACGACATGAGGTGCTAGGTGCACAAGCGCTTTGGCCACCTTGTTAACGTGGTCGCAAATGTTCGATGTCGAGTGTTGGAAACATTCTGAAGTGGAACGTTGCCAGTTCGAATGGGCAACTGTGTGTAAAAATATTGTTACACGCTCTTGAGCTTTTACTCGCTGCCTTGAATGGCATTCCAGAAGTCCCTTTTCCACCAACGTGGCACAAAGATCTTGAAACGTGTCAGATGATATCCGCAATAAATTTTTAATCCTAGCGGGGTGCCCATTAATCAGCTCGTGGGTGAATTCTTCCCCTCCGAGCATCGAGTCATAGTAACGATGCATCCTTGTACTTGAAGCTAACGCCACAGCGGCAGTAGTTGCCATTGCATAAAACAAAGTGGCCCCCTTCTCCTTTTCCCCCTTTTTTTTTTTTCTCTCAAACGAAGTGCTTGACGGAGAAGACTGTGCGTCGAGTTGGTTGATTCATTGCGATTCGCCATGTGTTGTCTGCATGTGAAGGAAATACGATAATAAATACATTGCGTGTCGTTGTAATGGCGACGCAACCACTCTTCCGATAACATGGCATTAAGTTGACATAAAGAAACAAACATTCCGGAACCTGAAGTCTATATTACAGGCCGACAACGTCGACAACCACTCCCAACGAGTACATGAAATAGCGACTAAGATAATGGTGAATACGCATGTTCGCATTTCTAAATTTAAAAAGCATTAGCATTAAGCGAAGATGTAGGACATGAAGTAACGAAGCACTAAAAATTGAAACCCCAACCGGCGAAGATCTTCACATTATTCTCCCAATCCAACAGCCCCCCCAAATATATAAATCCAACCAACAACGACTGTTTCTTTTCGTACCAATCAGTGGACAATGACAACTAAACTTCAGGTTTATCTTAGGGGTGTGAACACCAACGATGAAAGGGGAATTGGACCTAACATATATGGAATTGATTGAACAAAACCTTAAAGTAATTCCAAGAAAAAAGACAACACACATTCAACTCAATGTTAATCCAAATGATTTGATTTTCTTGGAAAATGACTTTGCTATCACTGTGGTGCTCAAACTCAGTACACAATACAAAGTAAGACTGCACCAAGTTGTACGAAACACAAGCCACACACATTAATCGTTGGCGGAAAACCAGTATCTACGTTACGGGGTGACAAACGTGAAGCGTATGTACCCAATTTCAAGCGAACTATAATCGACTTTTCATAAGAAAGTACTTCGCAGCATCTAATTCAGCTAACATAAAAACACATTTCAACTTGATTCCCACACTTACCATATGCAAATAAACAAAACTCATATCAATTTCAACCTAAATCTTAATAGTGCGCATAACTCCCTTCTAAACACCGACAGCGAAGGCCGCAGAGGGTACTAACGACGAAGAAATCTCGTAAACACCTTCGAAACAATATTGAGTCTAAGATTTTCGAAAGCACACACGGTTCAATAGGTAATAACATTGAACAAACCTCATCCCATACATTCAGAACGAAGATCCTAATATCCCCTATTACATATAGTGACTGTGTTAACGACATTCGAACGACTCTCGCCGGAAGTTCCACAATTCAACAACTGCTACGACCTATTACTTGTGCTAGAAAATCAAAGCAACCACTACCCACGAACCACCCACTGCTTATTCTAGGGAAGCTTTCTAGGTAAGTCGAGAGCGACAGAATCGTTCCAATACAAAATCAAAAAGCAATTTCTTCTCACCGTTTAACAAATTACACTCGATCTACGCTGAAAATGGGGGTAATACTTGCTACAATAAAATCACACTATCATCCCTAAAATTAGACATAGATCACTCCCTTCCTACCTAAATCACCCACAACCGAAGAAATATCCTCTCCGAATTGCACAAATTTCAGCCGAATTTCAAAAATCAGAGAAGAATATGCCCGAACTCACGCTAAATCAACGAAACGGGGTCGAGATTGACTCACATGTGTGTCGTTTGGTTGTCGCCGCTGGTAACTCCCCTTCCTCACCGACACGCCGGTGTTAAACCCCTGTAAATCTACAATCGAAACACTACTAACCGATGTTGTGTATATATTACCTCAACCTACCGCCTCCATGTATCTTAATCCCGTGAATGGACTTGACGGACTTTGCAGAGAATCTTCACAGCTCTTTTCAGGCTACAGGGTAGGCAAGTAGGGTGTGGATTTTATTTTTGAAATCTCTACAGTGATCTAACAGTAAAAATTAAATCCAATCCACCAACCGAACACAGCCTAACTCTCATTTGATCGAGCATGTTAGGTTGATCGAACGGCTCTCATTTGATCGATCATGTTAGGTAGATCGAACAGCTCTCATTTGATCCATCGTGTTAGGTGGATTCAATGGCTATCATTTGATCGATCATATATTAATAGATCGAACGACTTTTATTTAATCCATCGTGTTAGGTGGATCCAATGGCTCTCATTTGATTATGGTGTCAGGTTGATCGAATGGCTCTCATTTAATGTGGTAGCTGTGATGTGGTAGGCGAATCGTGATTTGCCTATAAATAAAAAGTTTTGTTTCATATCATATATATCACATTTGTCTAAAATTTAAGAATAAAAATATCTTTTAAACATTCAATTTATTTTTCCCACATCGAAGATTAGTTGCTCATTGAGAAACAACTGAGGCATAAAAAATGCAAACTGATTAAAGATGGTCTAAAATATTTAAAATTTCAGCAAAAAAAAGCTTTTTTTTTTTAATTTGAAAAAGAAAAATAATAAATAATAAATAGGTACAAGTTTTTACCAAGTTATCTTGTATTACTATTAAAATTTTTAATTAAAAAATTCAAATAAATTAAAAGTAATCTCATCTTGAATCAATATTTGAATAATTTAAAAATTAATTGGAATACCAATATTATTTTAAAATTGTAAACGAATCGAATAGCATAATCTAAAAATAATATTTTCAATGTTCTATTTACCATATTCACGTTGCGGCTTTGTTTGTTTTATATTCATATTTGATACTTTAATCTCATTTTATATTTTTTAATATAATTTTTTAAATTTTAATTAAATTAATTAATTATCTTAATTTTAATTAAAAATTATTTATATTATAAAAATAATTTTTTTCGTTGAATACATTTTTAATAATCTTACTAATTATATTTACCTCGTCTACGTTGGTACTGAGGGAATAATACCGGATTCGCGGTTATATTCGATTCGCTTACATCACTGCTCCTACTCTTATCCTCCAAATGATCAGAGTCGGAGTAGGAGGTCGGGCAGTCATCGGCGTCGGCGCCCTCCCGCCGGTAGTGTGCGGGCTGACCAAACAAGGCCACCGCTTTCTCACCTCTCTCGCAATCGCCGATCCGTCATCCGCCGCCGTCGGATTGCTTCTCCGCAAATTCGTTTCCTCGACTTCCAAACACGTCGCTCTCACCACTCTATCTCATCTCCTCTCCCCTTCCACAACCTCCCACTCTCGTCTCTACTCCTCCATTGCACTTCCTGTAAGTCGGTTCGTTTTTCACATCCATAAAGCTCCAAGTGTTAATAATCAATCTGTGTGGTTTGGTTGCAGCTGTACACAGTGATAAAGCAGGAGCCGTGGTTCAGCTGGAACGGCAAGCTAGTGGCGGATTTAATTGCTTTTCTATACAAACAAGGAAGGTATGATGAATCCGAAGAGTTGTTTGCTGAAACAATTGTGAAATTAGGGCTCAGGGAGAGGGAATTGTGTATATTCTTATGTCATTTAGTAGAATCTCATGGTGACCACAAGTCACAGAAAGGGGTTTTCCTTTCTTCGGAAAAGCTAGGGCAATTGTTGCTGCATTCACGTTCAGGTTATGTAAAGAGGAGAGGATATGCATCAATGGTGGCTGGGTTTTGTGAAATAGGATTACCTGACAAAGCTGAGGCTCTAATTGGGGAAATGAGAGAGATTGGATTGAAACCATCAGCTTTCGAGTTCAAATCGATTGTTTATGGGTATGGTCAGATGGGATTTCTTCAAGAAATGAAGAGGGTTGTTACAGTGATGGAGGGGGAAGGGTATGAACTGGATACAGTTTGTTGTAATATGGTGCTTGCATCATTTGGGGAACACGGCGAGCTTCTCGATATGCTTTGGTGGTTAAAGAAAATGAGGGATTCGGGAATACCGTTCTCAATCAGAACTTATAACTCTGTCCTGAATGCATGTCCAACTGTTATGGCAATGATAAGGGATACAAAGAAGTTGCCTCTCATGATGGATGAATTGGTTGCTAGTTTGAAAAGAGATGAGGCGGATGTGGTGCTGGAATTGTTGAAATCGAATGTTCTTGATCAAGTGATGGAGTGGAAGGCTTCAGAGCTATCGTTGGACTTGCACGGAATGCATTTGAGCAGCGTATATTTGGTGTTGATGCAGTGGTTTGGTGAATTGAGGCGGAGGTTTGCTGCTGGGAATTTTGTTACTCCGGCGGATGTTTTGGTGATATGCGGAGTCGGGAGACATAGTTCTACTAGAGGAGAATCACCGGTGAGGAATTTGGCAAAAGAAATTGTGGTTAGGATGGAATGTCCATTGAGGATTGATAGGAAGAATATAGGATGCTTCATTGGGAAAGGGAGTAAGTTGAAGGATTGGCTGACCATGTCATGAGGTAATGTTTGCTTGATCATTGATTGTTACATGATCATGAAAATGAATTTGATTGATTGATTCAAGGCTTGTTATATATATATATAAATATATACTAGTACTCGTGCATGCTACACCCCACAAGCTTGTATGTATGCAAGTGATAATGGTATTGAGCTGCAGTGTGTAAATTTGTTAAGTAGGGTGATGGGAAGTCGGTTAAGTAGAAGGTGTAATTATTAAGAGGGTGTTAAAGGTTATTTGTGAGGGAGTGATTTTCTCGTTAGGTGTTGCAAAGCAGTCGTGCATTTTTTAAATCAATAAATGATGTTGAGTCGGTCAAATACATCAGTTGTAGACAGACGCAGTTGGATTAGTTTGGTGGTTGATAATTTTGTAGGCAAAATTTTGGCAGCGGCATCTTTAGAAATGCAGTAAGGAACATGTATGCCTGGAGAGTGTTGTTTTTAGAATATTATGACCGTTAGAGTTTGTTGAAGAGTAAAAGAAGTTAGTGAAATTAATATAGTATTATTAAAAAAGTAAATGATGAATCAAAAGTAAATCAATATGGATAATGTTTTATATAGGCAAATTTGTTGCAGTTTAAAAAATATGTAAAGAGTTATAAAATAGGAAACTTATTGTGCAAAAATAAAAGAGAAGGTTTAGGTAACAGTTCCGAGAAATTATGTGTTTCTTTTTTCATCCATCTGTGCAATAACAAGTTTGTCGTTGAGCTGACCGATTTGGTGGTTATGTGATTTGTATGTTTGTACATGAGTTAACTAATTGGGCAATGATAATCTCTCTTATTTTCAGGTTAGTGAGTAAGATGGCTGACGCAGTGATGGTTTGATATGTAAGGTTCGTATTGAGATGGCCGACTCAATAAGGAGCTGGGATGGGCGATTTGCCGTATAGGTGTCGTCTTGATAGGAATGCCCGATCCGAATTCAATTTTATTGTAGGAAAAAAGTTAATAGTAAAGAACTTGATTTAAGTTGTGTGCACGAAATTGTAGGATGATCGTCAGTTTGCCTGAACGTCTCGTATACTATCTGGCAAATATTGTACAATTTTTCCACTTTCAACGCATACAATCTAAACTACCTAACATTCCAAAAAATCTACGGCTTTCACCAATATGCAGGAGTTTCGCCACATCATTCGCATTAGGTGATTTTAGGTAAGTTCCTACAAAAATTTTAACAATCGAACGGCAAAATCTCTTAAGACTTTCAATTGCAGTTGACTCACCGATTTTTACATATTCGTCTATTGCATCTGCCAGTATACCATATTCCAACATTTGAAAAACAAAGGTTCCTTTTTCGAGAGATGATAATCTAAGCTTTCAAGCTCTATCACGACGTTGCTGGAAGTATATTTCATGAGATTTAGCACTCTCAAGAATATGGAGAAAGAGAGGTCGTGATATTCAATACCGACGACGAAACATTTCATCATCATATCGTGGATTATCATTGAAGTAATCTTTGAACAAATTGAAATATGCAACTTCACAATCACGATTGATCACTCTATGACCAGGATTAGAGCCATCTAGAGAATGATGGTTAAGCATGTAAAGATTATTTTGTAATCTTTTGTTGTTATTTTGAAATATTTGAAGTAGTACTTCTTGTTCCACTTCAAAATCATCACCCGAAAAAGATGATGATGAATTATGAAGTGAATAACTTATATTACTGTAATTCATCTTGGATTGAGATGAATGATAAATTCATTCTAGGCATATATATATATATAGAATGGTTTAAAGAGATAATTTAATTACGTTAAATTAAATATAATGAATGAACTCAATTTAATTATTCACGTTGGATACCATTTAAATGAACAAAAAGAAAAAGATAGACACAATTTTACATTAAATTAAATGAATGGACTTAATTTAATTATTCACATTTGATACCATTTTAATAGACAAAAAAAATGACACAATTTTAAATCAAATTTTAAAAAATATATATACACAATTAAATATTACATTGGATACCAATTTACTTGACAAAAATTATACAATTTTAAATCAAATAAAAAAGAATAGACACAATTAAATATCTATATTGGATACCAATTTAATGGACCGAAAATGACACAATTTTAAATCAAATAAAATAAATTGAATGGACATAAATAAATGTTCACATTGGATACTAACTTAATGGATAGAATTGAAGATTTTAACATTGGATACCACATAATATTTTGTCCATAAATACTAAAATTCCAAATAATTCATCACACAACATCTTTATTTTAATTTTCTCTCTACAATATTAAAACGCTACATTTCTCAGCACTCCCCGTTCAAGGAAAATGAGTTCTCGGGCTTCTAGATACATTGCCCATGATGATATTAATTTGTATGGAGCTCATATGAGTATTTCTCAAGATTTTGTTGTAGATGTGTATCAGTTTAGGAAGTAATTTTGGTGAAGAGTTGAAGAAACCTATAATGATCAAAAGGAGCCTCACTCAGTCGTAACGCAAAATCATTACAATGTCGATGGCATAACATAAAGAAAGTCATTTGGAGATTAATAGCATGTGTCTGGAAAATTAAAAACATAAATCCCAGTGAAGCATTATAAAAAGATATAAGTATATATAAATTATATGTTATAATAGAAATTTAATATGTTTTAATATATTTACTAAAACCCAATGTTATTTGCAGTTGGATTAAGCGAAGTTGTTATTTATGAAAAATCGAACATTTGAAAAAGGTTTCAAGCTTGACCATGTCTCAAATTCACTGAAATTTTTGAAAAAAATTTGCGATAATGTTTCAAGTGTGAGACAACAATCTAAATTACAAAGAGCCGGCTACGTTCTTCCTATTCCGGTAATCCTATTCCTACTTCCGAATTTGGTTTTTCAATATCGCAAGGGCTTTCAAGTTTTTCTATCAATTTAAATAAGGATGTGGGTGGATCTTCGAGTCGAAGACCCGTTAGAGTAAAAAAGACGAAACTGAAAAGAAAATTAAAGAAAATAATAGCACAGTATAGAAACAAAATCAAGAAATTCAAGTTGATGAAAAGTGCACAAGACGAATCAGAAAAAATGAGAGTTTTCAAATAATCCCAAAAAGAGAATGAAATCTTGCTTATGGATTAAAATAACATAGAAAATTCTAAAATTCGAGAATATTTAAAAAATGAACGAAGACATAATTAAAAAAAAAAAAAGACTGTGGAACAACAACAGTCCACATCTCCCTCATGTTAGGATATGCTTGGATATGATTTTAATAATTTAGGTGGAGGTGGATCTGATCTTATGTATCTTTATTTCTATTCCAGTAATTTAGTTATTATTGCTTTTAATATTTGTTAATATTTTATTTTAATTTTATATTTTAATATTTAAATTTCTTATTATTATTATATACTATAATATATTATGTATTAAAAAAAAAATCACACCGGGTATACCTTTTGAACCCACCTAATTGAAAAAGAATCCGAACAGAAGAAACACCCTCCGAATTGTTATAATGATAATAATAAATAAATAAATAAGAAGAAAGAGAATCCGAGCATACCCTTCGAATTGAACCCACCGAACGTAGAATAATAATAACAATAAATAATTAAATTAAAAATACCAAATATATAAAGAATCAAAATTTCAAGGACCAAACTGCAAAAAAAAACATTTTCTTCATTTTTGGAGAAATGCTACTGTGTTCATTGTAGTTCGCTCTAAAATTGGAGTAAGAAATTAAGTTGGTTGAAGAATTCTTACTCCGTAAATGAAGTATTCCTTCGTATATACAGTTTTTTGGTGAAGCTCTTAGTGTTCTATTTTCCAAAGCAGGTACTGTATGTTGACTCCATTGTTGCTGCACTTCACCGTTTCTTGTGTGCTTCCACTTTTGTCTTCACCGTTTTTTGTGTGATTCCACTTTTGTCTTCTGTGGGATCGCTATCCAAGCGGATGTCAAAAAACTTTACAAACACCAAGGTCTCGTAGTGCGAATTTATCAAGATCTACATGATTTGTATCCCATTGCTACACAAGGAACAAACACAACTGCATATAACTTTTTTTGTTTGAAATTAACGGCGCTTGTAGTGTTGGGAAAGGAATTAAAAAAGCCTTACGAAGTAGCCGTTAGTCGTTGGGATGCGGAAGTCCTTCACCAAGATCATATAGAATATGTAGCTCTCGACATCTTTGTTTCACAGCAACTAGGTTATCGACGAACTTAGGTTGTGTCCATTTGGCCGACTTCATAAGACCATAAACAATGCAAAACACAATTTCGCGTTCTCTGAATCTTTTCTCTCTTTGATGTCATGCCATGCCAGTTTGAGAACTCAGCAAGAACTCATCCAATTTTTTACTCACATTGTAGAAACTAGTTTCTCATTCCCCGAATTTCTTTTTATTCCACATCAATAAATTTATTATTTTATTTAATACAAATTTTATATAATAATTTTTTTAAATAATATATTATATACCCATTATAATATTTTCTACTTAATAAAATAATTTTAATGATAATTATTTAATACTTACATTAAATTAATTTAATAAATAAAATTTAAATATTACATTCATATTATTAGTGTACTATTTATATTTATTTATGAATTATTTTGTTGAATTATTTATTAAATTAATTATGAAAATGAACATGTGAAGTTATTGGAAAAAAAAAATAGTATTTGAATATTACCGTACTATTAGCCTCCAATAAAATTAACATAACAAGTAACTAAATATTGAAATTTAAACATGTAATTCAATTTTAAAAAAAGAATTAAAAGTTTTTCATATGTGATCCACTAAATTCGATTCCAGTTGATTTTGTCTTATTTTGTCTTGAAGTCAAATTCTGCTTGATAAAAAACTTTCATATCAATATGTCTATCACGTGAGTATTACCAAGACGGATTTTCATCTGCATCGGTCTCTACTTGATCAAATTGTGGAGTATGTATTTCTTTTATCTTCAACGATCATGTTATATAATATGCTGCAAGCTTTCATTATTTTTCCAATTATATTTAGATCCCAAATGGCACATTGGCCACGAATAACTGCAAATCGAGCTTGTAACACTCCAAAAGCACGTTTTACATCTTTTCAAGTTACCTTTTGATGTTGTGCAAATAATTGTGCATTAAAACCTTATGAAAGATGAATTGATTGAATAAAAATTATTCTACATTAGGTAAATGGCATCCGTAAGATAATAATTCATGCTATATTGATGACTATTAATGACGAAATTCATTTGTGGGGCTCTTCCATCCAAAACATTATTAAATAATGGAGATCGATCAAGAACGTTAATATCATTGCATGTACTTAATGTGCCCAAAAAATGTCAAATCCATAAGTCATATGATGTCACAGCTTCTAATATAATTGTAGATTTACCATCTCTACGTCAAAATCGACTTTTCCAAGCGATTGGGCAATTCTTCCATTCCCAATGCATACAATCAATGCTTCCCAGTATCCCCGGAAAACTGCATACCTCTGCAATATATGGTACTCGTTGTATATATGTTGCATTTGAATTTTTGAAATATGCATCACCAAACATATATATTAAAACTTCGACAAATTTAATCAAACACATACTTGCAGTGTTTACTCAAATACGCACATAATCATCTACATGGTCAGCAGATAATCCATAGGTCAGCATGCACATAGTGGTTGTACATTTATGCAATTGTTATAATCCAAGTCGACCAAGTGTATCAGCGCGTCGTTGAAAGAATTCAAACTCCGTCTCTAGGCGATCTACAATGCGCTGAAACGGATGTCTCCTTATTCAAAACCGACGACAAAACTGTGAATCGGTATACACCAGATTTTGCAAAATAAACGACTATGGTCATTCTTGAGAATTCTCTCTATGTAAGCTCTTCTTTGGATTTGATGTGAACTATTTTCCTTTTTGTTGGAAATTTTTTTCAAAATTATTGCACAGTTTTAACGGTGTTCCATCCACTATTGGTAAATAGCTTCAAATTCTTCATCTGAATCGGAACTCAAACTCAAGAGGAATGTAAGTGACATTTTTTTTTTTTAAAGGTGGTTGAAATATATAATAGTGTATTGCAAGACAAAGTTGTAAAAGATTGCGAAACTACATGCTTATATATACTTACAATATTTAAATAATATTAATTTAAAAATAGATTTTGTAAAATATAATAAGAAGTGACAATACAATTTTTTAAGAATCAATTTCTTTTAGTAAAATAAAGTGACATGAAAATATTATCTATTGATTGCAAAAATTGATAATACAATATTAAAAGATTGCGAAACTACAAGCACAAGATTGTGAAACTACATGTTTATGGCAGCTGCAAGACGATCTCCGTTGCAAAGATCCCCCTTTCCTCCTCCAGATCAGCTCCGGGTAAGCAAAAGTTTTTTTTTAAGAAAAAAAATTCAATACGTGTTGATTAATAATACTTTTTTATTATATATATATCTTAATAATACTTTCGTCGGACTCTAAGAGTTATATGCATTTTTTACGTGCTAATTTTTTAATATTAATAATTATATCAAAACGTAGTACAAATTAATAGGAAATGACAAAAATACTTCTATTGGTGTATAATACTAATAGAAACACATTTGTATAAAAAATTATACAAATATAAAGATATTTTTAATGTTAAGTACAATGAAGTAAAATGTAAATGTAAATTTTTTATATTTTTGTATTATATAAAATTTTATTCTTTACAAAATAATATAAATATTGATATATTTTTATTTTTATTCAATTTTTAAAATAAATATTTTGATATAAATATAAATATAAATATATTGTTTTATTAAAATGGAGGAAATAAAGTATGAGGTGGAGGAAAAATAGTATAAAAAAGTGATGATGAGATATTTTGAAAAAATCTTTGATGTGGATGCTCTTATATATACTTAAAAAATTTAAATAAAATTAATTTGAAAATATATTTTGTAAGATATAATAGAAGTGACAATACAATTTTTTTTTTAACAATCAATTGTTTTTAGTACAATAAAGTGATGCGACAATATTGTCTATTGATTGCAAGTATTGACAACACAATGTATTAAAAGATTGTGAAACTACATGCTTATATATACTTTAAAAAAATTAATTTAAAAATATATTTTGTAAGATATAATGAGAAGTGACAATACAATTTTTTTTTACAATCAATTTTTTTTAGTACAATAAAGTGATAAGACAATATTGTCTATTGATTGCAATAATTAACAACACAATGTATTAAAATATTGTCAAACTACATGTTTATATATACTTAAAACTTTTAAATAAAATTAATTTGAAAATATATTTTTGTAAGATATATACAATTTTTTAAGAATCAATTCTTTTTAGTATAATAAAGTGATAAGACAATATTGTCTATTGATTGTAAGAATTGACAACATAATGTTTAAAAGATCAATTCATTTAAGCACAATAAAGAGATATAACATGCATTGTATATTAATTATATTAATTTGAGATATGATATACAATGCTCAATAATCAATTCTTTTTTTAAAATAAAGTAAATGATAGATATACGTGTTAATTATAAAAATTGACAATACAAAATCTAAAGAATCACTTTATTTATTTTAGTTAACTAAAATAAATAACATGCAATAGATGTTGATGGAAAATAATGATTATACCATAAAAAAAAATTAATACTTTGTGGTACAATGAAATGATGACACAAATGCATATGATTAATAAATCTATATAAATTGATTGGTACGCAGATGTTAGTATATTCAATATTTGTATAGTTATTATTTCTTTCATCATGGATCTCAATTCATTATACACTCAAATTCTTTTCTTCTTGCAAAATTTTATAGAAATATTGGATAACCAAGTAAAGTTACAAAATTCTCGATATACAAACCATCAACAAAATTACCAAGTTCCACCATTTTTTTTTTTAAATCCTCAATACTCTTATTAAAAACCACCATTTTCTTTTGGTCCATACTTTTGTCATCTTTCAAACCTTTGACCAATTGGTTGCACACCGTATCCTATGAACCGATTTCCAAACGTTCCAGATACTTGGGGGAATGGTTCAAACAAAAAAAAAAAAAAAAAAATTGAAATTGTGAATATCCCGAAATTTAGCACACAAGTTCTTATTCAAAATCTTGATGAACAAGATGATGTTGATGTGCAAGTTATCAGTTCTACTGGATATACAAGAAAAACGTGAAGCCCCGAAGAAGATATTCTCCTCAACATTGGATGGCTCAACAGAAGCAAAGATACCATTATAGGTACTGATAAAAAAAATTATACTTTCTGGAAACGAGTAATGGACTATTATATAGAAAATATACAAGATGAGTGGGTTTAAAAAAGTGTATCTCAATGTAAGTCTCGTTGGCATAAAATTAATAAAAAAAACATTTATTACACTAATGGCCGAAAGCCATTAATTTGTATTTGAACATGCATAGCGTAAGTTAAAAAAAGAACCAAAATGGCAAGAGAGTTTCAAAGTTTCTAATTAAGCATCACAAGATGTTGGCGGTAGCTCAAAGATTAATGAAGTTGGAAGATGTTGATCAAATTCTAATCAAACAACACCATGTGGTGGTAGTAATGACAGTCATCGTATTGTTCGTCCTTTTGGTGTGAAGACAAGTAAAAAGAAAGGGAAAAGAGTACAAAAAAAATAATCAAGTTCTAACAATTACGATAAATATTTTGCAGGTATAAAAGCTACAAATACACAAGCTATATCATATTTAGAATATCTTGCGAATTTAAAAGAAGAAAGAATCAAGCATAAACAAGAACAACAAAAACGAACCATTTACTTCAAAAAAACAAAAGAGAAAACAACAATTGGAGCAACAAGAAAAACAAATCAATTCAAAACATATAAAATCTTGAACAATTTTTACTTGCTTCTTAATTAAGAAACTGCAAAAAAACTTATACCCGTCAATTCTATATACCTAATCTTGAAAACTCTCAAATGATTTTCCTTTTTAAAACTTATTTTTCAAACTCTCAATCTCTTTGGCAGTGCAGCGCCACAATGGCGGTTGGCTCTTGGCGGTTATCCTCAAAATAGCAACAGGTGATAGTGAAAAAAAATAATCAAAATGAAAGAAAGAAAAGAATAGAGAAGAAGAATGAAAGAAGAAGAATAAAAGATGGTAGCCCGACGAAAACCCAGAAAAAAAAAACTAGAAGGGAAGAATATAAAAGAAGAAGAAGGGAAAAAACGAAGAAGAGAAAGAAAGTACCTGTGGAGTGTATATCCTAAATTAGGGTTTGAGTTTTAATTTTTACATTAATATTTATGATCAAAATTATTTTATTGAATATATCATTCTATAAAAGGAATAATAATAATGATGATATTTAAATAAATAATTATCACTAGTATTAATAGCAAATTTGTATATTTATATTTTTTTATCTTCATAAAAAAATAGTAGTTTTTATTATGCAATTATATTTAATTTAAATTATATTATTATATAATAATTAAAAATAAAAATAGACTATTTAAATTATATAATTAATTTAATAAAATTTAATAAATTCGTTAGGACATTAATTTTTTTTTTGAACTTTTTGCCTCCGCATTGCCCCTCAAGCCGAGCGGTCTGGCTCCGCCACTGTCCGTCCCATAATAAAGTATATGTGTTTTCTGTTTTAGAAACTATACTATCTACCTAATATTACAAATACCCTTCTAATTTACAATATATTATACAAATGTCATTATCTTTATATCATAGTTTAGTCTTTTTAGCTTTATTTCTATTACATCTCAATATAATACTAATATTTTTAAAACTCCGTAAAAAAATAAATGAATAAATAGATATGAGATGAATAAAGTATTATTTAACCTTAATTGAACACTACCACTTGAATATACCGTTGTGTCCTGCTTTTACCATTTTGTTATAAATATATCATTTTAATTATTACTCAAATGCTTAACCTAGATCATCTGTATAAAGGAGATGGATCAGATGATGAATTAAAAATTTACATAACTAATAATTAATTAATAATATGATTAATTATTGTATTAAAGGATCAGTGTTGATTCATTCAGCACATCCTTATCCATTGACACATAATTGTTATTTAATGCACAAAATTTAAAAAGTAGAATATATAATAAGATATTAGTTATTATATTATTTAAAATATAATAAAATAGTCATTATATTATTATATTATATTTCCTGTTTCATAAGAAAGGTTATCATTTCTTATTTTTGTTCGTCTAAAAAACGATATTATTTTATAATTTAGTAATTGTATTACCTACGTAACATAATTAATACATTTACGACTTTTAATATATTAAATACCACACTTTTTTATCACACAATCTAATAGGGATAATTTTGTCTTTTCCATTATAAACCAATATAATACTAATACTTAAAAATCTAGGTATAAAAAGCAAATATTATTCTTTTTAGGAGGACGAAAATAATACATTTATACAGAAGTTAGGATCAGGTGCTGAATTTAAAAAAAAAAAAAAAAATAGCAAGTGTTGTGCTGATGCCTTAATACAATAATTAATCATGTTATTAATTATATGATATCATTAATTAGACATAAGCACATGTGCTAAAATTCAGCACCTATCTATCTCCTATTAAAATTATGTTTACTTTTTTATATTTATGTAAATATATAAAATTTCATAAATAAGCAACATTTTGAAAAGATTAAAAATTTCTTAAATATAAAAAATAAAATAAATATTCTATATAAAAATTATAGATATAATAAAATAATTGGGCCAATTCAAAGTAAAGCCCAATAAGTTACTAATTATTGGTAAATTTATAATTGGGCCGATTTAGTAGAAAGTTGCTAAGCCCAATTTTTACTTGTGGTTGATCTACCGGAATATATGTAAGGCAACGCTATACGTCGTCCATCGCCGAAACCCTAGGCTTGAGTGTGATTGCTGCTTCAGGTTACCTCCCATTCTGCCCCTTTAGCTTCGTTAGATCGAATTACAAATTTTATAAGCATACATTTAAGCGTCTGTAAAATCTGTTATCTTTATCTTTATTGTTATTTTCAGCCAAGAACATCGTTGGGGTATCAGGTTGCTTCGGGTACTAATGGCTCCAGGTAAAGATAAGAAACTTTTTTCCTTAGTAATACTGGGTTTTACCAATACAAAGTGATTATCGGGTGGTTTATTTATGTTTTTCTCATTGTTGGATAATGCGGGTTAGTGTTTATCAAAGTTGGTGCGGGATGCGAATAATTTTGGTTCGATGCTGCAGCAGTTAGTATCATATAGGTGTTGGTTGATTGTGGTTTTTGTCCCCTCTTACTTTGGTTTAAGAACAACCTAATTGCTGTGGTTTTTGTCCCCTCTTACTTTGGTTTAAGAACAACCTAATTGCCTGTGGCATAAATTTGACTTTGAATTTATGCAATTTCGTAAGTTGATCCATTTCTGAATTAATTACGCAACTAAGCTATGGAATACTGTCTGCGGATAAATTGGAATATGTGATTATCTTTTTCCATTTTTTTTCTGTGAAAGGGAAATATATAAAAACTATAATTAGGGATTAGTTTGCAGGTGTTGGCACCATAATTTTTAAGTTCGTTTTTTGAATTGAATATGTGAATTACTTTTGTAAAAATCTTTCCTCGCTTTGGACATAATTCATTTTGGGTTGTGATTACTTTGATTCGGAAGCTATCTTGGCTGCCATTTTTTATGTTTACTAAGCTGCCTAATTTCTGCAGTTGATCCGGCCAAGAAGAAGAAGGCAGACCCAAAGGCTCAGGCTTTGAAGACTGCCAAAGCAGTTAAATCAAGTTCAACTGCCTTTCAGAAGGTCAAGAAGATACGCACAAAAGTTACCTTTCATCGGCCTAGGACATTAAAGAAGGAGAGGAACCCCAAGTACCCTCGCATTAGTGCTCCTCCGCGGAATAAACTTGACCACTACCAGATTTTGAAATACCCTCTCACCACAGAATCTGCAATGAAGAAGATTGAGGACAACAACACACTGGTGTTCATTGTGGACATTCGTGCTGATAAGAAAAAAATTAAGGATGCTGTGAAGAAGATGTATGACATTCAGACCAAGAAAGTGAATACCCTTGTCAGGTGAGCAAATGATTCCTTAATCTGAATTCTACATGTCCCAGTTTTGCTTTATATGACTAAGGTTCTGCTTTTATATTTTGGTAGCTTAATTCTCAATAGTTTAATAATCCTTTGGTTGTGTTCTGATTTTGAATTAGATTTTTGTATCCTATGTTTTTGTGAATAATAATGTTAACCTAATATGCCCCATAAAGAAATGCCCGATCCCATTTGTTTGTTTTATTCGATTGTTATTCAGGTGAAAAATGTTGTGGCCAATTTTTAGAGAAATAGAAAAGCTTGATTATTATTATAACTTTATATCGATGAGGCATTAGAATAATTAAACTGAGATTGTGGATTAGTTGGTTAGAGGTAATTAAGCATACCTTATTGTTCATACAGATGCCTGTCCGTATACCAACTATTATATTTACCTATGATTTATTACATGTATTCATTTATAATTTAAATTATCTATACATCACATTAGTATGCATTTGTATGTATATGATTATATTTCAGGCCGGATGGCACTAAAAAGGCATATGTTAGGCTGACACCCGACTATGACGCTTTGGACGTTGCAAACAAAATCGGGATCATCTAAGCTATAGGAACTTCAGTTTTCTGTTGGGTTTGTGCGCTTTGTGACGGCACGGTGCTGGACACCATAATATTTTTGTGAATTTGAGTTCTTAATCAAAGTTTTCTGCATTGCAGCTGCGCCAAAGATTACGGTTTTATAGCATTATTTGCTTGACCTCTCCTTACCCTAACTTTATGAATGTCTTAAAAATTTAATCTATAAACAAGATATGTATCTCTAAAATTCTACAATTGGCTGCTGCAGGTGTGTTTGGTAATATGTCTGAAATATTGGATTTAAATTCACTTGTCATCCTCAGTTCCCCTTATTTCCCCAGTGAAGGACTAAAGTTTGCTGAATTAGAAGTTGAAATTATTTCATACATGTTTGTTCTTTAGTGTGGATATAAATATGTGTGTATATATATAAATATGTATTTCTGATTTTGGTTTGTATATTTTGATCTTGACCCATTCGCGATAAATGTTACTACCTGACTGCAATAGTAGCCTCTAAATTTCAATTACTATATTAATGTGTGTGTCTGACATATGTTCGTAGGATTAATGTTTGTTTGTGCAGAGGTGGTTATGTACACCCGAGCGAGCTTGCCGCTTGTGCAGGTGCAAGACATGCATTATCACATCAGGAGTTAGCGGCAGCCTCGAATGGTCATCCATATCAAGCTTATTATCTTCCATGATCTCCTCGACGGTTTCCGGCAGAGGATTGACAGTCTTCTCGATCCCACAAGAGGCGAGGATCGGGATTGTTGGATGAGACTCAATCTGATTGACGATATGCCTCTCTCCAAGCATCATACAGACAGACGAGTTCGCCGCCCTTTTTCTTCCAGATAAAAATATGTCCGCAGTCGTTGCCACTCGAGTTCCTTTGAAAGAAATATATGAGCTTGAGACAAGCTGTTACAAAATGTGGCGAGGGCAAAACGTTGGTAAAATTCCTTATGTCGCAAACCTATCTGGTGCAAAGAGATTAGGATTTCTCGGGTCAATTGCAATGGAATTTAGTCCCACACTACTTGTAGTCCAACTCTGTCGAAGAATTGCTCCGAAGATCCTACTGCAAAAGGACCATGAGAATCTCAATTAAGGATGGTAAAAGTTTGGGTGATTTTCTCCAAATTTTATTCATTAAAATTTTTTTTTCCGAAAAATATAAAATCAAATACTTATTTTTTATTTTTTATATTATACTAAAAATTTATTTTACATTCAAAATATTATATAATACTTATTTATATCACATTATATAATTATTTCAATTCAAAATTTTTATTATTCAAATTTGAACTCTAACACCCTTTTGAGTGCCTACATCAGCATATTGGACAAAGCCAGCCTTCACCCCTGGTTTAAGAAAGGAATTTAATTTCTTACAAAGTTGTTAGAAAGGTTTAGGCAAGTCCGAATAAAAGAAAAAATGGTAAATTGTATATTTGTTTGGGACACAAGGTCATGTGATGGATTGAGAAATGTATATATATTTTTTTATTTATTTAGGTGATGTGATAGAATAAAGTGTGGGTAGAGATTATGTATAATTAATTATTGTTTATTTTGAAAATATTGCAGGATGTTTGGGACATATTTAAAAGAAAATGTTGCACAGAGGGAGTATATTTTTATCATAAATATATAATGTCTACTTGTGTTTTGCAAAATATTACTCCCTCAGATACTATGTCCACGTTGTTGTTGCTGTCCGTCTCATATACCATGTCACTTTCTTTTTTTAGAAAATGATTACACATTTTAATCTTATTTTAAATTTTTTTAATTTTAATTAAACTAATTAGTTATCTTAATTTTACATTTATAATTATTTATATTATAGGATAATTATTTTTACTAATACATTATTAATTATCTACTAATTGTACTCCTCCTAAAATACATGTCTACAGGGTAGCAAACACGATATTTAGGACGGAGAGAGAGTAATATTTTATACATTTATAATAAAACACACGTGGGTATTATACAAAAACACTTATTGCAGCGGTTTCTAGGTTTTATGTTAGAAAATCTATAAGTATCTATGAAAAATTCCTATCAGAATAACTTGTAAGGTTTCATTTACCGAATTAGCTGGCAATCGACAAGTTGGGATAAAAAGATCTTTTGAAGTAGCCATCCATCCGTGTTTGGCATATATGTATATGTGTCACACACTTCACAAGATTAGATATAATTTTTTATCCACACTTCACAAGATTGAATTAGCCTTAGGCATACTAAGGAGTGTTCAAACAAAATTTCTATCAAAGAAATGAGTGGACGCAATCCATAACAAGATTAATCAAGTCCAGTAAGGGATGACATGGTGGTGTAGGAGTTGGACTTATGACCATGAGGTCATGGGTTCAAACCCCCGACGCCTCAGTTCACCTGCCACACATGGTTCGCTTAGTGTCACTTTCTCGTCGGGCCTGGTTTGCAGGGTATTAGGTTCTACCTAAAATTTACCTAATGCGCACTTTCGGATAGCGGCTGCGGGTTCCCACATCATAAAATAAAAATAAAAAATAAAAAAAAAAGTTGGAAGAATAAATAAGAAGATGAATAAAGGATCCAAGGTGATTGTTACAAGAGCAATTAAAAAGATAGAAATGCAACTAAGGGTGTGTTTCTTTTAGGTAAGTTTGGGTTTGGATTGGGTTTTAGAAATATTAGTATTATATTTTGATGTAGTAGGAATAAAGTAAAAATGATTGAAATAACCTTATTAGTATTGTGTAATATAAAGATAATGACATTTGTATAATATATTGTAACTTGTAATGGTATTTGTAATATTATAGTTACTAAAAAAAATGAATACTTTGTTATGGGACGGATTAAAATGAAAAAATGGATAATTTATTATGAAACTGAGGGAATAATATATATATATATATATATATATGCATGTTTGTGTGTTGGTGTGTATAGTATGTATATAATATTATATACGTATGAATGGATGCAAGTAATTAAAGGAAATTAAAGTGCATTTGATTGAAGTGCATTGTATTTTTTTTATTTAATTGAGAATTCATATTTATAGACATAGATCATTTATTTAAGAGATGCCTGTCATCTGAAAATAGCATCCATATTTGCAAGACGTTGCTAATAGCGTGTATAACATATCTTATTTTTCTTTCTTTTTTTTTTTTTTTTTTTTTCCCCCCACAATTTTCTTGTTCCTTTTTAGAAATAAAATTTACAAATTCTCATCGATTGCAATTTGATTTTGCTAATTTTCTTTTATCAATTTAAAATAATATTTTTTTCCTATATAATCGTTGTATACTATTAGTTGATTCATATTGATTTGCATCAAAATCCACTAATACTCCATGAGAAAGGAGTTTAAAGCACACTTTTACTCCTTTGCACCGGTTATTTTTTAAAAAATATTATATTAAATAATTTTTCTTTTCACAAAATATCAAATCAAATACTAACTTTTTATTTTTTTTATAAACTTCCAAAATTCAAAAAATTTAAAAAAAAAAAAAAAACTCTGTTATATAATAAATAGTATATTAATATTGGTAAGTATAGAATATATAAGTATATATATATATATGATGATGATGATGATGATGAATGGTGAAAGATGTGTGAATGTGATGTGATTGATGGGTTGAAGTATTATTATTAGTGCAGCATAGTAAATACGGAGGGAGGGAGAGAGAGGGAAATATTGTGGTGTCTTCATTTTATTCCAACATGTCCTATATATATATATAGGCAGGAGTAACATATACATGGCTAAGAATTATACTATGATTTGTCGATGTGATTGATTCGTGTAATAATAAATAGTATTAGCTATGTGTATATAATAAACTCATAATTTTCCAGCAAAGAGTACGCTTCACATGTGTACATATATGCTGACTTTTTTCTGTACTAAACGCTGATTCTCTCTCGAATGGCATTTTCCGTTCAAGACCTACAGCTCAACGTTCAGGTAGCGGGCAGTGGTTGCTATTTATTACTAACGGTCACCTTCTCCCTACTCAATTAATTAATGAGTACGGACACCAAAATTAAAACCCAAAAGTTTTTGTTTTCTTAAAAAAATCGTTGAAAAAAAATTAAATATTTAAAATAATATACTTTTTTGAAAAATTACACTCATAAATAAAGTCCAAAACTTTAATATAAACATATCTACTAGCAATTAGAATCCGCATGCAGTGGCCAAACAAATAAACGCAAGGGCATATTCATTCATTCATTCATACTCGTTCAAATTCCAAAAGGGAAGAATGGATCTTTCTGTATATGTATGTATGTATGTATACAAGAAGAATTCGATACCTCAAACGAGACATGATCCATATATCCATTCATCAGGCAAGTGGACTTGGAGGATTTGGATGTGGAGGAGGCAGATTCCTACTACTGGAGTTGTTGATCGCCGTCGCCCCCGGCATCGACCGGATGTTGATGTCCACCGGATATAGCCGGTACTCAATGTCCAGCTCTTTCAATATCCTAACCATCTCTTCCAACAATATCGCTCTCCTCCTCCACTTCTCCCCGATGTTCTGGTGATTCATCCGGTGCCTAAGCCACAACGACACTTTTATCGCATTCAAACCGATCAAATCCATCACCACGAATGTCGGCCCCGGGTACCAGTAGTCGCTCCTGCTCTCAATATAGCTGCATTCATAATTTGATGTTTGATCATCATACTGGTCTTCGAGCTATCAGATAAAGATATCGATTGATTGATTACCTTGTTATTCTTTGTTTTATGAGCACAAACTTCTCCGTCGGCGTGGCAATGTGGATCGAGAAATCAATGGAGTCACCCATATCTGGACTGCGATAGAAGTTGCAGATTGGCCTCGTCGCAAGCGTTGCATTCGGAAATATTATCTTCAGGTTGTCGTACCGCAGGAAGACGGTGGTCAAGATGTTCATTTCTTCGACAACCATCTGAGAATTTTCGGAATTGGGCGAGTGAGTCAATGGCATTGGTAGAGAGATTTGTTGAGATCAAATAAGGCTTTACCTGGACACCATCAACCTCGCATCGATCTCCAACATCGAAAGGATGGATGACGAACACGAATATGATGGCTTCAAAAATAGTCTTGCAAGTGTTCCCGAACACAAACGCGACGACCACGATCTGGGAGCTAATGTAGAGCAGGAACTTTCCGGTTGCGATCCTGAGGATGATGAGGCAGGTGATGAGTATGATGATCCCGACTAGGGCGTTCACCATTTGATGAAGCTTGTTAACTGCTGTTTTAGTATCGTTCAGCGTCAAGGCGAGGGCTCGTCTCTCTACAAAGGAATTGACCTGCAGCAGCATTCATAATTCGATACAAAAAGAAAAATATATCATCATCATCGTCGTCGTCGTCGTCATCAACATCACCATTGTTGTCAATTTTATGTTCCAATGAATGGAGAAATTAACGCATACCACCCAACTTTTAAGCGATGCTTTGCTGATTGTTTCGCTTTCGGTTGATCCTTCCACCAAGTTGAGAACCTTCACAGCCTCTTCTTGGCGCAAAAAACGCATCAGATCCTCGAGGGTGATGGACCTGTTCGATTAGATATGCAACATAAGTCAGGGCAATGTCCATGATTACGACAACAAAAAATAGATGACACGGCTTACTTGGCTTTCGGCTTGGCTACATTCTTGAATATCTTTCTGGCTGCAGCCATGGCTTCATGCTCGCTCCTGATCTGCGTAGAAGTCTCGTCAGTTTCCGAGCTATCGAGCACCTTCTCATCCAGCGTCGTCAGAAGTCCTTTCCTCACAATCTTAATCAACCTCTTCATATTCCAGGCAGATATATTCTTGTGATTAAATTTGTGCAGCTGATCGATGGATATCCCCTGATCCTCCTGCTGATTCTTGGGAATCTGTTCGGAAATCTTGAAGCTCAGTCTGCTAGATTTCGGCACTGATGGCAATGCGCCGCTCTTGCTCTGCCTCAGGTCGGTAGCCTTAAGCTCAGGCGGCAAAACTGCACCTGCATTCTGAAGCCTCCATACCTCTGCCATTGTCCTCTCCTCCTCCTCCTGTTGGTTCCTAATCTCAATCAATGGCGGACCTGAGAGTGCCTCGATCACATACTGGTTAAACAACGTCTCCTGGATACGATCGAAGAAGGTGCTTACATGGAAGGAAGAAGCAAGGACTTTAACCATGAGAGTCTTCACCAACCACAGGGATGTTCCAACAACCAAACACACCATAGATTTGTTGACATACCATAGAAACCTGTTGTTCACCTGAAGCTGTTTATCGAAGACCGAATGCCAGGCGATGAGAACCAATCCTAACCAGATGCAGTTCTGCACAGCCTTCCTTACACCATAGACGAAGTACAATATCCTTTTACGCATGAAGAAGTTCCTCTCGATGAAGAAAACTGCAATCCGAATAACCCAACCGGATACCAATCTCCCGCAGATCAAAGCCAGAATAACGATCTCCCACTTCCACAGACTCAATCCTCTAAATTTGATTCTCTTCAGCTTGGATATGGCGAGCGTGCAGCAGAAAGCGGTTATGAGGAGAACGAGGCTTATGCATTCTGCAACTGTCAATGCATCAAATGTTGCCTTCTTGTACTCTTCTGGAAGGTCCTCGTCGAATAATGGATCTTCCTCCTCTTCGTCTCCCTGCTGCTTTCCTAAGATCCCCGAAGCCCTACCTAGAACCCCTGATTTCATGGTTTCCGATCTCCTGTCGAAGATCTCCGGTGGATCGATCAATCTGGACTTAGTTTTGATGCCTAATCCACTGAACCGCCTCTGAATTGAAGTGCACCTCAATACGGTGCCTTCGTTGCCTCCTCCGCCATTGTTGTTGCTATTCGCATCGGTGTTGCTGGCAAGGATGGAAGATCTCCTCCGGTTAAGTTGAGTATCATCCTCATCCGAGGAGGAGGAGGACGAGGAGTACTGTGTGTCACGATTGCGCCTGCTAAAACTCGGAACCTCTTGGGAAAGGCTAAATTCCTTGGACAATGGCGAGGGATTGTGAGGGCTTCTGCCGCAGCCATTGTTGCCGCGATCATTGCGCAATTCATCCATCTCTAAATCCAAGTCCAGAGACATTTCTCCCCCGGCGGCCTTCTGCCTGTTGAGAAACTGCCCGATCAGCTTCGACGGAGGATCGTTGAATTCCGACGCGCCGCCCTTGCTTGCATCGTCTCTCCATTCGTCCGGCGCGGCGTCGGAGCCATCATCCCGATCGATTTTAACAATAACTTCAGGCGGCGTCCCTGACCGCGACGGAGACGCCGGTCCGGGCGGCTGGTGGCGGTGGTGCATCTTCGATTGATTACAATGGAGACTACGTCGACGTCCTATTAATCTTCCGCATCAATTGGAATTTACTTTCGTCTACGGTGAGATTATTGGAGGTACGCATTTCGTTTTTCCTTAAGCTCGTCGTCGTCGTCGTCCTCTCCTGTACCTGAAAATCTCAGCTCGGAAAATCCAGGCGGTTACGGAAATTAAATATTTCCTGAAGTAGCTTTGTTTGGATACGATCGTTGATCAGAATATAACTGTAACAAACAAACAAACATCAAAGGAGATTGCGCTTCGGTTTTATGGGAAATTTATAGTTGAAAGTAAATTCCAGAATAATCAATCCAATGCGTTTTGGACAGAGAAATACGAAACTGTAGTAGTGAATGCAATAATATATGACCACAATTAAAGGTTACGAAATAAATTAGCAACTCATTTTAATTTAATTCAATTTAATTTATCATCTGTTTTTAGTATGCGGCGCTGCTCCGTCGTATTGAGCAGCAGCAAGTACTAACTACCTATTCCATTTTTAACACTGACCTTACATAATAGTTAGTTATACTTATACATGCAAGCATTCAAAGCATAATATATTTTATCATTTAAGACACATGCATGCATGTACACATTTGTGTTTTTAGGATGAAAATGCTACGTACCATTTAAGAAGATAAATCAATATATCATAAAAGACATGGGTTAAGAAAAATAAAAATCAAAGATTGATTCATTAGTAAACCAAGCTCTAAGGATGGAAAACACATATCTGTACTGTACGGGATTAATGAAAATGACACAAGCTGGCGCCATAGAGAGAAAAATCTAAGAATCAAAGTAGTTTTTATGGGAGCTTTAGGCCATCAGCATAGAAGGCATATAAATTTCAGTGAAGTCCCCGTTTCAGGGCCGATAAAAGCCCGGTGGATTTCTCTTTCCGCTTGTCTAGAGCGTCGTCTGCTGCAACCTGTTGTTGAACAAACACCATTGGGTAGGTAGGTAAGCATGAAACCGTCACGGGGTATATATATACGTACGAAATAGTCTCCAACAGCATACCTCCTTTGAGATTTGTCTTAATATTTCCATTATTTCAGCGAAGTCAGGTCTCAAAGCAGGATCCTGCTGCCAGCAGCTCTCCAACAGCTCAACAAGCTTTGGATGGGTGTGTTTAGGAATAGTGGGCCGGAGACCCTACACATAGAAGATAAATACTAGTGTCACACATGATACAAAGTTCATCAAGAGAGTGCGTTGTTTGTTCATCATCCCAACATCAGCATGCAGAAATCTGGTCGTTGTAAATGCAGTAACAAACTGGACAATAGATTGGATGGTTTACCTTCTGAACAACTCCGACTGCAGCTTGTAAGGGAGTCAAGTACTCGTATGGGATCTGTCGGGACAGAGAGGGAAATGTATAAAACAATAATCGAGCAAGTGAAGCTGAACAGTTCAGAGAACTAGTATACCTTTCCTGTCAACAATTCCCATAAAACCACCCCAAAACTGAAGACATCCGCCTTATGATCATAGGCTTTATGTTCAATCACCTTCAAGAAAACAAGAAACAAGTTTTTGTAAGGAATGTATGTGAACTTTAATTCCCAACATTATACAGAAGAAAGCCAAGACTTCAGAATAAGCAGGGATCCAAAGGGCTATGTAAATAGCCATTTTGCATTATAACATCACTAATGGAATACAGGGCCATCCATCAAATGCTGCTTCTGATTCTGAAATTAATAACCATTGAAAGCATATCTGGATGGATGCTCGATAGACCTAAGATAAATTTTAATAAATTCAAGCACAACCATGTATCAGCAGAATCTCCATAGATAATAGCACCACACCAATCAAGGTTAACTACACCCCATTAGAGCAGACTCTCACTTAAACCAACCATGGAGAAAACTAATTTGAAATTCATGCAATGAGTTAAAATTATCAAAGCACTTTCCAGTGTGTTAAAATTATAAAAGTATGGCACACATATTAAGCAGCATTTAAGTCAAAGACTGTATAAGAAAATTAAGCAGATTGTCCTGAAATTCCTGAGCGCATACCTCAGGTGCCATCCACCTATATGTCCCAGTTTCAGCTGTCATTACACCTGTTTGTGCTTTCACTCTAGCCACACCAAAATCAGCCACCTTAACCACCTGAAATAAAGAGGTTTAAGATCTTCTAAACTTCGACAAGCCCCAGTGTACGACAGAAGGAAAAAAGATACATGGGAAACTGGTATGAGATATAAATCCACATAACAAAGTAGAGCTTAATTTTTCTCTAAAGAATATTTTGTAGGAATAAAATTAAATTAATAATAATAATAAAAATAACAATAATAATAATAATAAATAATAACTTTATTCTCCAATATTCATAACACAACATCATGTTAAAATCTTTACATGCATGATTTTTCAAATTTCAGAATCCCCAGAAGTAAAGCCAGAGTAAAATACACAGCAACATAAAATGTTATGTCAGTAGAGATTGATGCTTACTTCATTTTCATCCATTAAAAGATTTGCAGCCTTCAAATCCCTGTGAATTATATTGTTCTGATGCAAATAGTTCATACCCTTCGAGACGTCACTGGCCACTTTGAGTAAGGCTGAAAGTTTAAAAGTACCCTTTCGCTTGTGTAAATAGTCATAAATGCTCCCTGCGGACATGTATTCTGCAATAAAAATAAAAAAAGAAGTCACATATTCTATATAGAAAGCATATAGGCCTCACTACTATATCCAAAGCCGTGGGTTCTATGTTTCCCCCACCTACCTGTTACAATGCACAAATTGGGATGTTTAGTGCATGCTCCTATGAACTGGACAACATTTTTGTGTCGAACTTTTCTGCAAGTATAATATTCTAATTAAACATATAGTTCCACAACAAAAATGATTCATCAACAGAATTATAAACCTATTGAGCTCATCTCCTATGTATGGCTTGTAGATTGCAGAATTGTAACTTCCAAAAGGCTGATTAATTATGAGTTTATGACAATCTAACAACTGTGGAAACACATTAGTGCAGAGATACCTCTGTAGATGATGATCAATTGAGACTAAAATTGTACTGCAACAAACCTCATTATATATACTTCTTGGGCAAACTCTCTTTGCATTTCATTATTCAAGGAGTCCGCCTTTAGAATTTTGATTGCTACTTCTTGACTTCGGTAGGTACCTTTGTATCTAAAAGGAAAAGTTGATTGAATATCTAACAGAGAAGTTGAACTGAAAGAAGCAGTTTCGAAATTCATACTAATTGAACTTACAAATCACCACAAGATCCTGATGCTATTTTGGATTCAAATTTCAAGAACTCAGGATCAATTTCCCACACATCAGTGCCATCATTGGGTATTGTCAGACTACTTGCTACAATACCAGGTTCACGTTTAATCTCTATTTGCTCACGTTTATGTTGAGGGAGCCCCAAATGTGTATCTGGCCAAGAACATCTCTGCATTACAGAATACCTGTCATAATCATTGATTTGAGAAAGGAACTGCACATAAACCGTACTTGATATCCAAAACCACAAGCAAGACTACCCTAATTTTCAAGAAAGTTAAGTGCTAAATGACCAGTTCACAAGAAAGTTTTAACTTTATAATTGTATTTTTTTATAAGCATGTGCTCTATGTAGTAGCACGAGGCACTTATGGTTCAACAAAACCTAGAAAATAGATATACAGGAGTAAAATCATCACCCTATGGTCACACTAGATTTATGATAACATTAACATGTGCAGGCCCTCCCAAGGTAGCCTCAAAAATCAAGTTGAGCGATAGAGTACCTCAATCTTCGAAACTTTTTTCTCCAAAGCAACCCGAAGTTTCTCAACCTCCTGCAAGGTTAAAATCACTGTGAGGTCAAAAACAGCTCCTCCCTATCCCATCAGAGCAGCTAGGGAGATGCACGGGCAATCAATCTTTTGGATAAAAAAGATTCACCACTTTATCCAAACAAATGATGTCAAAATGGTCATATTTTTTCACATAAGAAAACTAGTTTAAACCAAAAGAACATCTAACATGTTGCACAAGAAAAGCCAGCTGGAAAGTACAGCAAATAATACAGAAGATTGGAAAGCAATATTAAAAACCAATTCATAACAAGTAGCATATATATCAAAACCAGATTACAATAGGCAAGAAATATTTCAATTAATACAGATGTAAGGAAGGAGATACCTCAAATGGCCAGCCATCAACCACAAAAACATCAAGAGAGTAGCCATCCACAGTGGAAAAGACATGCGCTTCCTGAATATTCAGCCCCAGTTCAGCTAATAAAGAAGTCAACTGCAAGGACCATGATTGAAGAGTTCACTCAGATAACGTTTTCTTCATTCATTACACGCTAAAGTAAACACAATAGCTTAACCAATTCTTTTTGTGATAAAGCTTCTAGGCTGCTAAGCCTATCAGTAATGTTCTTTTTTAAGCAAGGGCATCCACCCTTTTCTAAGTAATATAAGTTACAAACCATATGGCATGCATCTAACAAAACAAGCTAATAAGATCCATCAAGTAATACAGAAATATTCCCAGAAAATGCAAGTATATTCTCCCAGTAGATAGAAATGTATTGAGCATTTGAGCTAAATCATTCCTTCATTATTCCCCAACTGAATATCATAGAGAAGGTTTCCAACAGAAATATAACTTTACAGCAAAGGCCAGATTACTTATAAAAGATGCCCTTGATTCAAAAACAAACATCTGTGGTAGGCTTAGCAGCCTAAAAACTTTTTTCATAGCAGGAATTAATAATGCTATACAGCTACAGCTCCCTCTTTCTCCTCCCCAAGGACTAACTTGCCCAAATTGATAAAGAGGTGTTGCTTTACTGGCAGCAGAATTGCTCATTAACAATTACTTGCAGTACTGATTGGACAAGCAGAAAAATTATAAAAGATTATAGGTGCCTACACATCCACATTTTTCTACAACCATAGCACTTCAACCAATGCTTGATGATTTATCCAGGAAAATCATGAGTGAACCACACTAACTGGCTTGAATGGGCTCAAACACATCCATCTTTGATTGCATAACTAAATATATAAACTAAAAGGAATATATATATATATATATAACATAATAGTAATAAATATAAAAAATCATAATTGAGAAGGCAAACTTCAAAGGACATTTCAAGCAAGTAAATGCCCATTCAGCAACCATCCTTAAGTGCTCCACAAGCATATTACCTGACTGAGGAGTTTTGGCCTGTCATCTGATGAGTAGGTGATTTCATGCATCGGCCTGCAGTGAATATCAGTGGAGTGTAAAGACCAGAAACATGCTACAAGAGTGCAAAAAATTTCTCAGATCATTACAAGTAGTCTGGTACATCTATTTCTGATTAAGAGAGCAATGCAAATATCAAACGAAGATAAAAAGAAACTGAAAATAAGAATTAAGTAATTACAGTGTCAAATTTGGAGTGGCAAAATATTGCAGATATCGGATGTCCACAGATTATGCTTCAACAAAAAATGCTGATCACTGTTGAATCAATAGATGACCAGCATAATGCTGATCACTGTTGAAATTTCAATAGATGACCAGCACACAATATAGGACCACATATGTCTCAACTCTCCATGGAATATACCTTAGGAAGTTGGCATCATTATCATCCCCATCTTGTAATTCAGGTTTGCTTGCTTCAAGCGCAAGAGCTTCAAGATTAGGTGAAGAACCAAAGGCCGGTGGGGGATGGATACTGAAAAATTCAGTAAATATCAAAATGAAATTTATAACTCTTTATGAATGCTAATAAGACATTCCAAAAAAAAAAAAACCACTAATACCTTCCTCTTCTTGGTACAGGTGAATGAATGGAATCTCCTGAACTCTCATCAATGGCAGGCACAACCTGTAAAAGATGGAATTAACTAAGAAAGAGAAGTATGATGCTTCTTGGTTCAACTTCTAGTAAACACATCTTGGAGCCAGAAAAGACTATGAGCATGTGGTGCTTTGGGACATAAATTTGGGATCATGCAGAATAAAGTTAAACAACTTTGGAGTATTCTTTACTTAGAAGAGCCAAATGAGATTTAGGTCAAAACTAAGATGTATGCACCTGAGTTGCTTAGAAAAACCTTTGTTTACTCTCTTCTGTAAGCATTTAATTCTACTTCGTTTCTTAATCATCCTAAATCTTGTCTAGTAGCTGCTGCCTATCAATACAAGACCCCAACCATCACTTTATCAAGTCAAATAAATCATAGGAGGCACAAACACCGTTCCAAAATGTGTTTAAATAGGCAAAGTACCAGCAATGTTTTCATGAACAACTAGGACCATAAATAACAATCACCTGCACAAGTCGGACTTCAAAAACAGGCCTATTGGTAGGATCACTAGCTAAATGCAGTAACTGCTTGTGCATGAGAACATCTTCCGCCCTCTCCGTATTTACATCCATCGCATACCTTCAATGCAGAAATACCACCATTTGATAATAGCAAATCAAACAAAAAGATGCGCGAACATAAGCTCCACTATATAGGTTTCATAGCCTGACATGCAACACATCGTGAAATGATAATTCTACCATTTACCTTTCCGGAGAATACACAAGTATCAGCAACAATGCTATCAGAGTTTGTAAAACTTAAGAACTATGCATAGAAATCACCAGGCGTGATGCTCCGTGTATAAAAAAGGCAAAAAAAGTTCAAAACCAAAAAATCCACAACAAAACCAGAAATCGATCCGGAAAAGACAGTGCAAATTGAAGACAGAAAGAGGAGGGTACAAAATCGCACGCGATGATGATGTTTAAGGCAGTAAAAAGTCACCTGGCGGGGAGGCGGTTGAAATGCGCCCAAAGCTGATGGTCAAAATCGGGCTCGAGTGCTTCGGGGTGGTCAGCCTCCTTAAGGCGGCGCAAAACCTCATTGTAAACCTGGAGCTTCGTCTCGTGGCGGTTCCTTGGCGCGGAAGATTCGACCACCCTACTTCCACAACTCTCGTTATCCTCAATCGCCATGTCGAACGATCCTGCTTCAAGAGTGAATTCGGGGCAGCAGAAATAGGTTTACAACACAACACATCAATCACATGTAAAAACAAACGAAAGGAGAGACGCAAGAGAGAAGAAGACGAAGAAGAGGAGAGAGCGAATATGCGAATCCAATGGGATTGGGAAATTAAAGCAGATTTGGTTAAGAGTCACAGGAGAAGCGTGCGGTGCTTTAGACTGCAGAAGAGAAACTTTAGGGGCAAAATTATGCAGTTGCATATCTGTGAATATATATATGTATGATCATCACCATATCCCTCGCCTGCCTTCTTCTTCCCTTTTCTTTTTATTTTTTTTCATTTTTTATTTTTTTTTAATAAAAAAGAAAATTGAATATGAAAATATTCATCCAATCCGATCCAATCCATTCCATGTGACCCTCCTCCACGTCAGCTTCCATCATCATCTATGTGGTGGCTGGTGGGGTCGAATTAATTACTTTTTTATTTTATTTATTTTTTTATTAAAAGGGATTGGAAATGAAAATAGTAAATTTCCCATGTATGTATACAACATAGTAATTAATTCATTGATGCAGTTACCATATGGCCGACAATGACCAATACAAATTGTAAATGAGAATTGGTGCTCTAAGGTATATTATATAATACTAAGTAAAAATACATAAAATATAAAATATAAAGTTTTATATCATTTTATTCAAAATTAATGCTTCTTTCGTGTCAAAATTATAATCTAATATTTTATATCATTTTATTCAAAATTAATGCTTCTTTCGTGTCAAAATTATAATCTAATTGTTTTTTTTTTTCACAAAATTTAAGAATATTGATATTATATAATAATAGATAAAAATTATGGGTAAAAAATTTTTTTGTCCTTTGTGAATGTATTAGTGCAAAAAATAGCGGTAATTGTGTAATAATAATAAAAAAGTAATGATAGTTTTATAATAATATGATTATTTATAAAAATAAGACTATTTTGGGGGACAAAAATGATAAATAAGATTATTATATTGGGACGGAGGGAATATTTGATTATAAATAAAGATTTAAATTACGTAAGTTTTATACAAATAAAAAACATAAAATATCTTAAAATTTTTTTAATAAAATAAATAAATAATTGATTAATCTTTTATTTTATAGTTTTTGGAGACAAATTCTTGTTTGATTTTATAAAAATTATAAAAATAAATGATTAATCAATTATTAATTTATTTATTTTATTAAAAAATTATTTGAGGTATTTTATATTTTTATTTGTATAAAATTTGTATAATTTAAATCTTTATTTATAACTAAATATCAGTTTTAAAATAATAATATTTCGTACAAATTTTATATTAACACATAGAATTTTACTAAACCAAAGAGATGTTATATAATTTACTTTAATAATAATAATAATAATAAATCTAAATAATCTTTGGGATGAGAGTGACACGTCCTATTTGCCACGTGGAATATTTGCTGGCGTGCCACGTGACTTAAAAGCGTGTGTAATACTGGAGGGGTCGACGAGTAGAAGAATAGGTAAAAGGGGGAGGGGGAGGGGGAGAATTATTAATTAATTAATTCATCAGTTAATTAATTATAATTGAAACAAGTTTGATGGGATGTATTTAGACTTAAAAGGGGCTGTTTCCATGGACGATAAAAAGATATTATATAATATTTGAATGTTAATTAATAATATCATTGTTGGAATGGCTACGGATTTGCATCAAACACTATATATAATTTTTTATGTCAAACACAATATATTTTTATTTAATACAACTATATTACATTAAATAAGAGCATGTGTAGTATTAAAATTTGTTTATAGATGTGTATGTATAAATATATTCATTGCAATCAATCAAAAATAATATATTTTGGTCCCGTAAGAGATGTCTCGTATTGTAGGGGTTGAACTTATGACCGTGCCACGGGTCACCTGTCACACATGGTTCGTCTGGTATGATTTTTTCGTCGGGTCTGATTTATAGGTTATTAGGTTCGGGTAGTGTTGATGTATTTTTTCAACAAACAAAAAGTAAAATTCAAAGATATGAAAATATCCTTAAATTTGATTAATTAATCTAAACACGGTACGGTACATAAAAAAATTAAATGGAAATTAAAATGCTAGAAATTTAAAGTGGTGATCCCAAAATCTGATTTTGCTTTTGTTGAAGTTGATTGAAGATAAATCGCCAGTTGCAAATTTTAATCCTTAAATATTCTTCAGAAACGGTACTGGAAACCGTCGCCCGAACGGTTACAATGTCTCTCTTTCAACCGTCTGCTAACCCTTTTCCTGCTGACACGTGCCCTCAACCGACCGGAGTATCATTCTCGCTCACTCTCAACAGTATCCAACTTTCTGGACCGACCGCAGACCTTCCGCCCTTTTGGCCCGAACGCAACTCTTTCTTCCTGTTGGTCCGACCGCAAATCTTCCGCCTTGTTGGTCCGATTGCAAACCTCCCGACTTGCAGACCACCCGACTTGTTTGGTCCAGCCGCAAACCTCCCGACTTACAGACCATCCGACTTGTTGGTCCAGTCGCAAACCTCCCGACTGATAGACCTTCCGACCTGCGGATTTTCCGACCTGCGGATCTTTCGACCCGTTATTTCCTTAGAAATGCATCTACTTTACCTGAGTTTCCCGCAATGCCCCTCAACCAGCTCGATCATCTCAATTGTTAGGCCCAATTTTCTTTTTCCCTTTGACTTTTTAAGCTAATTTTAAATTTTATGCATAACATGTAGCTACTGCATATTTCTACATAAAAAAATAATAATAATAATAATACATTTTGTCAATATAGTTATGCAGAACAAAATTATAATATTTTTTATTTCTAAATAATTGTTTAGTTTGTATCTTCCATACCGTTTTATAATGGTATAATTTCAATTATTTTATTATTTTGCTGTTCCTTCCTTTTGTTATAATTTTATAGTTTGCATGTCATAAGTTAAATAGGAAAATTTTGTATATATTTTTGGAACATTTCAAAATATATATGATTAGGGGTGGGCGTATGTACCCTCACCCCACCCTACCCCCTTCCATTTTTTTAATTTAATATATGTAAATATATAATAATTCATCCGTCCCATTAAAAGGTTACAATTTTTTATTTTCGTTTGTCATAATTTAGTAATTGTACTACCTACTTAATATAATAAATATTAATATTCTTTCAATTTACAATATATTATACAAATGTCATTACTTTTATATTACACTATACTAATAGGGATATTTTTGTCTTTTTTACTACAATATAATATAATATTAATATTTAAAAATCTACATGCAAAAAGCAAACGTCACTCTTCTAACAGACGGAGGGATTATAAAATTGATTAAAAAAATCATAAATTTTGAAAATTAAATTTTGATTAGATTTTAATTTTAATTCATACTTATTATTATTTAATTTGTATAATTTTTTAATAAAAATATATTATTTTTTAAAAACATCATAATAATATTATTTAAATAAAAAATAAAAATAATATTTAAATTCAAATTAAAACCAAATAAATTTGTTGTCGTCTGGTAGAAATGAAATAACTTTAATGATTTTTTTATTAAAAAGTAATTCCTTTTTAAAAAAAATTAAATAAATATATTATTTGTCAATTTTAAACAATATTAAAAAATATATCTACAATATGTAATTATTATTTGTCAATATTTTAAGATTTTTCAACAAAAATATATATTTTGCATATCATATTACAATTTAGTGAGTAATAATTAAGTTTAACCAACATTATATCTAACATAATTTTTAAAATATAACTCAAAAATATAAATATCCGAAAATAAATAAAATGATATGTTTTTATATGTATAAATTAAATATAACTGAATTATTTTTTATTTTAAAAAATTAGCCCCTCCAAGTAAATTCTAGCAAACAAAATGTTGAGAAAGTAAAATTTTATTCTATACATATCGATAATAACCACACCCAACTAATATATTTCAAATGAAATATAAATTGAAACTATATCAAAGTCGTTTTTTTTACTGCGTTGAGAGTCTCGTTGTTTTCGACTTTAGCAAGAATTCCGTCGTTTTCAACTATGTTGAAAGACTGGTTGTTTTCGACTCTAATTCAATAAAAAAAAAAAAAACACTACGTCTAATTCTAATACGGTAGACTATTGTAGCTGCATCATGTTCGATATTTTTTGAAAACTCAAATTGTTCCTATGAAACCACTTGAATTTGAAAAGATGCTAAAGATATTTGCTTTAGATTTGATTTTATCCCTATGTTAGGTTATTATTTGAGTTGATATGAGTTGTATATTATTTTTATTTATAGATCTTTATCTTCGTTATGAATAATAATACAATTTTTTTTTAAATTTCGTAAAATATTTTAACCCTTTGATGAAAGAACATGCCCTTTTTTTTGGATGACGTGGAAACTCGCAGCCGCTACTCGAAAGTGCACACTAGGTAAACCCCCGGCCGAACCTAATACCCTGCAAATCAGACCCTACGGGAAAGAACACGCCCTTTTGTTTGGATGGATAATCAATTTCACATTTACAAAAGAAGTTTACAAATTTCCAATCTTTATACTCCCTCCGTCCCAGATACCGTGTCTGCTACACTGTAGATACGGTATTTTAGGAGGGGTGTAATTAGTAGATAATTAAAAATGTATTAGTGAAAATAATTATTCTATAATATAAATAATTATAAATTAAGATTAAGATAACTAATTAGTTTAATTAAAATTAAAAAATTTAAAATGAGATTAAAGTGTGTAATCATTTTTCAAAAAAGAAAAGTGATATGGTATGTGGGACGGATAGAAACGGCAACGTAGACATACTATCCGGGACGGAGGGAGTATTATATATTAGATATATGCATCACTTCAGATATGGATGAATAGGATTAGTTGAATAGGATTAGTTAAGATGATTATTAACTTGATCATTAAATTAAAGGTATCTATAAGTACTATAGTTTAATAATTTATTGAAAAAGTGTTTAAAGGAGTTTTAGTACAGGACAATTTAATTCCTAACATGTTTAAATCAATTAATTTTATATTTGAATATAGTAATTCGTCAGTTTCAATACAATAGTCTTGTTTATCATTTTTGTCTGTTTTAAAACAATAGTCTTATTTTCATAAATACTCGTATCATCATAAAATTATTTCTACTTTTTTATTATTATTAAACAAATATCACTACTTTTTACACTAATACACTCACAAGAGTAAAAAAGTATTTTACTCATACTTTTTACCGACTATCAATATAATATCAATATTCCTTAAATCTCGTGTCTAACTCAAATAAGACCATAGTTTTGGGACATAGGAAATACTAATTTACTAGCCACCACTGTATATATATTTAATTAAAATAAACACGCATTAGGTAGCGTCGGCGAATTTCCATATTAAAAGAAAAATTAAAATAAACACACATTATTATTGTTATACTGATTTACTTGATTCCGATCGGATCGGTGCAGCTCAATGATTATTATTTATTTAAAGTGAGAATTCATTAGATTAATCAGTCAAATCAAATCAGACGAATTATAACACACAAAATATATACGCGTCCAACTCAATTATTATTAAGGGTGTGTTTGTTTTGGGATTGAATTTTGAATTTGGATTTAAATAGTAAAAATTTTGAATTAGAATAGTTATATAATGTGATATAAACCAGGTGATGATATGATATTTTGAATGTAAAAACAAATTTTAATATAATACTCCCTTTGTTCCATAACAAAGTATCCATTTTTTCATTTTAGTATGTCCCATAACAAAATATCCGTTTCCATTTTTTTGTAATATCTATCTAACATTACAAATATCTTTACAATTTACAATATATTACACAAATATCATTATCTTTATATCACACAATACTAACAAGTTATTTTAGTCATTTTTATTGTATTTCTATTATATTTCAATATAATACTAATATTTCTAAAACTCCCTATAGAAAACAAACAGATACATAGTTATTTGACGGATGAAGCATAAATAATAAAACATAGATTGTGATTTGATATTTTTTAAAGTTAGTGGCCTTAACATGTGATTCATATGCACAAACAACCCAGCTCATCAAATACGAAACTAATAATAATATATAAATATTACTAGTTCAATCAAAGTTTACCTAAAATGCATTTGAATAAAAATAATAATAATAATAATAATAATAATAATAATAATAATAATTGTGATTTTTCGGGTATAAAATAAAAGATCGAGTTCAAGACTTGGCCAATTGTACTCAATTGATTTGCATATGTTGCATGTATATACATATGTAAGAATACATCGACCCTTGTCTTGTCTGCTCCAACCTCCAAGGGAGATTCTCATAGATAATAATTAATTTAAAATTGATTATTAAATAAAAAATCTATTTAATTAATATTTTAATATGATATTTTGTGAGATAAAATAATACTCCATTCATCCCACATAAATGATAATCAACTATTGGTTAAATGTTTACTCTTGTAAACGCATAAGTTAGTTGAAAATCTATCTTATAGTCTACCGTTACTTTGTCAACTATAGAGACATAATATATATCTTGGAGGTTGCCAATACTGAGATTTGTTGGGAAAAAAATGTTGGGAAAAAAAAATTGTGACTCCTTCTCCAACATCAATTAGGAAAAGTGAATTGGGGATGATTTTTTTCTATAAATTGATCTTTTTTTTACCTTTGATTTAGATTATCCTACAATACAATATTTATATTTTAACTGCGTTATATATATATATATGTATTTATCTAATCTCTTAAGTAGTATAATTTTGGTTAGGTTTCAGACTTTAAATATTATTTTTTCGAACCTCGTTAAATTTGATATTCTTTTATTTGTTCTATATATATATATATATATTTTTTTTTAGTTATTTTGTGATGATTTATTTTACTTTACTTTTGTCAAAAATTCTGTAAAATAAAAAAAAAAAAAAAAAACTTTAGAAGGTATGTTTAAAATGAATCATGTGTTTCTTGGAATTATCTGAAAATTTTTGTTAATACTAATTAGGTTTAGTATATCACTATTTTTGCAGGAGTTTTATTTTCTTTTGTCCTACATCTATTGCATTGCTTTGCTTAGATGACTTAAAATAATGAATGCTCTTCTTTGATAAAAAATTAAAAAAAAAATTATATTTAATATTAAAATAATATTTAATAGAATATTCCATTAAATATTATTGTAAAATAGTAAAATTTAAGAGATTTTTACTTAAAAACACACACTTTATTATAATAGTAATAAAAATGATGAACCGCCGGTTCAAAAATGGTTTTCGGTTCGACGGGGAACCGCGATTCGAAACGCCGGTCCGGAACCGGTAGGGCAAGTCTAACCCGAACGCTCTACTGCCCACCTGCAACAGTACACACTGGTCGGGTCAAAGTAATTCATCAATTCTCCTGTGAAATTCTCTTGGCTCAGCGCATACGGACGTAGAATTTTGAAACTGAATCCCTCGTTTGTCATTTGATCAGGACAAGAAACTCTTTGTAAATAAACCGGAGCAGCTATGGAAAAAGAGGCTAGCGGACGGCGCCAAAACCCCAAAGCCAAGATTTTAGGCGCAATTCCGCTCCAAGTAAGTGAAGAAAGCGCTGCGCAGTTGGTTGGCGGCATAGTCGAAAAGGGCTTCTCAGATGATCAACAGAGTAGGTCTTCCGGTCGATTGCCGCCTCCTCGCCCCACTGTTCTGCCCTTTCCGGTTGCCCGCCACCGTTCACACGGTCCAGTATGTGTATTTATGCTGTTTCCGCATTCCTTTCTACCGTGTTTGTTCGGTATTTTTTTATGATTGTATCTCGGTTCAACAAACATGAATTCTTGCTTTTTTCTTGTCTCAATTTGGATTATTAAGTTGTATGAGATAAGTTGGCTTTTCATTGTTGTCGTAATTTCTGTTGGATTTGTTAATAGTTGATGCGTTGATTACTTTGTTAATGTTCTTCAACAGCATTGGACTCCTAAAGTGGAAAAATTCAATGCTGTCAATGAAAATGATGATATGGATGATCTTGAAGATGAGGAAGATTGGAATGGGGTGGGCTTGGTTGCTAAGCCAATACAAAGGAAAGAGAAGAGAGGTTTGGATTTTAGCCGGTGGCATGAGATGTTGGAAAGTGAGCCTAGTTTCATGCACCACGAGAAGAAAAAAGAGAGGCACATGATTGAGAGGGAAGATGACGATAAAGCCGAAGGAAAAGTTTCTGAGGAATTAAGCATGCAAATTTCTGGGCCAGGGGATAGAGAGTCAGGTAGAGCTTCATTAGTTTTGAGTGAAGAAAGGCAAAATGATTTGGAAATGCATCACATGCCGAAGTCCCATATGGTTTCTGGTTTTGATGGGCAGAAGTTAGTGGGTGGAGAGGATGGAAGTCTTGAGAATCAGATTGATTCTGAGAATCATGCTCGGCTGGCAAAGATGTCTCATGAAGAGATTGCTGAAGCCCAAGCAGAAATAATGTCGAAGCTGAATCCAGATTTGATTAAGGCTTTGAAGAAACGGGGCCAAGAAAAAATTAGGAAGAAGGATAGTTCTGGTTTTGCTGCACAGAAGTTAGTAGGTGGAGAGGATGGAAGTCTTGAGAATCAGATTGATTCTGAGAATCGTGCTCTGCTGGCAAAGATGTCTCATGAAGAGATTGCTGAAGCACAAGCAGAAATAATGGCGAAGCTGAATCCAGATTTGATTAAGGCCTTGAAGAAACGGGGCGAAGAAAAAATCAGGAAAAAGGATAGTTCTGGTTTTGCTGCACAGAAGTTAGTGGGCGCTGAATATGGCAATCTCCAAAGGCAGATTGATTCTGAGAATTCTGCTCAACTGGCATCAATGTCTGCTGATGAGATTTCTGAATCACAAGCTGAAGTGATGGCAAAGTTGAATCCAGAAAGGATTGAGGCCTTGAAGAAACGGGGCCAAGACAAAGTTAGGAACAAGTCTTCAAACTCTGATAATACAAACAGCGAGGCAAATGGTGTGCAGCATGATAAAAATGCATCGAGCCATGGGAGCTCTGGATCTGATAAGCGAATAGATATGGTTACTGGCGATGCAATGGAAGACAAAAATCTCTCAAATATAAATCCAAAGAATTCTAGTGCTTGGGAAGCTTGGAGCAAAAGAGTTGAGCGCGTCAGAGATATGAGATTCTCCTTGGATGGGAACGTTATTAACTGGGATTCTGTTCATTTATCAGATGCTGGTAAGACTGCAAACCCATGTGATGGTTATTTTAAGGGTAAAATAAGTTTCTACTTTTTGTGCTATTTTGATGTTTGTTAATCCAATGAGTAACTTATTGTTTGTCTTTTTTCTGAAGAAAGAAAATTAGGCTTTGGAGTTGGTCAATTATTTCCTGCCCTAGTGTCTATGAACTCATGCTTAATTGTAGGATCACAAATTTCAGGACATACTCACCTGAAATCTTTTCTAACAAAAATTTGTATCTTCTAATTTAAACCATTAATGGGCTGGCTAAAGATTATACATCTTGCCAGTTTTGTGTCTTGAAAAACTTATGTTGTGGCACTTTATGCCTTTGAATTCTTAGGCCATGATATCCTATACATGATGGATCAGTTGACTTAAGTCTTTTTTCCCCTTGAGAAGTTTCTGATTACGATTCATTTGGTTTTAGGAAATGGAACATCTAAAAGTGGATACAATCCAGATAATGTGTCAGAACGTGATTTTCTTAGAACTGAAGGTGACCCTGGTGCTGCTGGCTACACAATCAAAGAGGCAGTGGCCCTAACTAGGAGTGTGGTTAGTTGAAATTGTTATTTGCAGAGATGACATTTTGAAAACATCAAATGCATTGTGTATTAATGACAAATGATTTTTGGGAAACTTTTCAGGTTCCTGGGCAGCGCGCTCTTGCTTTACATCTTATTGCAGCTATTCTTGATCTGGCGATTCACAACATCTGTCAGAATCAAGTTGGTGATGCCAAGGAATCTGTTGACTGGGAGGCTATCTGGGCCTTTGCTCTTGGTCCAGAACCTGAGCTTTCTTTAGCATTGAGGTATATCTAAAAATTGCGAACTCTCTTGTATGCATATCAAGTTAGTTGACTGTGACATGGTGTGAGGATTGTTGAATCCAAAATTTCCATGTCCCAAGTCCCAATGCTAACATTTTAGTTTTGTCCATCATAATTGGTAAGTAGCATCTTATTGGTCTATAGAACGATGGAGATTAAATTATTAATTAATTATCTGTATGGTGAGATGCAACTTTGTAAATTGTCCCACGACTGTTTCCCGATAATATTTATTGCATCTTATAATGTATCACTGAAAGTCATCCTAAAACTATGACTGTCATTCATGATACCTCTTTCTGTTATTTCTAATTGTAGAATTTCCCTTGACGATAACCACAACTCTGTGGTACTTGCTTGTGCCAAAGCCATTCAATGTGCGCTCAGCTATGAGATGAATGATACAATATTTGATGTCTCAGAGGTATAATTTTGTCTCTTAAAAATATTTACTTATTGTTCATATTTCTAACCAATCTTGGATAGTTGGAGGCCATCGTTGTAACTTGCTTTGTTGTTTTTTCTTCAGAAGTTACCCTCTTATGCAGGGGGTATTTGTACTGCTCCTGTTTTTAGAAGTAAACCAGATGTCAAATCCGGATTTCTTCGTGGTGGATTTTGGAAATATAATACCAAACCTTCCAACATTCTTTACTTTGGTGAGGAATCTGCAGGGGATAAAACTGAAGATGAACACACCATTCAGGATGATGTCTTTGTTGCTGGGCAGGATATTGGTGCCGGTCTTGTTAGAATGGGTATTCTTCCAAGAATCTGCCATCTTATGGAGGTAAGCATCCAATGCAAATATGCTACACTTGCTTGCATGAGATCTGAACTATGAAAAGTAATTACGGCATGAAATAATTCATAGTAATGTCTGCCTCTAAAAGTACTTATAGTGAGTTTATGTGGTACCAGACAGATCCTAGCGCACCACTAGAAGAATGCTTGATTTCTATCTTGATTGCAATATCAAGGCATTCTCCGACATGTGCTGCTGCTGTCATGGACTGTGGGAAGCTTGTTCAGACAATTGCAAGCAGATTCACTTCAAAAGAACCAATGGGAATTAATGCTTGCAAGATCAAATCGGTTACACTCATCAAAGTAAGTTGTGCCTCATAATTTGATGCTTTTTTTTCACAAAACAGTTATATCTTTCATTTTTCCTGATGATTCGGATCTTTGTTCCCATGGCGTGATATGCTCCTTATTTTCTAACTCATCTCCTTGTGTTTCAAAAGGTGTTGGCTGAGCTTGAGAACAAGAACTGCTTAGCATTTATAAATAATGGAATTCTCCAACAGGTGACTTGGCAGTTATTCCGACACCCATTTTCTATAGAGCATTGGGTAAAATCTGGGAGAGATGGCTGCAAACTTTCCTCAGCTTTGTTAGTTGAACAATTGCGCCTCTGGAAGATCTTCTTTCACTACGGATACTGCATTTCCGACTTTCCTAATCTATATGCTTCATTATGCACCTTGTTGAGTGTGCCTGAATTTGAGAGGCTAATCGACAATGATGTGATGAAGGAATATTGTGCCATCGCAAAGGAAGTATACCTTCTTCTGGATGTTTTAGCAGGTCGACTTACTAAGTTTTATTCACAGACGCCTGAAAAAGTGGATGCTGCCGCTAGGTCTGAAGAGAATTGGTTGTGGGGTCAATTTGGTTCTATCATTGATCAATCTCTCGAGTGGATAGCTGTTAAAAAGATTCCACATGTATCCAGAATCTTCAACTGTCAAGATAAAGATGGTGACTCTTGTGGTTTGCACGATTCGTATAAAACTTCCATCTTATGGATCATTTCTTCTGTTTTGAATATGTTCTCAACAGTTCTGAAAGCAGCTACCCCAGAGGACACCATGCTTAATAGTCATTTGCCATGGCTTCCAGACTTTGTCCCGAAGCTTGGACTTGAAATTATTAGAAATGGATATTTAAGATTTTCAGGAGTTGGAGATTCGATCTCCAGCAACAATCTTTCTGAAGACGCTTCCATACTTAAGTATTTATGGAACTTGAGGCTTAGAGTGGAACCAGAATTGGCCATATCTTCTTCATGTTGTCTCCAAGGATTACTCCAAGTCATTACCTCTGTCGATAACTTGATCCAGCATGCAGACCTTGATATCCGAAACCCAAAATTTCAAAATCAGAATCTTTCGATGGAAGATAAGGTTCTTGCCAATGGGATGCTCAACTCATGTGGTGTCGAGATGCAAGATTTGCTGACTGCTTTAATGGAACTAATTGCCAACGAGTGGCAATGTATGCAATCTGTTGAGACATTTGGCCGAGGAGGCCCAGCTCCAGGTGCCGGTGTTGGCTGGGGTGCCGCTGGTGGAGGGTATTGGTCCTTGAACACTCTGTTGGCTCAGCAGGATGCAAGATTGCTCGTTTACTTGCTTGAAATTTCTGAAGTGCCCACTGTAGAAGATCCCTTAGAACCTGGACAAAGCCTTGCAATGCAAATGCTAAATTGCTCGCTCTCCGCTTGCTTGATTGGGGGCCCTGGAAACAGTTCTTTCATTGAAAAGTTACTGAAATTCATATTCCAGGTTTCTGTTCTAAAGCATCTTGGCTTGGGCATCCAACAGTTCCTTTATAGTAGAAAGGGATGTCGACCATTTGGTTGGAATTATACGGGTGAGGAGTTACAGCTATATGCCGATGTTTTGATTGCTCACTTTAGGAACAGGTGGCTTACTGTAAAGAAGAAACAGAAGGCTGAAGATGCAGATAGTCGGTTAAACCACAGATCTAAGAAGAAAGAGAGCTGGTTGCTGGAGACCATTCACGAGGACTTGGATTCGCCAAACCCCGCTGGGAAAGAGATGTCTCGTTTAAAACTGGAGTGGACTTATCAAAGATTGCCTCTTCCATCACATTGGTTTCTCAGTGCAATCTCCACCCTTCACTACAAAGAAAGTGACATTTCCAAAGCTGGGCTCTTCTTTCTTCTTGGTATTGAAGCAATGCCTGCCTGCCACGGCTCTCCTGTCAAACATGTTCCCGTCGTTTGGAAACTGCATGCAATGTCTGCTGTACTACTCTCTGGGATGAGCGTTCTTCATGACGAGAAGAGCCGAGATGTGTTTGAAACTTTACAAAATGTTTATGGTGAAACCATTGATAAAGGATGTTCTTCCCTGCGATTTGAGTCGGATATCCATGAGAACTACTCCACCTTTATTGAAATGGTGGTAGATCAATTTGCAGCTGAATCATATGGCGACATTTTATTCGGGAGACAAATTGCAATGTATCTACACAGATCTGTCGAACATTCTGTTCGGCTCGCCACATGGAATGCTTTGTCGAATGCTCATGCTCTTCAACTTTTGCCTCCACTTACCGAATGCTTAACCAGGGCAGAAGGATATCTCGAACCTATTGAGGTATGGGCAGCCATCATTCAGTTTTTACAACGAAAACTGGTGTTCATCATCATCATCATCATCACTATCATTATTGTCGTCAACTGATTTTGATGCAGGACAATGAAAGAATCCTTGAAATGTATGCGAAGGCATGGGTCTCCGGCGCACTGGATAAAGCAGCTACCCGGGGTTCAATGGCGTTCGCGTTGGCACTGCACCATCTTTCGTGTTTTGTATTTGGGGATGCAATTGACAGCATGCTCGCTCTCCGGAATAGGCTCGTGAAGTCTCTGCTACGAGACTATTCCCGTAAACAGCAGCAACGCGAGGTACGATCTGGAACATGAACACGAACATGAATTAAAGCCTGCAGTGTACAACAAATATTGCTCAGCATTTACTGTTTTCTTGTGTGTTTTGCAGGGGATGATGGTGAAACTTGTATGCTATCGGAAACCTGACGCCGACCTTCCTCCGTTGCCGGAATCGGAAATCGGAAAAAGGTTGCAGCTGCTGAAAGATATTGGCGCCGCCGATGGAAATGTAGCTGCCATGGAAAAGCTTGAATCTTGCCTCAAAATGCGTCAGAGGATTTGAATCTTGCATCAAAGCTCATACTCATTTAGCTTTGGGTTAAAAAAAAAAAAGAACGAACTCAAGAATTAATCTTGATCATAGTATAAATTTTAATTACAAATTTTGAAGTTATTGTCCATCAACGAGATCTGAATTTTCATTTTATTTTTTATTTTATTTTATTTTATTTATTAGTGTACGAGTATGATATGAGTATGGGAGTCTTTGTGGCCACGTTGTTTCTCCTTAGAATAAAATCAAATCAAATCCTGAATCCGAACTTCTTCCATTTTCCAATTTCCAAATCGAAACCCCTGCACATTGTTCGATCCCGCTTCCATGGCCGATTGGTCCATCTTACTGGCGGAGCTTCTCCATTTCATTTCCGAGAAGCTTCCAACCGCCACCGATCGCCTGCGCTTCCGCGCCGTCTGCGCCACCTGGCGATTCGCCGTTCCACCCCCACACGCCGCTAACCGTTTCCCCATTTTACCTAATTCCGGCATCTCAGACACCAGTTGGGGTTTCCACCTCTCTCGACGCACTGTCTATTCAATCCGATCGCCAATCGCCGACTGTATTCCCTCGTGGATCATCAAACTCGAACGGGATAACCCGTCGCGGATGCATCTTCTCAAGCCGCTGTCTCGCGCCAGATTTAAAGCCTTACCCGATGATTTTCCCAAACTCTTTAATTCCCTGAATCTTAGGGTGTGCGAATTGGGCGAAGAATATGCTCTTCAATATATCAATTTCAGGCCGCTGGCGAGTTCGATTGGCGAGGCGGGGAATCTTTACATGGAGAAAGTAGCGGTTATGAACAACAATCTGGATGATGGATTTGTGCTCCTGACAATCCACGTCTCTGGGAAATTGGTAGTCTATAAATCCGGGGATGAGAAATGGAACGTGATTGATTACCTACCTTCTCCATACGACGATGTGATTCTGTGGAAAGGGAATTTCTACGCAGTCGATAACTCAGGTAAACTAGTGTTTGTGGATTGTGAGAATTTGAATGTGAACACCATTGCTGATTCAATCTTTGGAGGAGATAAGAAGTTTATTGTGGAATCAAATAAGGAGCTATTGCTAGTTGATATGTATTTGAGCATAGGACCAGCAGATGATTCAGGTCTCATTGAGGTATTGGAGTTCTACGAGGATTTCGATCGTTTTATGAGTGAGAGGACAGTGAAGTTCAAGGTGTTCAGGCTAGATGAAAGTGTTGGATGGATTGAGATCAATGATTTGGGCGATAGGATGTTGTTTTTGGGTGAGAATTGCACGTTCTCTGCGGCGGCTGCTGAGATTTTCCCGGATGGCGGGCACAGGGGGAACTGCATATTCTTCACTGATCAGTATTATGGTAGGGAAGATGAAGCGGCGTCGAAGGCCCGCGGCATAGGAGTGTTTGATTTGGGGAGTGGGAACATTGAATCGATAATCGGTCAGGGGGGTTATTCGAAGATGTTTTGGCCCCCTCCCGAATGGATTTGTTCTACGACGACGTCGATAGAAGTAAGTTGTGATTGCTTTTGCATTGGCTGTTTTTATTCTTGATTTCTTGTAGTGTATTTGTGTTATTTGTTTCTTTCTTTGTTGTAATATTGTTGCTGCCTTGTTTTTGTGTGAATTTAGGATGGGATGAATCAGCTGAACGTTTGAGAGTGATTTGCTGGATATACTTTTGCTGAATAATTCCAACATTTCATTGTATTGAAGATATAGGTTTGTTTAGCTATTTTACATCGATAATCGACTGGTTTAACTTCTGATTTGTATCTGGATCTAACCCATCGCCAAATCTGTTGTTAATTTTTGGTTTCTCATTTACTAATATCTCATCAGCGTGTTGTTTTATCCTTATATTTTGCCATGCTAAAGATCAATAGTATTAATACTTTCATAGGCTGAGACAAATATACATAATGGATGGATATATAGGTAGAAGACACAACTGACAATACCCGCTATATGAATCGAATCAATGAAAGCTTAGACGGCGCGACCAAACTCGATCCATGTCAGCAGGCAGAGGCACGACACTGTCGGGTTTATGGCCACGGGAAGGACTCTTAACCGGCGTTGGGCTACTCATCAAGGGCGGGCTGGACAAAGGAGAAGTGTACGGCGGGGTGTAAATTGAGAAGGGACTCGGCGATATCTTCTTTTGAATTGGCAGGCCATTGAAACCTTCTCCCCTCTTCAAACCTGGTTTGGGGACAGGCTCTGATGCGGCGCTGCGCTTGATGGCATCGTCCACACACAGCACGTCGTCAATCCTCGCAATTATGTTGAACGCCAAGCTCTCCATTACTCGAGAATAGCTTTCTAGTATGGCATGCCCGACATCCTGCAAGAAAGACCATCGATGTAAGTAATACACGATGAAGAAGAAGAAGAAGAAGAAGAAGAAAGACTAAGAGCTTAACCACCTTGTTGTACTGGATTTTGCTCATATCTAATGCAGTTTGCGGAAGTGCAGGAAATCTTTGTCTTAGATACTGCAAAAGGGTTTCGGCGCGATCAGCTAGATATTGATTCTTGTCCCCATCAGATCCCAAGCTCTTCACCTTGCTGCTCCACGCCTTCCGCTTAGATTTCTGAGTATCCAGGTGTTTTTTTCGCTCTTTCAGCTTCCACACGTGCGCAGCTGCCTCAATTTTATTTGCAATATCCAGGACCTGATGCTCTGATGACAAGTCCAGGGAATCAATTAAGGATTCAGGTTCAAAGCGATCAGCCGTCAAGGATTCATATATGGTATTGCCCAAACAGTCTCTTCCATTCTGCAAGGAAATTACGAACGCTATAAATCATGCGATGAGGTAATTACTATTGATCAAGAAGAATGAGTTGGGAAATGACCATTGGTAAACTTTCCAAATAGGCAGTTGGAATGTCCATCTCAAAAAGAGCATTGCTGTTTATAGCCAAGGCTGCCTTCAGTATCTGGTTTCCACAATCCCTGCATTGCTGCAACATCTTCCTCGAATCTTTGGACAATCCTTTCTCAGGAACTTTAGGCCATGGAAGCCACCACTTGCCCTCCTGCCTAACTGAGGCCCTCTCACAATACCTTTCTGATGAGAATCTGTCTTCTTCATCTACACCAACTCCACCATCAGCATACCAAAACTCTGTATCCTCAAACTCATCCAGAATGCTAATCAACATTGCATCAAGCTTCTTGAGTGCAGCTAAGTTTATGTACAAGTCACTCCTCTGTCTTGTTGCCATTATCTCATAGGTTCCACCACCTGGAAATTGCTGTATTTTGGGCACAAATTCCACAACTGAATCACCAATGGATAACAGCCACTCCATCTCCCTGAACCACAAGGCCTTCTTTTGTGGAACCAATGGCTCCAGCTTCCACTGTGCCCCAAATACAGATGCTATCATTCCAAACAAGGAGTTAGATGAATTACATGATGAACACAATTCTGCCAAAATCTACATATATGGTTTTATCATAGTTACCAGAAAGATTGGTGATAGCATTTGATATAGCTAGAGCAGTACAAACTCCTTTACCCCCTCCAGACATATCTTCACCCAGAAGCAACTTTGCAAATCTCTCCTTCATCATCTCTATTTCCATTACTGTGCCAAGCAAATCGTATAAGGAATCCAGATAATCCAATAGGGAAAACAGAATCGGAAAATTCTTCCACTGTTCAAAAAGTGCACCGACGCAGATGGATCACGGATCACATCATCCATAAACATATTGAAATACGATTTTGTACACAGAATGATCAATTAGATGTATACGACGATCAGATCTAACATGGATGAAGTTAACGCGACAAAATTTGTAGAAAAGCAAGCAGCGAGGACGAACCTGACATATCCAGAGGCTTATCGTCCCACGCTACTTCATCCTTCTCACCAATCGGCTCATCGTCCCATTCGACCTCATCCTTTTCGTCTCTGATCAAAGAAAAACTGAATTTCGGCCGCAAAGGCGTCGAGCTGCTGGCGCGACAGGGAGAAAACGCGCCACCGCGCTCTTCCGCCTCCGCATCACTGTTGAAGCTCCCTAAGTCGCTAATTTCACCGCTGGCGGCGCTGTAACTCCGACGCCTCTCCTGTCTTCGCTCCTCCATTGATGCTGAAAACTAGAGCAAAAGTGCAGAGACGGAGATCTCAGAGCCACGTTCACGTTATTCGAGAATTACCTTAACTTGCTGCAGTCGATGATTTAGTTGGGAATTACAGACGGCGTTGATAGGGAAGCGCGCACGATAAATGCTGATGAAGCGGCGGTGATTGACGGCGTTGGGTGCGGCGCGTCGGTGGCTTGACGACCATCTTCTGCGGGCACCGGCACTCACCTCGCTGCTGCCATAGAAGAGACTGACTGACTGACTGACTTACTGAAACAACGCTGTGGAAAAACATATTTAAGAGGTTTGACTATGATATTAAAATTCATTGATAATAATAATAGAGTACTATAATATAATATGGTAACTAGTTATTTAAGAATAACAGTCCCTATTTAAGTTGTAGATGCTACTATATCAAATAGCCTTATACTTTTGAATTATTTGTTCAAATATTTGAGTAGTTTTAATAAAAATAGATAATAATTAATTTGAGTATATTACCGTAGACACTACAATTTAGGTAAAGTATGATTAGTAAATAATTAAAAAATATATTAGTAAAAATAATTATAAATTAAAATTAAAATAACTAAATAGTTTAATTAAGATTTAAAAAATTTTAAATTTTAAATGCCATTAAAATATAATTATATATTTTTTAAAAATAACAAATTATGTGGGACGAACGATAATAGAAAATATGGACAAATTATGTGGGACGGGGGAGTAATATTTTTTAGTTCTTATAACAAAAAAAAAAAAGTATAAAACTAACCATTTTCTTTCTAAAAAAATAACTACCTTATGATATTCCCTCATCTCAGTCTGTCTCTATGGTCGCATTTACTTTTTGGTCATTGTACTTAAAATTAAAAATATTTTTATATTTATATAATTTTGTATAAATGTCATTATATTAATATTAGAAAACATTAATTGAAATATTTTTGTAATTTTTTTTTTAATTTGTACTATATTTTGATATAATAATTAAAATTAAAAAATTAACATGTAAAAAGTAATTAAGACCGTTGAAACCTAAGAAGTATTTTTTTTATAACATATCAAAATATATATATATATATATATTTAGATGGAAAATAATTATTACTATTGTTATTATTTTTATCATCATAATTTGGCATGTATGTTGATACTATAAATTTATACTCATAGTAGTAATTGACATAAATAATTACAAAGATCATTGAAAATAATGGTAGCAGTCAATTGACTGACTGACTGACTACGCAATTATTGAGTTGCCTATGCAACATGGTTTTTAGTAGTCACCAACTGTTTGTTCTTAAATTTTTATTTAAAAATATATCTTTACAAAAAAAATTATGCAAATTATGTAATAAAATAACAAGTTTTTTTATTATTTTTATTTTTACGGACGATGCATTTTATGTTTGGTATTTTTCATATAATTTATATTATTAATTATTTTTTTATTATAAAATATCATATCAAATATTTTTTCGTTCCGTAAAATTATTTTATTTTTTTTATAAATTTAAAGTAAAATTGCTTATAATTTCCCTGCGATTTCAATATTCAACGTAAATTTTCATATACTTTAAAAAATTGCATCACATTCTCTTATACTAAATATTGTATGAAACCTCCACCATGAAAGCTCACTTGTATGATAAGAAGATGATTTCATATATTTATAAATATATTTTGTATGACAAAGGGTTTCATGCAATATTTTTAAAAATATAAAGGGCGTAATGCAATAAAATGAAAATTTGCGCTGAGTTTTAAAACCACATAGAAGTTTTATGGAATATTTTTTAAAATATAAATGAATGTCATACAAGTTTTAAAGTAAATAAAGAATTTACGCTGAATATCGAAATAAAAGGAAGTTATAGATAATTTTACCAAAATTTAAAAAGAAAAGAATGATTTTATCGAACAAACGAGGTATTATATATAATTTTTTAATATTTTTAAATTTTAAATTAGTATTTCTAAATTTGCAATATACTACAAATTTCGTTGTCACACTTTAAAATTATTACTCCCTCCCTCTACAAACTTTATGAATTATATTTTTTTTTCATTTTAATTCAAAATAATTTTTTTATTATAATTTTTGTTTGGTATAAAAGTATCTATTTTTATAGTAAAAGTAATAACGTATTACTGCTAAAATATTTGTATAGTTCGTTTGGTACAAAAAATAAAATTACAGAGACTAGAAAATAAATTTGTAGATAAAAAAATCAACAAATAATGAAATTTGATTCTTATGTTTGGTATATAAATATTAGATTAAGTTATTCGGAAAAATAAATGAGATGATTAATCGAGTAAGAGATGTTTCAACAAATAAATTTAGTTATTTTTTTATTTATTTTATTTAAGTTTGATTTTGATTTTTTATTAAAAATTGTAATTTAAATGCAATATGCTATAAAATAAAATAATGGAAAAAAAAATCAATTTTGGTTCTAATATAATTAAAATTTATCAATTTTAGTTTCAATATGAAAAGATCATAAATTTTAGTCGTATTATAAACAATTTCAATCAATTTTGATCCCACTGTTAAAAAAAAAATTAATAGAAATTATTGACATGGACGTTACATGGTTGACGTGCAGGTAACGTGTAAATGACACGACTATGTACAATTATATATGGCCATGTTATCACATGGCCGTGTATAATTCAGTGTACAATTATGCATGGTCATATTGTCACGCAATTATATTTAATTCTACACGGTTATATACCTTTCTATTTTGATCTAAATTTTATTGTTTTGTTATATATTTTTTTAAAAAAAATATTTTAATTTACTTTTATACTATCTATGAAATGATATAGATATGGTGTATATATTTGATAGAGAATTGATGTATTTTAAAGTTTAACAACTTTACTCATATAAAAATAATAAAATAATATCTTAACTTATTATTAATATCTTTCAAACTAATTTTTTTTTAAAAAAAACTAATATATATTAATTTTTTTATTAGATATTTAAAATTATATATTTATACAAGTGTACTTCATATATATTTACGATACGGAAATCTATAAAATTTATATGAATCAATACAAAAAATATTTAATCTATAAATTTTAGTGAAAAATTTATATAAATTCATAAATAATCAAATCAAATCAATCAAAATAATAATTGAATAAATAATATAATCGCATTTATAAAATTTCATGAAAATCAATAAACAAAATCAATCGAATCATATATAAATTCTGTAAAATTTCTAAATCTATTTAAATTAACCAAAATTTTAAAATCCAAACAACTCTCTCTTGTGCTCTTTTATGGGTTTTACGACGGACTATTACTATTCAATTTTATTTTTTTTCCTAAAAATATCAAATCAAATCGTTAGTTTTTTTTTTTTAAAAAATATTATACTTCATCCGTCTTCTTAAGAAGTATATGCTTACTATTGGCACGAAGTTTAAAAAATAATAGTATTTTGTGTATATTTTTTTTGCTGTACAGAGAAAGTACTTCAAATTTATTTTACATTCAAAATATTAAATCTAATTTTTATTTATATCACGTCAAACACTTGTTCAAATTAAATTTTTTACCATTCAAAAATCCACACTAAAACACCTAAAACCAACAAACAAACACATTTGCGTTTTGGATTTTGGTTTCTAATAATAAAACTTTGAATTGAAATACTTGTTTAATATGATATTTATATATTGACGTGATAGATATTTTGAATGTAAAATAAATTTTTGATGCGGTATTAAATAAAAAATGATATGATTTTTTTTTTTAAAAAAAATAAAATAGTAAAATTCATAACTATTTATTTCGAGTAAACTATTCTAGAAGACGACTCCGCATATTACTATTTTTAATGGGCCGTAAAAGGATATTTGGACTGAAGGCCATGAATTAGGCCCAGTTCGTATTTGACTCTTTAGAAGACAACGCTACGCTACGCTACGTTCTTATTCTTTTCCGTAAGCTCGCTCGCTGATCGGCCCCAAATCCAATCGATCGACACCTTCCCGAATATTCTCTGGTTCGGTTGCTTTCTGGATAATCTCGTCGTCGATTGTTGGATTGATTGAATCCTCGAAGAAGAATAAAGCTGATCGTTGAAAATGCCGAAGAAAATGGGGGTTAACAGCAAGGCGGAGGCGTCTAGGGCACGGAAAGGTGCTGCCGAATCCGAGCGCAAAGAGCGCGAAGCCAGAGAGAAAGAGGATCAGTACTGGCGAGAAGCTGAGGGAGCCAAGTCGCGAGCCGCTAAAAAACGTGAAGAGGAAGCGGAGAAGCGAGCCGAGGCTGCCGCCAAGAAAGCTGAGGCGCGTCGCTTGGCCGAGCTGGAAGAGAAAGAGCTTGAGAAAAGCATGAAAAAGCCCGATAAGAAGGCGAATAGGGTTGCTGCGCCAATGCCTAAGGTGACATCGGTGGAACTGCGTCGTCGGAAGGAGGAGGAAGACGAGGCGATGAAGCGGCGCAGCGAGGAGGAGAAGAAGAAGCAGAGCCGGGTCGCGGATGAGGAGGAGTATGAAAGAATGGTGACTGTTGCGAATGTAAATCGTGATGATACTATTATTGAGGCGCGGACGGTGGAGGAAGCTATTGCGCAGATGGCCGTTGCTGATAGTTTGCCGGTGGATAAGCATCCTGAGAAGAGGCTCAAGGCTGCATTCAAGGTATGATTTTGAACTGGTTTTCTCTGAGATGTGTGCATACATATATATATATTGTTTTAATCATATTCATGTTGATATTGAGTTCTTGTAATGAGGAATCAATTGCTTGGCTGATTTATTATGTTGGTTATCTGCTATTCGATCCAACTGTTCATATATCTAATGTTTCAAGTAGATTGTTTCTAGAATTATTGATGAATAAATATACTGCTAAACTAATTTTATGTCTTCAGGCTTTTGAAGAAGCTGAGCTTCCAATATTGAAGGAAGAAAAACCAGGTCTCACACATACTCAATACAAGGATTTGATTTGGAAACTTTGGAAGAAATCTCCTGACAACCCTCTAAACAAGGTATAAATCTAATTTACACTGAATAAGATTAAAAGTTTTACTGTTGTCTCACTGGTAGTAAAATATGTTGAAAATTTGTTGCGTATTACTTATTAATTGGATAAAATGTCTGATTGGTTGATGAGTCCATAATTTCCTTTAGCTGTGAACAAAATTTTCTAGTAAAGTCCGCCATTTTCTTATAGGCTGCCGAAATTTATATAAATTTCTTTGATCAATCTGTTGCTATTATAAGGATGTAATGGGGAGGATTGTGTTGCCTGTTGGTTGCTGTGTCCTCTTAATACGCACATATCAAGTGATAAAAAGATCTGCCTTTCTGGCTTGAAGCTAGTGAAGTAACGGACCCGTCCTGATATTTACCTACCCAGCCATTGGGACTATAGTAGAAAAAGTAAAATCAGATTTATATCTGATGTTGAGAATGGTTTGGGATTCTAATAGATGTAGATGATGGCACAAGATAATAAGTGTCATAAAATTGAGATGGCCAGGCTTTACTGTTACAAGTAACAAAAATAAAACAGATCTTTTTGCTACATCTGAGATGATTGGAATATAACTCTTGTTAACCTAACTTCCATCAGATATTAGTTGAAGTGAAAATGGCCATCAACACTATTTTGGATTTTCCATCTGTTTTTGCATTTTTTAAGGATGGTATTTAAAAGTTGAAACAGCACCAGTTTAACACTAAAAAGTATCCAAGGGATGGAAAATTTTATCGCTTTCTCTTTCTGCATGTCACAAAAATTGCATTTTATAGCCCTGATTAATTTTGGCCCTTGTGAATTTTCTTTATGTCATTATTTGGTGCATGTACATCCCTCTTAACAGTTTGGTATCGTTCCAACGTGGCAGGTGGCTGACAAGTGATGAGGACATCTTTTCATGAACACCTTGTATCATTCCTATTGGCCATGATGAATTTGAGCTGCAGTATGCTGACCTCTGCGTGAGACAGCCTCACCCTCCTGCCTCGGACACAAATACCGTGTTTACATCACATGATGCATTGGATAGGTTGATATAATAAATCAAACCTGGACAGCCAATCTAAAAATAAAAACTTTGATTTCTATGTATATGAATGATCCTTACCACAAGATAGCATTGACATGGTTTTGGCAGCTACTGATAATTTGCTTGTAACATAAACAGCTTTTTATGAAAGAATGCTGCCATCCATGTTGTAAACTGGAAAATTCAAGGATGATACTGTTCATTCGCGTGGATGATTACTAGAATGTGTGTTTATTGTTTATAGTTTTGATTGTTTGGGACATGGCATGCTGGGACTAACAATGCAGCTTCTTATGTGTTTGTTCTTGTACTGTACTTTGAATGGAAAATGCTGTTTAGGATGTTTTATGTTGTGATGTCATGATTAGTCATTGGTATTGATAGCTGATTACTAGCAATCTAATTCTGAAGCTTTAAGGAAATATTGCCAACCAGTTTGTGGAATGCATCCCATGATTTAAGTTAGCTGAGTGTTTTTATTACATATTAATGAAGCAGGATTAGATGTATATACTTTTGTTAGCACTCAATAAACCGAAAGATTCATTTGGTTTTAGAAATGTTGTGCCGTAGCCCATTAATTAGTATTGAAGAGAAATCAAGTTCTCTGTGTCACTTGGTTTTATTCTGTAAGTGCTCAAAAGATGCATTCTCTTGGATGCTATCAGCCCTTCAGCTGAGAGAAATTTATTGGTGAAACATAATACTGAGGACCCCCGTAGAGTATTTGAGCTGCTAGGAATGAAGCAGTCTTTGTAGGGTGGAACTGATCCCAGAATAAGTACCTGCGCCGATCTTGGCAGAGCGATGCTTTCAAGTTGCAATAGCCTTCTGCGTTCAAATATCCACTTCCACAGCATGCTGTATCCACATTGTCGAAACCTGACAACATGATTGGATAGTATCACCAAAACTGAATAAGGTATGGTGTTATGTTACTTTTTAATCGATTGCTTACCAACAAACACTGGATTATTTATAACATCGATGGTCATTCTGTATCCATTTCCTAGTGAGTACTTGAAATCAGGAAGCTGTGAGCTGATGTTGCTTAGAAGGCCCTCCAGTGCCGTGTAGAATGCCAGGGCGAAGTCGTTCTCTGGCTCAAAGCAACCATCGACACCATTCAGGGCTTTTTGGACGAGTCTCTGGGATGGACAGCAGCCAATAGGAGGTACACTTATGATACCGAATTTCCTGGCCCCAAGCTTGTATAGATTCTAGAACCATAGGAAAAGCATCCAAGTATCTGTTTAGTAGCTTAGATTTCTCGAAATTAGTGGTTTGAGTACTAATCAAGGTGTGCATTGAGTTAAAGAAAATACTCACTGTTATGTGGTTTGAGTATGTTGAGATCAGAGACCCTATGAACAGATCTTTCTGCAAGGTGGAATTGGTTCTGAAATACCCCAGAATGTCATTGCTTCCCATACTGATGAAGAAGAGTGATTTGCAAAGTAGCTCCTTTGTTGCTGATGGTCCTATCAGGGCAGTGAGATTATCCTTAACTGTGGAGAATTGTGTTATCTGCTGCGACAAGGGGATGACGCTCTGTTTGGCCATCGTAAACACAGTTACATTCGGAAGTTACTGATTCTTTTCAGCAAAAGGTTTGGCACAGCATGGCTTACCAGCCTTGGACCTGTTTCATCAAGAAGTCCGGCGCCAGCTGAGGCAAAGTTTGCACCTTGCAATAGATGTTTCCGGAACTGATGAGGTTTTAGCGTAAGAAGAAACAGAAAAGGAGCCGGGCTTCTCTTGAGACCAAAAAATCTGGCTGAGAAACAATGAAGGAAAAATTGTCAGCACTCAATCATCAAGATTGGTGTTTATTTCCTTTTGAAGGATGTACTAACCAAGAAAATCAGCACTGTTGAAGCCATTGCTAAACCTTCCTGTTGGCCGTTGATGTGGAAAGTCGATTCCATAGGGGGGTTCATCTGCTGTCACCACACTCCCCGACAAGTAAGTATTGGTTCCGACATCAGCTGTTGAGTCTCCCAGCACGAATATAGGAGGCGGTGCAGCAGCATCAGCCGCAGAGTGCAGGATGAAATGAGCCAAGATAATTAATCCACAAAGAAATGGAGAGACGCGACTCTTAGCCATGCGGCAAAAAGAAGCAGGTTTAAGTATTTCTGCTTTCATTTCATTGGTATATTCAGTTGTATACGCATGAAGCCTGTCTGGAGAGTAGATGACGGAGTTACGGCCCCTTTTATGGCGTTGGGAGTAGAAAGTGCAACAGTTGAGGACAAATATGCGGGCTGTGATAGCTTTGCAAGCAGACGGCAGAGTAACACTAGACAGGAATGTACATCGAAAAAAATGGAAAAAAGAATGCCTGAATCTGCCTTGTGATGATAAAGACAAGATCAGCTGCCCCAAGCTTGATGGAGGTTTGTCCCTTGTCTGAATCTAACTGTATTGTAGCTGGTGAAGGAATGAATTCATCGATTGGCTTGGTCCTTTCAATAAAGATACGAGAAAAGAGAAGAGCATCTTTGTTTCGAAACTATGTACGGTGTAAACAAGAAGAGAGCATATTCCATCTGCATATGGCCAGAATTGGTGACTCAGAAATTCGATGGACACATTTTTATGTTGTCTATACACAAGGATCATCAAGAAACTATAGAGTCAAAGAATGCTTTCTTTATTCGACAAGGAAAGGAATCCGAATGGTAATCGAACTTCAATGCCCCGGATCATCCTGGAGCTATCAAAATTTCTTTCCTGCAGCTCTCCCGCAAAGCAGAGCATTGTCTGGAAGCGGTAATTCGTCTCTGGGAGACACGACAGGCGTATAAACCCGAATGTAGAACTGCTGTCCGAGGTATTGTTGTGCCCATAGCTCAGTCCTCATGTTCCACATTCCGACGTTGTCCAGCGCCACTAAAATTGCAGTCCATGACTTGGGATAAACCTGTAAGTCGCAACACAGGTTCATTATTTCAGACATCAAATTGTCGATACATGTCTCTTCTTGATTCTCACCTGTGTCGTGCAGCGTGAAACAGCATCTACGAGGTTGTACTCTTTTCGCTGCTCAGGTGACCATGGCCCGTCATCCATCCTGCAAGATCCAACTTCAGCAGATGTCCGGGAAGATGAACAACAAACCGATATGATGCACTCACGCGACTACATAGAAGGAAAATCCATCAAGATGCCAGGTTTGAATGTACATTTCATTGTTCTCCAACACTATTTCTGCAAAGATCTCATAATCTGCTCCCATAACCGATGTCCCAAGGCGAACGCCTCTGCTTTCAGGAGGGCTGTCGGCAATGCTTCCAACTCGGAACACCCCTGAAATGTTGAAGTAGTCTACCAGCTTCAGCGGCGTGTCAGCTGGAACAAACGACACGCCATTCACCCCAAAGCGCGGTCTCCCATTCACCAATCCGCTCGAGCTCGCCAGCCTGATGGTTCTTGTCACATTAATCTGACCATACCGGAACGAGCCCTGCGGATTCGGCCTCGGACCGCTTGCTGTCAGATTAGTCCTGGAAAACAACACAATAACTAAACATGGCATCCATGGTAACATTAAATCGAGTATAGTTCAAAGAAATATACCTGATGGAAAGGGCCTGGTTCATGGACCACCGGATGTCCGCGGTGGGGGGAGGCGGTGTGGGGCCGGAAACAGGCTCCCGGGAATGATTGTAATGAAGAATGGCGGTGGCGGTTAGGGGCTTATCGGTGAAACGTGTGGATACAGCAATGTGGTAGCTCCGGGGAGTCTGGTCGGCGGCGACGAGCACGGAGTAGGACTGGCCGACGTGGACGTCGAGGGAGTCCATTACAGTCTGGATGGTGTGTGTGCCCTCCACCTCGACCAGCTTCATCGTGTGGCCCTGAATTCGAAAATTGAGGGAATGGTGAAGGCCAACGTTGGATATTCTCAGCCTGTAGGTTTTCCCTGGATCCACATTGATCTTGAATGGATTGGTTTTGGTTCCATGGCCATTGATGAGGATGCCATCGGGGAAGGGGAGCAGCTCGCCGTTATCTACTCTAGACTTCAAAACCTGCGGGTGGTTTCGGCCTTTCAGGACAAAAATCCATCGATCTATCGATTGATCAAAAGCGTTCGAATTGTACCGTATGGTCGGTGTTGTACCATTCGCCGATAAGAACGGTGAGATCGCCGGCGGCGGCCGGAAATGGGACCGGAATCCGGGGGCGGCTGAGGATCCGAATTCCGCCGAAGCCGCCGGCGGCTTTGTGGAAGGCGGTGGATGGGAAGTAGAAGAAGCTCCCGATTTGATCCTTGACTTGCAGTTTGTAGGTGAAGTTTTTGCCTGGAGGGATCGGACATGTCGTCCCGTAAACGCCGTCCTGGTAAGAATTCCTCCTGTGCTGTATCCCGTTCCTAAAATAATTAAATAAATAAATAAATAGATATATATTGATTACGAGGTGAGGAATGTTGGTTGCAGAGAGTGAATGACTGACTGCCTGACCAGGAGATGAGAAAGGGTTCGGACAAGGTGTTGAAGACGTTGATTACGAGGTTGTTGTTTGTGACGGAGTGGATATCGGGGCCTGGAAACTGTCCATTGATCAGGATTCCTTTCTGAGGAACTCCCAGAGGCTGAATCACGCCGTAAGTCACGTTCCATGTGAAGAATCTGTAAGGATCCTCGCCGCTCGCCGCTCCCACAATCGCCGCCCAAACTACGGCGGCCAAAGCGCAGCGCCGCCACATGGTCGGAATCGGAGGGACGGAGAAGAAACAAGGTAAGAATTCACGCGTGTATATATATATATACACTAGATATATAAATAAATAAATATAATTATGGGTATGTTTTCTTCTAAATTTGATATTAAAATAATATACGATTGAATGAAAACGTAAATAATTAATTAATAATTAAACGCATCGATAGACGTGCATGACACGTGAAGTAATTAGGGGTGTCATTAATATGTGGTTTTGGGGGTAATCTATAATTACAAAATTGTTATGGTTTGGCTAAGGGTAACAGATTTTGTCATCACATATAACTGCTGCCTAAGTTTATTTTATTTTATTTTTCATTCTGAGTATTTAGGTAGGTTTGGGTGCGAATCTTGGATAAGTATAATAGAATTAGGGGCTATTCTTATTACTTATTTATGGCAAATTGTACTTATGAAATATAACCCCCCTTATTTAATACTCGCTCCGTCAAAGCTAAAAGTATACAATTACTTTTTGGCGTGGAGATTAAGGAATAACAGTATTTTAATTATAGTGGGGAGATAAAGATAATAAAATAATATTTTTGCCCTTATTTTTTTTTTGGTATAAAAATAATGATAGTGATGTAAAATAGGAGTATTTTTGAAAAAAATAAGGTATTAAATTAAATGATTACTTTGTAACTAGACGTCCCAAAATAAAAATATTTATACTTTCTACTGAACGGAGAGAATATTATTATAAAATAGGTAAGAATGAAAATCAGAGTAAGTGTTTTTTTTTTTTTTTTTTTTTTTTTTTTTTTTTTTTTTAAGAGTAGGTGTATTTAATGCAGTTATCATTAGAATTTATCATTAGAATAAAGGGTAATAGTGAAATAAATTAATTTTTATTTATTGAAAATGAGCGATGAAAATTGAATGTCACACCCTGCAATTGCAATGCAGCAAAATGAGGATGAAGATGAGGGGTGTGCGTGTGATTTCTTTATTTATAAACATTAATTATTATATTCCATCTCTCGCATAATAAATTATATATTTCTTCATTTTAGTCCGTTTCATAACAAAGTATAAGTTTTTTTAGTAATCGCTTAACGTTACAAATATCCTTACAATTTACAATATATTACACAAATATTATTACATTTATATCACACCATACTAATAAAATTATTTTAGTCATTTATATTTTATTCCTACTACATCTCAATATAGTACTAATATTTTACAACTACGTGTAAAAAACAAATGGATACGACGGAGGGAGTATCAAATACTTGTAGGGTTTTTACTCTAGAGTGTGTTTGTTGGGGGATTGGATTTTAAATATACTATTCATCCCATTTTTTTTCCTCAAAAATATCAAATCAAACACCTATTTTTTATTTTCTATATTATACTAAAAATCAATTTTACATTCAAAACATCACATCAACACCTATTTATATCACATCATACAACTATTCAAATTCAAAAATTTTACTATTCAAATTCCAACTCAAAATCTAAACCCCCAAACAAACACACCATAATTTTACTATTTTTTACCCCCAAAAATATCAAATCAAATACCTATTATTTATTTATTATATTACACAAAATTTCATTCTACATTCAAAACAGCGGCATCAATATATATTTATGTTGCATCAAATAATTATTTCAATTCAAAATTTTACTATTTAAAATCAAAATTCAAAATCAAAATCTTTTAAGTAAACACAGTAATTAATTGATAATTGATAATAATATTGTTATAGATGAAATTGAAATTCGTTTGTTTTGATGGTCTACGTAGGGGCCTTTAAGGCTTGGTCTCGTGTGTACTATAATTGAGCGCGAAAATAAAATAATTTAAAATAAAAAAATGGAGGAGCTGCCCCCTACAAGCTTGGTCTTATATTGGTATGGAAATTGAACGTAAAAAAACATAAAATAATAGAAGCAAAAATAAAAATTGGAAATTTGATAAAATAAAGAGAATTTAAAAATTTAGATTGTGTTTCTTTCATGTAATTTGGGAAAAGTGGGTTTGAATTTGAATTTTATGATTTTAGAAGTTTTGATATTTATTGATATGATAATTAATAAAAATAATAATGTAAATATGTATTAAATTAAATTTATAAAAGGAAAAAAAATTAATTTTGGTCCCAATATTTCAATAAAAAATTAGAGGTGTCAATTCGTGTTTTTGGGTTGTGTTTATGTCGGCTTGAGCCATGGGGATAACAAAAAAATTGTCAACCTGAACCCGAAATCTGACCTGAAACCTTAGACCCAAACACCGATACGAATTCTTTCAGGTCGGGTTCAGGTTGACCTGAATTAGTTTCAGGTCACCCGAAACCCGACACGAAACAAACCCGAAAATTTTTTAAAAATTAAATTGACCTAAAAAATATTATTTTTATTTTAAATTTTATATTATTTTATATTTCAAATAATATAAATATTATAAATTAAAATAATAATAGTAAAAATTTTAGGTCAACCCGAAATACGAAACTCAAAACCTAACCTGATTTTTATATTTCAGGTTATCAGGTCAACCCGAAATATGATCCGAACACGACACGAATTTTTTTCGTTTTGGGTTCGGGCCGATCCGATTTTTTTCAAACCCGAAATACCCAAACCTGAACCTGAAAAATTTCAGGTCGAACTGATTCGGTTTTTCGGGTCGGGTTTACTTTTGACACCCTTATAAAAAACTCATCAATTTTAATCAAATTATAAACAATTTCAATCAATTTTTGTCCAATTATAAACAATTTCAATTAATTTTGGTCTCACAATTAAAAAACTAACGGAAATTGCTGACGTGGCCATAACGGAGGTAACGTGGCAGTTGACCCGTAAAGTACACGACCATATAAAATTATATACGGTCATGTTGTTACACGACCATGTATATTTCAATGTATGTACACGTCAATGTATATTTCAGTGTATAATTATACATGACCATATTGTTACACAACCATGTATAATTTTACACGACTGTGTACATTTCTGTTTTAGTCTAAAATTTTATTTTTTTGTTATATTTTTTTTTAAAAAAAATATTTTGAATTTAAAATAGTTAATATAGTTAAAATAGACAAAATCAATAGTAATCATAATATAATTAAAATTTATCAATTTTAATTCAAATATAAAAAAGTACTCCCTCCATCCCAAACACAGCGTAACATTTCATTTTTGGTATGTCTCAAACACCTTGCAACATTTCTAAATTAGAAAATAATTAATTATACTCAATCTATACCCCACACTTTATTCCACCACATCACCCTAATTAAAATAAAATAAAATATACACTTCTCTCTCCATCACATTGCCTAATTACTCAATTATCCTACTTAATATTTCTCACCTAAAATTCCGTGCCCAACTTAAATGTAGCACCTTGTTTGGGACGGAAGGAGTATAAAAATATATTTTTTGAAAGGTTTTATTTAAAATTCTTTTATTCATAAAAAAAGTATTTCTTCTTACAAACATCAAATTACACAATTTTTTTTTTTTAATTTTGTATATTATAGTAGTAATAAAAATTAGTTTGTTATTTAAATACAATAATTGGATGTTTGCAAGAAAATTTTTTTTGGTAAATAGTAGAATTTTAGACAAAATCTTCCAAAGAACATATTTGATAAATATTTATATTTGAACTAAAATTGATATATTTTAATTATATTATGATTATTATTGATTTTTTTTTTCCATTTTAACTATGCCAACTATTATAAATTAAAAAAAATTTAAAATATGACAAAAAAAATTAAAATTTTAGACCAACACAAAAGGATACACGGCCATGTAGAATTATATATGGTTATGGATAATTAGACACTGAAATATACATGACCATGACCGTGTATAATTGTATATAACTGTGTAGTTTCCAGGTCAACTGCCAAGTTATGTCATAATTTCCGTTAGTTTTTTTAACAGTGAGACCAAAATTGATTGAAATTGTTTATATTGGACCAAAATTGATTGAAATTGTTTTTATCGAGACTAAAATTGATGAGTTGTTTATATTGAGACTAAAATTGATAAATTTTAATTATATTGAAAACATAATTAATTTTTTCCTTTATAAAATTAACAGTAGTGTGATTTGAATACTAATTTATATTAATCATATATAAATCTTTTATAATTTTTATTTATTTGTATTATATAAAATTTTATTTAAAAAATGATATACATATTATATATATTTTTTTTATTAAATCATAATTATTAAAATAATCAAATAATTAAATTGTCACATAATTTGCACGACCGTGCAAACCATTTTATATATATATATATATATATATATAAAAAAAAAACAAACAAACAAACACACTACGACAACAGCCTATGACACTTTGCACCCCATCTCACCACCAAATTGCAAGTAGCCATGATTTGGCGCTTGAACCACTGTGCACGGTAATTGTCCCATGGATTTGGCCAAACTTGGTGTAAAGGAACACACCCAATGTAATTATGGTGCTAGATGAGAGCAATAAAAATATTCTCCAGTCTTATATTAATATTTAAAAATATTTTTTATTTCAATTTTTTTTTATATATCATGCAATATATTTAAAATGCAAAATAATTAACTATATTGTATCTCATAACAACGTATAAATAATATATATATATTTCTCTCACTACATCATCTAATTTACAATTTATTTTATATAATATTATTCACTTAAATTGTCGTGTCGAAAATCAAATGTTCCAGTCTATGTGTAACAGACAATCTTTCTGACTCGCTCCCTGTCGTCTCTGAATCGCTTCCTCCTTGGTAGTTGAATCTTACCTATATTAATCTCTCCGGCAAACAATCTAAAAGATACAATTCATGCCTCCTTAACTCACTCTCGCTCACTTAAATCTATACTCCAACTCTTAGACGATATAATTTCTTTCATCATTGGAGATTTGATTCGCTCCGTAAAATATGTTAAAATTTCTCTTTTAGGCTTTATTTCAAAGTTTCTAATTTTATTCTATTTCTTAACACATCTTGATCTAAACTTAAATTAGCGCAAGATATTTATGTCAATTTTATCATAAATATGAAGAAAGTCAAGTACCTCAAATTGGAATGTAAGAACACCCTCAAAGTGTTGATTTTTAATTCAACATTTATTAAGGGACGAATGCAAAAAAAAGAATTCTTTTTATTGCATATGGCTGTGCATTAAAAATTCTTTTGACTATTGATTTTTGTTGTTATTCCTTTTATATGACACTATTTTTGATTATTAATCTGTTTGTTTTCTTTCATCTTTGTTTATGTTGAATGTAAGAATGTGAATTCTTTTGTGGTGTTTGATTTCAACTTTTGATTTTATCCATTTTCTTTTTTTGGGCATGCTTAATTGCTTTGAATTAATCCACTGAATTTCAAGATTTGATTGCATAAATTTTGTATTCTTTTGCCTTTTGAACTCTTGCAAATTGTATTGATTATCATATATGTTGGGAAATTATACTACTTTAACTAGTTATTTATGTCTATCTAAAATAAAAATTCACTCTCCATCTCTCCGATTGTCCAAATCCCCCATAAGCTGCTCAAGAAACCAATGTTATGTCTCGAACTTCTCATTCTCAACAAAAGCAGAGACAATTGGATAAATATTCTTGTTAGGATCTCTCCCAATGACTTTAAGAAATTAAGCTTTGTAGATACCCGTTTAACCCTATGATTCCTCTCTATCCATCCAAAAATCCATTTCTCAAACTTGCCAAGCAATAATACATCATTCTATCACCGATGGATTGCTACCACGATCAACATCAAATATGCAACTACTGTATTTGATGTATTTGTATACGGCGGCACAAGAGTCATACAATCTTGTAAATTGCTTTGTGGTATTGCCTTTCATAAGCTCAATTGCATACTTTTTTGCACAGTAAATTTATACAGACTCCCGTCCACACGCACGTCTCACAATCAATGCATGAAGGCTTACATTTGGGTTGTCACTCACCATATTCTTTACAAAAAGATACTTTTGAATATAACAGATAAAAATAATAAAAGATGTGCTTTGAATTTGAACTAAAGAAACATATACTCGATGAATGGAATATTAAATGGAGTAGTAAACCGTGTGTTTACTTGTACAATTTTTCATATGTTTTTATTATTCCAATGTTTTTTTAAAAAATATTAAATAAAACATCTATTTTTTATTTATTATATTACCCTATAATTTAATTTTCTATTTAAAATATCGCATTAATACATATATAAATATAGTATTAAATAATTATCTCAATTCAAAACTTTTAATATTCATAACCAAAACTAAAAATAAAAAATATGTTTATTGCTGAGAGAGCTGACTGTTTGCACAGTAAACAGTTCCAAATTGGCTCTCACTATTTGTACAGCGAGCTGCTCTTGCCGATAGATAGAGCTGCATGCTGCAGCTCTATTGCTGTGTTTGTTTGTATTTGTATTTCAAACAAAAATTAAATCTAAATACAAAAATTTAAATATATATTAAAATTTAAATAAAAACCAAACTTAAAAAGTCGATGTCCAACACACGACTTAAAGAATCAAACCCCAAAAAGTTAACGCACCCGAAATTTTTAAAAGCTTTTAAACATACTTGTACCTCCTTCTTACGTGGACGGCAGGGCAGGCTGTGAGGCAGCCTTTTCACAGTATCCCAAGCAAGCCCAGTCCAGTCCAGCCCAGCCCAACGGATTGCATCGCATCTCATCGCTCCCAATAAAGCTAAGCTAACGTGGTTTGAGATGAGATCCAGTCCAGGGACCCCGATGCCCGGACATTCTTCTCCTCTTCTTCAGTTGAGCTCAGTTCAGTTCAAACCTGTATCTAAATCATAACAAAACCCACTCTTCTTCTTCTTCGTAATGGTCGTTGGCTTTTGGTGGATCATCGATCGTACAATACAACAGAGAGAGCAGAGCAGAGTGGAGCCCTGCCCATGGGAGGAGGAGCGCAAGTGTGCCCTTTACGCTAAGCTTACAATACAATTTAATTACAAGTGGATATTACAATTAACCCAACCCGTTTTCTTACCTCGGAATTCACAAAAAGAACCAATACACCAACATACATCATACAATCCCATCCATCCATTCCCTAGAATTAGGGTTGATGATGACGATGATGAAGAGGCCCCCACTCCCCCGTTTCCCTCCTCCTCCTCTTCCTCCTCCTGCATTCATTACTAAATAGTAGCAGTAACAGTACCATTCTCTCCTCCCTTCTTTTCTCCATCACACACAGTATTGCTTTGGACCCTCTTCTCTACTCTTCCTTCCTCTTCTCTTTCTCTTGTCTTCTGCAACTGCAACTGTGACTGCAAGCCAAACTTCGGAGGGAACTGGTCTGGACTATAAAGCTCCTCCTTCCCGCAACTAACAGGGAATGGGAATGGGAATGCACGTGAAGTCCGACTCCGATGTCACGTGCAGCATCGAAGCCTCCACCCCTCCCCGCTCCCCGCGCCGTCCCTTGTACTACGTCCAGAGCCCCTCCCACTCCTTGCAGCTGCACCACGACCTCGAGAAAATGTCCTATGGCTCCAGCCCTTTCGCCTCTCCCACCCACCATTTCCACTACCACTGTTCACCCATCCACCACTCCCGCGAGTCTTCAACTTCCAGATTCTCCGCCTCCTTAAAGAACCCCAGAGCCCTCGCCCTAGCCGGCGGCGGATGGCTCAGGATGCAGAGAAAGTACGACGAGGTTGGGGACGACGCCGACGACTTGGATGCTGCTGAAAATGATGGGGAAGATCCCGCCAAGGATGCTGCCCAACTCAAGTTTTATGTCCTCTGTTTTCTCTTCTGCTTTCTCCTTCTCTTTACCATATTTTCCTTGATTCTTTGGGCAGCTAGTTTGCCTTACAAACCCAAGATCATCGTCAAGGTCTCTCTCTCTCTCTCTGCAAGTTTTGATTTTTAGTTTCTTGACTCACAATGAGGAGAGCTAGGGGCTTCATGAATATTCTATAAATCTGGAGAAACGTAGAAGAAAACTAGAGAAACAGTTTTTAATCATTATAGCAACCAATCCGTTTTCCTATTTTAAAGAAAAAAAAGGATCTTGAATGTTGTTTATGGTGTATCTTTCTTGTTTGATGGAATACATTACATTGCTGCAGCATTTCAAATTCTAAGTAAGAAACCAGTCTTCTTCCCAGCTGTTTTTCCCAATGAGTAACTTTTTGTTGATTCAGTCTTCACGTGGTGGGGTTTGATATCTGCATAAAATAAATAATACGAATTCTTGCAATATTATGAAACCTTTCAAGTAATTAGGCTCAAGTGTGGATTGCATCGATATCTTAAACTGGAATAGGACGAGACTCGTTGGGTTGCTGTCAAAATTAATTGGATTTGCAGTGGTCCTATCTCCCTGTCTGCAGCTGACTAATTTTTTGGATGTCTTGCGTACAGAACATCGTGTTCGAGAATTTCTTTGTTCAAGCGGGGATGGATGCCACCGGTGTCCCGACCGATATGCTAACGTTAAATTCGACGGTCAGGATCATCTACCGGAATCCTGCCACCTTCTTTGGCGTCCACGTCACTACCACCCCTCTCGAGCTCCATTATTCCGATCTTAAAGTTGCGTCTGGGAACGTAAGTGTTGGAGTTTGCTTCATTGATAATGCTGTTTATGGTGACTGACTGGGTTCTTATTTAATCACTTTCTCCTTGATTAATAAATAATTAAACAGATGAAAAAGTTTTATCAATCCAGAAAGAGTGGGAGGAAAGTGATAGCAGTGGTGGAGGGGAAACAGGTTCCACTGTACGGAGGGATTCCGCTGCTTACGAGTAGCAATAGTGCTGAAAGAGAAGAAGCTCTGCAGAGCGTATCTGTGCCGTTGAATCTGACATTTGTGGTGAGATCGAGGGCGTACATTTTGGGGAAGCTGGTGAAGACAAAGTTCTACAGGAGCATCTTATGTGAATTGACTCTGAGAGGCAAGCATCTGGGGAAGCCCCTTAATCTCACCAAGCACGAATCCTGTGTTTACCATTAGGATTTCTTTGTCTGTTTGTCTGTGTGCAGTGGAAACTGGAGATTGATTAGAAAGAAAAAGAATGGACTTTTTTTTTTTGAAGAAAAAAAATTCAGCTTAAGAGTCTGTTATCTTCTTCTTCTAAAAAATTCAGCTTAAGGGTCTGTTATCTTCTTCTTCTTTGTTTGTACTGATACTGAACTGTGTCCTATTACTCCATTCCCGCAAAGAAAATGAATGAAGCTTGTGTGGGACATGTATGGCGGTATGGGGATTCTTTTACTGAAAGTCACGAGTCTTTGCCTTTGCCATGTGTCTTTACTTTTTGATAATGGATTTAGACATTCTCAAACAATGTATTCAATACAAGGGCTGCCATTCTTGGTCACCATAATTAATAATGATATTTTCACAAACAAACGAGGAGAAACCACTCTGAATTCTTGAGTTTGCATTGGGCTCAGATAATAAACCCTAAAAAAGAAAATCTATCTGGAGGTGTAATAAATCCAGGCGAGATAAATGGCAGGTAGGTGGTGATGGAGAAGACGCATAAGAAAATGGGCTCAGGCCCATATGTGCAGTATCTGCCCATAAAGTATAAAACAGAAGTTGTGTGGCGTAGTGCGATTGTTGTGGTGTGGAGATGAATCTGCCATATCTCGAAAGGCAGGTTTATCCTGCTTGCTAGAACTCTGCTCTTCCCTTCTTTTACAGTTACGTAACGGTCGTCGGGGACGGAGCAGAGACATTGCCAAAGTACCAACAGATGATGGGAGGCTCCATACTCCCCATTTCTATGCATACCAGATGTGGCGCCAAATTCCTACTGCCCTTCTCCACTTCAAGATTTAGCTCTCCTTTTACCCATGGTAGCAATCGCTTTTCTTTTGCGTTTCTGTACAGTATTGACGGTTGTCTACTTTTACTTATTCCTCGTTTTGTCAATTTGGTTTCGCCTTGACGGAATTCGGCCGATGTTTGCTTCTCGTTGTTGAACATTGATATCAAGTTTATTAATCGCTCCAGATTACCAGTTTTCTTAAAAGTAGTTCATGTTGGGCAAGCCAACTTTATATATATATATATATATATATTTCATTTTACATGTCTTCTTCGTGGCGTTTCTATTTTCTTTTATATACTGTACTTCTTGAGAATCGTAGAGAGTGGCTTTTTTTAGAGGCTTTTGTTAGATGTTTGTTTGGAGGTGTTTTGGTGTTTTAAGAAATAAGTAAAAGTTTGATTTTGAATAGGTTTGATGGATATAAATTGGTGATTGATGAGATATTTTGAATCCCGATATAGTTTTAGACGTGATACTTTAAAAGAAAATAGGTGTTCGATTTCATTTGTTTTAGAAGGTAAGATTGGATGAATTGAAGTAACAATTAATGTAACATCTTCTCAATTATTATTAGTTCTCTCATATTTGGTAAGAATTGAGATATCATCAGTTGGCCATTAAACGTTATCCTAAACTAGCTTGTGATTATCTATCAAACCGAAGCTTTGGAGATTTTGTTGAGTTTTGCTACTGGAGTAGATTTTGCTTCCAAAATTCTCCATACTAATTTTCTTTGAGTTCTCATTTAGTAGTAATCCTTCTTGATCTTGTTCTTTTTACTTCTGTCAAGTACATTTGTGATTTGACTATGTAACTTTTATTTACTCAGGATAGTTTTGGCATTGTCACAATAGAAATCATAAGTTTTTAGATGAGCTTGATTCATTGAGATAAATTAGTCCAAAACATACCTCTATCTTCTGCATTTATGCTCTACTTGTAAGCAAGTTCAAATATGATTTGATATTACGGAGTGCAATGTGAAAATGCAAGCATATTACAACTTATAATAGGCAAAACAGGAGCCAGGATTAATTTATACCTATTTTTATTTGCACTTACATTTCATTTCTTGTGTACGCATGATGATGGTAACAATTTAAATACAGGTTCTAGAGGCAATAGAGGTCTCATTCAAACTCTAGCATTGGTGGATCACTGTAGATTAAGAAATATAAAGAGATTGAAACTTTTCACTACAAGAGGTAAATATATCTGTAAATCCAATGGCGGCAACTCAAACTTGTTTTCTTGGCCTTGGGAAACTGCAGAATGTGAATACAATCTTTCTTTTAGCTTCAGCACAGCCTTTGACAGAGGATCTTGTGGAAGGTGAACGATCAAATACTTCCATAAGTGGTGACTCTATCCGTAAAAGATTTCTTGAATTTTACGCTGCAAGGGGCCACAAAGTTCTTGCAAGTTCTTCTCTTGTCCCAGAGGATCCAACAGTACTGTTGACAATTGCTGGCATGCTTCAGTTCAAGCCTATATTCCTTGGGAAGGTACTTATAACTTTAGGTCCATGAATATGAAATGAATGAGAGCAAAAGGGTTCATTATCTTATTATGGAATATAAAAGGTGATGGTTTCCTAAATTTTCTTTGCTTAATATGGTTCTGGAGCACATGAATGCTACTACCTTTTTCCTATGGTTGGGTGGCTAGTCTGACTAATTAAGCCACTGTTGCTCTAAATATTTGCTTTCATCTCTCTTCTTGTTTCTTTGTGGGGGTATCCGTGTTCTTTTTAATATATGCAGATATGTCTCAATATGGTTTCTTTGATGCTCATGTATGCATATATATATATATATTTGTTTATTTATACTTTGGGTTGAGGGATCCTGCATCTTTACTGATTACATAAACTTTAACTTTTAGTCTTATAACTATTGAGTAAACATAATAACATTTCCAGATCCTATATGCTTTCTCTATGTTACCGATCCATTTGCATTTATATTTCGATATAAAATGATTTCGGGGCAGTTGCATGTTGTTAAAAGAGGGTGCATCTCTTTGTCCAAAACAATTGCAAATTCATATAGATTTCACATGTTGCTAGAAATCTTTATTAGGTCTATGAAGTTTCAAATACTTAATGCTGGTTTAAATTTCTGAATCAACTTGGTCATTTATTTTGTATTAGGTTCCCAGAGAAGTGCCTCGAGCAGCAACTTCACAAAGATGCATCCGCACAAATGACATTGATAATGTAGGTCGAACATCTCGGCATCAAACATTCTTTGAGATGCTTGGAAATTTTAGTTTTGGGGATTACTTCAAACACGATGCTATAAAGTGGGCCTGGGAGCTTTCAACTGTGGAGTACGTGTTAACATCATATCATAGAAAACATTATGAATTCCTTACCTGATGACACTAGAATTAAGCTTACTTTAGTGCCAGTATGCTTTGAAATCCTTTGATAGTCTATGATAACGAAGTATCCCCTTCTATCTGTTTTAAAATATAAAAATCCCAACATCTCCCTTCATTGAACTTACAGATTAAATTTGCTCTCTGTTGATACCTCTCTTTATTTTCCTAAGTTGTTTCTCACTTTCGCAACTAATTCCCTTCTTAAGAATTGTTTCTGAAGCAATCAGAAATTCTGAGACTCTAAATTATACATGTGAATAATTTTATTTTGTTTGAAAATGAAAGGGGTCAACTAGCATAAGCTTTTTAGGTGTTGGTGTTGAATTGGAATTAAGATGTTCTGTCACTCTAAAGAAATTAAAATCTTCAATGAGCACTAAGATGTGTCTTTGTTCTCCACTCAAACTTAAATTTGTGAGTGTTGGTAATGAAAGGTGTCATTTTTATCTTGATTATCAAACTTTTGATGAGCTATGGGATATGATGTTACTATGGTTATGTTTGTGTAATTTTGTGTAGGTTTGGATTGCCTGCTGACAGATTATGGATTAGTGTGTATGAAGAAGATGATGAAGCTTTTGCAATATGGCATGATGAGGTAGGTGCAGCTTACAGCTTCTTATTGAAAATTGGATAATGTGTTAATAAATGTACTTTCTAACAAAATCCATCTCCTGCTCAATGAAATCAAGCAACAAATGGATATTTGCCTATACCTTATTGGTTTCTATTTTACGAATTTGTTCAAATCTTTTCGCTGTTGTGTGGTACTTTTGAGTTGTCTCTTTTCAAGAAATTATCAAGACGATATTCACAGTGATTTTTACATCTATTTTTGCAGATAGGAATTCCTGCAAACCGCATTGTGAGACTTGGGAAAGAGGACAACTTCTGGACAAGTGGACCAACCGGTCCCTGCGGCCCTTGCTCTGAAATTTATTATGATTTCCAAACTGAAAGAGGATATTCAGATGTTGTAAGCATTCGTCAAAATTATGATAAATTATTTGAACCATTTTATGTTTCTTTTGCTGTCAACTGTTTTATTTTATCGAATAACAGGATCTTGGAGATGATGTGAGGTTTATGGAGTTCTACAACCTTGTTTTCATGCAATACAATAGAAAGGATGATGGGTCTCTTGAACCCTTAAAACAGAAGAACATTGATACTGGGTTAGGCCTGGAGCGCCTGGCTCGTATTCTTCAACAGGTAGTTGTCTGCACAGAATGTTATAACAAGCTGTATCAGTTTTTGATGCTTTTATTATAAAATCAGTCGCTAAAATCCCCCCAAAAATTATGTCTGCACCTTCTGAAGCATGCTGGCACCAAAGTAAATTTTAGCGGAGCACATGGCTTTCTCTTGTAACTAGTATGAGTCTTTCAGTCTTATTGTGTAAATCTTAAATTTTCCATTTAATGGCCCAGCTCCCGCTGTTCTCATACTAGATTCCATGGTGTTTGTTTTTGCAGGTTCCAAACAACTATGAGACAGATTTAATGTTTCCTATCATACAGAAGGCCTCAGAGTTAGCATGTGTATCATATTCACTTTCCAATGAATCTACAAAAACACATCTTAGGGTAAGTTGTCTGTGGAGTTATCTGTTCGCAAATCTTTCTTTGAGATGTTTTTTTTTTTTTTTTTCAAAAAAATTAATTCACCAAAATCTCATCTATTCAGATAATTGGAGATCACATGCGTGCAATAGTTTATCTTATATCAGATGGAGTATATCCATCAAACATTGGGCGAGGATATGTGGTTCGGCGTCTCATCAGAAGGACAGTTCGAACTGGCAGGCTACTGGGTATAAAGGGGAATGGTATGGGTGACCTGGAAGGTGCATTTTTGCCAGTACTTGCAGAAGAAGTTATCAAGCTAAGCACTGACATAGATTCAGATGTAAAGACAAGATCATCCCGCATCCTTGACGAATTGAAAAGAGAGGAACTTCGGTTTGTGTCAACACTTGAAAGAGGTGAAAAGCTTCTTGAACAAATGTTAGCTGATGCATTGTCCCGTGCTCGGATGGATGGAACTGTACCTTGCCTATCTGGCAAGGATGCCTTTCTTCTATATGATACATATGGGTTTCCGGTGGAGATAACAAAAGAAGTGGCTGATGAGTGTGGTGTTGGTATAGACATGGATAGCTTTGACGTTGAAATGGAGAACCAAAGGCGCCAATCTCAGGCTGCACATAATACTGTCAAACTTTCTGTTGAAACTGGATCAGAGCTCGCAGAAAGCATTCCCGATACTGAATTCCTTGGCTACAGTACTCTTTCAAGTAAAGCAGTAGTTGAGGGTTTGTTAGTAAAGGGTAAACCAGTGGGGCAGGTTACTGAAGGGAATGAAGTTGAAGTGCTGTTAGACAGGACTCCATTTTATGCTGAATCTGGTGGGCAAATTGGGGATCATGGCTTTCTCTATGCAATGGAGTCAGGGAATGGTAGGGAAGCTGTTGTGGAGATCAGAGACGTCCAAAAATCTTTGGGTAATAAATATATCCACAAAGGAAAGGTCACAAAAGGTCATTTAGATTTAGGCCTAGAAATAGAGGCTGAAGTGAATGCAAGTCTGAGGCAAGGAGCAAAGGTGTGAATTTTCATCTATTGTGTGTTAACTACTGAATAAACTCGCCACGTTTTCACTGCTGTCTTCATGTTATAGTTCAAATGTAAGGTCTTTGCTTGTATTTTGCAGGTCCATCATACTGCCACACATCTACTCCAAGCGGCCCTTAAGCAAGTAATAGGCCAGGAAACATCTCAAGCTGGCTCTTTGGTGGCCTTCGATCGCCTCAGGTTTGATTTCAATTTCAGTAGGTCACTTCGTGAAGATGAGCTTATGGAAATTGAACGGCTAGTTAATCAGTGGATTGGCGATGCAACACTGCTTGAAACAAAAGTAATGCCTCTTGCTGATGCAAAGAAGGCTGGAGCTATTGCGATGTTTGGTGAAAAATATGGAGAGCAGGTTCATTCTTACTATGTTTTCTTTCCGGCCCCAACTTTTCAAAATGGCTTGCCTGGTTTAGTTGCTAGATATTCTTTATGTCATTGACTGTGCATGAATTTTATATAAAATTGATGGATAACATATAATATATGCACATCAAGTGTCCTTGGGTTTGAAGTTTGAGTGTTGATGGCAGTACTTTATTGCCTTTTGTAGAGTTACCTCTGGTTGCTTACCATTCTGATCTCCCAGGATAACTGAAATAAGCATACTTTGTGTTATGGCCGCTTAATGTGTTTATACTCCTTAGGTACGTGTGGTGGATGTTCCTGGTGTATCCATGGAGCTTTGTGGTGGTACCCATGTTAGCAACACTTCTGAGATACGTGGCTTCAAAATAATTTCCGAACAGGGAATTGCATCTGGAATAAGACGCATTGAAGCTGTGGCAGGTGATGCTTTTATTGACTACGTCTGCACCAGAGATAACTACCTCAAGCAGCTTTGCTCCACTCTCAAAGTATGGATTTTGAGAAGCTCCTTTTCAAAATTTGAGTTTCTAATTTATGCTATATTAACATTCTCTTGAAAGTTATGATGCCTTTCCTTCCTGCATCCCGGTTGAGAAATTTGGGAAAATTGTAATCCTCTGTTCTGTGGGTTATTGTAATTATGTCCTTCCTCTGTTTTTAGTTCTGTAGATGATATTAATGTCGTCATGTTGCAGGTGAATGCAGAAGATGTGACAACTAGAGTAAATAATCTCTTGAAAGATGTACGCGAAGCCAGAAATGAAGTATCAGCTGCTCGTGCGAAAGCAGCAATTTACAAAGCGTCATCCATTACAAGCAATGCAGTCACAGTTGGATCTTCCACAAAGACAAGGTAAGCGCGACCCAATCAGCATCGGGTGATCGTTGAAACAAAAATGAAACTAAAGCCCCAACGTAAATTTTTTTATGCAGGGTGCTGGTTGAGAGCATGGAGGATATGGAGGCGGATGCACTGAAGAGCGCTGCCGAATACTTGATAGATAGATTGGGCGATCCAGCAGCCGTGGTTTTGGGTTCCTGCCCGGATGGCAAACGCGTATCCTTGATTGCGGCATTCAGTCCAGGAGTGGTGAGTGTCGGGATAGAAGCAGGCAAGTTCATAGGAGCAATCGCGAAGCTCTGCGGCGGTAGAGGTGGTGGGAGGCCTAATATGGCTCAGGCCGGCGGAACCGAGCCTGGAAAGCTTGTCGAGGCGCTTGAAAAGGCCCGCGAGGAGCTCGAATCGCGCCTGTCGTAAGCTGCAGTTGTGATGGAATACAGCAGAAGCAGAACATGTGTTGGCTGTTATGGTAAAAAATTGGAAGTTTGTGTGATAGGTCCAGCTGGAGAAGGAACAGCTGTTTGTTTGTTTGTTTGTTGGGGGCAGACAGCAGAAGCAGAAAAGCGTGTTTGTGTTTTTAGGGAATGGGAGAAGTCGGTGGTGTGGGGGACGCGCTTTTGCTTATGCTTATGAAAGTGGTAAGCAATAAGAAGGGTTTGCATAGGGTCGTCGCGTCCCCACCCGCCCAACTACTTCTCCCAACAACGTTCACATTATCATTAATTAATTTTGGTAATAAATGTAGATGATTATCAGGATCCTCTCTGTCTCATCTCTTCTGATCTGATCTGGACTCCACCACCATGTTCATATTTATATATATACGTGTATGTACCTATGTCTGTTGTGTTCGTCCTGCTAATTATTCCTACACAGATTGAGAGAGAGAGAAATGGAGCGCGTAATGGTTGTTCATCTCCTTCCGATTTGCCTGGTGATAGCTGTGGTTGTGCTTGCTTCGTCTGCAACGGCGTGCGATCGCTGCGTGCACCAAACCAAAGTGGCTTTCTTCTCCAATGACGGAGCTCTTTCGTGTAAGAAAGATTTAGGAATTAAGAAGACTGCTTAGTGCTTACTGACTGACTGTATGTATATGTGTTTGTGTCTGTGCAGCTGGAGCTTGTGGTTATGGTTCTCTGTCGCTGGGATTCAACAACGGCTATCTGGCGGCAGCGGCTCCCTCCATTTACAAGCAAGGTGCTGGCTGTGGGGCATGCTTTCTGGTATGTCCTTTTCCTCTTGTTGTTGATATAGACAGATAATACTAATAATAATAATAAGAATGGTGGTCTGGAGTGCAGATGAGATGCAAGGAGGAGAAGATTTGCAGGAAAGAGGGGAGTGAGATAATAGTGACGGATTTGAATAATGAGAACAAGACAGGGTTTGTGTTGAGCAACAAAGCTTTTGTGGGCATGGCAAAGCCCGGGATGGGCCCGGCCCTCCTCAAGCTTGGCCTTACTGACGTCGAATACAAAAGGTTGGAATGAATCAACATCAATGGATTATGTGAAAGTGATGGATTGTACTAATTTGGATATATGTATATGACCACTGCAGAGTACCCTGTACGTATAGCAAGAAGCAGAATTTAGGGATTCGGGTGGAGGAGTCGAGCCAGAAGCCCCATTATTTGGCCATCAAGTTCTTGTACCAGGGCGGCCAAACTGAAATCGTCACCGTCGATGTCGCCCAGGTACGCTTTCTCGATGATGATGAATATATATACACACGGGCGGCTCATATAGCAGGAGGTCTATATTTTAAATTATTATTTATTATTATTATTAAATTTTAATAATTTATATATATATATATTTTTTATAATTATTCTATTTAATTTTAAAATTAAATTAAATTTTTTTTTTTTTTCTTAATCACGCTACACTTATTTACCTCATGTGCTATCTCATTGACACCACCGATTCAGACCAAATCTGCTGCCTCACCTTCACCTTCTCTCTTATTTCTTTCGTATTCTTTGTGTCTTTTCCGATTTTTAAACTTTTAGACAGATAGTCTTTTAATTTTCTTTTCTCAAATTGACATTTTCCAGAAAGAACACGTTCAATCGTATTGTTCAATCAATGTCAATAAGTGATATTATTTCAAAAATACATTTTAATCATGGAGTCTATAGTTTATTTGCGCTCAGACCCCAAAAAAATTTGAGACGGTCCTATATATATATATATATAATTAAATTAAATTAATGGTGGATGATGGCTGGTCAGGTTGGAGGATCAAGTTGGAGGTTCATGAGCAGGAACCACGGGGCAGTTTGGGACACAAGCCGGAGCCGGGTTCCAGAGGGAGCGCTGCAGTTCCGGTTTAGGGTGACGGCCGGGTACGACGGGAAATGGTATTGGGCCAAGAACACTGTGCTGCCCGCCGACTGGAGGAACGGTGTCGTTTACGACACGGGTCTCCAAATAACTGACATTGCGCAAGAAGCTTGCTCCCCCTGCGACAATCGGACCACCTGGGAATAACTACTACTGCTAGCTCTTTCTGTAGTTTGTCCAAATACTCCACCCATATAGACATACATATATAAACAGACAGGCAATAATAACATGGATTAATGACTGTTAGCTATGAACTACTAATATTAATATTATGCTTTTTTCGCCAATAATAATTTAATAATAATAATAATAATAATAATAATGGGGGTTTGTTGATGGGGATGGGGAAATTCAATTTAAGACGTGTTTGCATCGACTACTATTAGTATACAGACATCTCAAGTACGTAAGTAATAACAGTACACAACAAACTAACAATCAGGAAATTAAGCAGCAGTAGCTGTAGCGCATAAAATTAAATTAAAAGCGCCGTCCTATTCCTATCTCCTATAAATGGGATATATGATTTGCCTATCTTTGTTCAATTTAGTTTGGTAGCTGGCTAGCTCAAATATAATACTCCTTTTGCTTATAAATTACCCTCTCCGTCCCAGTGTCTGCTACACTATATAAATAATTATAAATTAAGATTAAGATAATTAATTAGTTTAATTAAAATTTTAAAAAAATAAAATTTAAAAATTTAAAATGAGATTAAAGTGTGTAATCATTTTCCGAAAAAGGAAAGTAACATGGTATGTGGGACGGACAGAAACAGCAACGTGGACATAGTATATGAGACGGAGGGAGTAATATTTTACTTTCGAACGTCCAACAATTATTATTATTATTTTTTTTTATATACATAAAATTTACTTTTTTTTTCTTTTATTTTTATTTACTTATATATATATATATACAATATAAAATACAAATTTGTCAACTCATAATAAAAAATTAATTGTCTAAAACAATATGAAATATCAATTAGGATAATAACTAAGGGAGTAATAATATTTCGATATTAATTTGATGGAGCCTGGCTAGATAGTAGCTTCTAGCTAGCTACTATACTACCACTTATAAAATAACTACTTAGTTAACAATAATTAAATATTTTGTTTGGAGATGTAGAAAACGGGAACCTCATCATGTATTATTAGGGCATCTTCAAACCCTGGCGTTGCATTATAGCAACCCCATTGCCTTTTTTTTTTTTTTTTTTTATTTATTTAAATTATACTCCTTCTGTCGCATTAAAAAGTTGTCATTTTTCATTTTCGTCCGTCCTAAAATAAGGTTATCATTTCCTAATTTAGTAATTGTACTACCTATTTAACATAATATATACCATTCCAATTTACACTATATTACACAAATGTCGTTACTTTTATATTGCACAATACTAATAGGGCCATTTTTGTTCTTTTCACTACCACCCATTATAATATTAATATTTAAAAATTTACGTGCAAAAAGTTAACAACAACCTTGCGGGACGGAGAGAGTACTTATTTTTAAGTTTAACTTTTAAATTTATTTTTTTATAATTAAAAAAATTATTATAAATTATAAATATTAAAAGTTGTTTAAAATGATAGAAAAAATTGAATATTCGAAGAATAGTTGTGAAAAATAAAGATATGATTAAATTAAAAATACTATAACAATGGTATATTTCGAGTTAAAATTATATAAATGAAATTTACGAATTGGAGATGACTTTGGCAAAATAAAAGTACATGGATGGATGGATGGAGATGGATCATCGCACTCACTACAATGATAATGATAATGATAATGATAATGAAGTCTGTATATATATATATGATGAATCTTTTGTAGGTATATTCGATGATATTAAGTGATCAACTAATCTAAAATATTATATAATGTTTAAAAACAATATCATATATATATATATATATATTGAATCTGCAGATTAAATATTGTCCTCTTTCTTAGAATTCCAAAACAAACATCTAAAAGATGATGAATTTAAATGAATTTAAATACCCGATCTTTAAAAAGCAGATATACAAATTTTGGGTGATTAAAGGTTTGATTTTCCAAGATCAGAGAGCCGATTTCTTTTCTGTCCTTGATGGGTGAAGAGCAGAAACTGCAGGGAGAATCATATCTCTATTTTACGGCGTGCTGACCCTGGCGACCTAACCCTAGCCTATTTATAATAGGGCAAACATAATTGCAATTACAATTATACTCTTAATTAATATTATTAATTTGTCGCGTTACAAAAATAATAATATTATACGGGCAGCTGTACTTTCATTCCATAACAATAAGTCTATCAATCAATAATTAATTATATTAATTAGACTACATATTCAATACATATATTTAATCCCAAATCCAACAAAAATGAATTATACATCTAACTAACGAGGACATTATTATTATTGTAGTTGTAGAACATCCGTGTCAGCAAAAATCTATACACATAAGGGAATTGAGAGTGGAGGGGAATATATATATATATATATATATTGCTTCCAAGAGTATATATGTATTGATGTTTATTTATTTATTTATTTTTTTTTTTCCGTTTTAATGGAATGCCACCACCACTCAAAACATGATTATATATATATATGTTCACAATTTTTTTTTTTTTTTAAAAAAAAATCTTTTTGAACATTTTCTTACTTAAAATAATTGAAATAGAAAATAAAATTACGTAGCACATAGGAGTTAATGAAACCAAAGTAGAGAGAGTGCAAAATTGATATAAGTTGCTAAGGAAATTTCTATAGCCTTTACATTTACCTTACTGATATACTACAATTGTAATAATCTACAGGCTTGTTTGGATTTTCGGCCCATAAAATTTTTAATAAAAATATAATAATATTGTTTATATAAAATATCATATTAAAAATATTATTTATATTAAAAGTAAAATATATATAAAAAAATTGTAGAGCATTATTAGAAAGTAAACAGAAAACTAACCCAAATAAAAAATAATGCTTGAAACATGGGAAAATATCAACACTGATGCATGTTGTCTGTTAATAATATATTTTGAGGAATAGGGATGAGACAAAATTAAAAATATGTTATGAAAATGCTCATCATCTATTAAAAAAACATAGCAATGAAAACTAAATATTGTGCTAAGATTTGAAAAAGAGTTATATGAATATTACGAGCAATTCTAACTAAATTATTTTAAGTAGCCAACAATTTAAAAATTGAAAAATGAATAAAATATAGAAGATTTAATTTTTAATAAAGTAATTTTTCAAAATTTCTCCTTACTTTGAATACTGCAAACTCCGAGTCTCTCTCTAAAAAACTTAAATTTGCATCTTGATAAAAGCTTTTAAAGTATGTCAGTTAGTTGGAGATCAATTTTGCAATACGCTTAAGTCAATCAAGTATTCTTTCTGAACTTTCCTACAAAAGAACAAATTATTTGAAAATGTAGTTTTTTCATGAAAAAAATGAGATTATGAGAAATTGCAGTTGAAACATAGTTATCTACAATATATTAATGTTTTTTTCTTACTCCAGGTTAAAATCTTCAAACACAATTTTCAGCCAAAATGCTTGACTTACAATTGCATTATTGACAATAAATTCTATTTTTACAGTAGATTGAATCACCGTATCTTGCTTCTTGAAGCACCTTAAGAATACTTTTGAACCAATGTCAAAACAATAAACTAAAATATTTTTTTCTTATCATCTAATAAACCTCCCCAATCACTATCGCAGTAGCCCTAAAGACACACTTTTTATTTTTAGAAAACTTGATATCATAACTGTGTGTTCCTTGAACATATTTAAAAACATACTTAATAGTTATAAGATAGTGTCAATTGCATAGTTTAAAAATTAGATAGAAAACTCACAAAGTATAACATATTAGGCTTTATAACTGTTAAATACATCAAACAATCCACTAAAATTTTATAGAGTGTTTCATCGACCTTTTCGGCTTCATTTTCTCTTTCTAACTTTCCTTTCTTAACATTAAAGGACATACTTTTGCATTTAATCATTCTATTTTATTTATTTATTTATTATTTTTATAATCTTGTTACAAACTCTTCTTGACAAATGAATACTTTATTATTTTGTTTTATTTCTATTTTCATAAAATAAAGGTATGTTTCTTCATAGCGGCTTTGGGGATGTTTACCGTTAAGACATTGTTCCACCGAGATTAGGCGCCAAACCCTCCCTACTCCAACACACTCCGACAAAGTTGGGTACAGGGTATGCTACCTTCATCAGTCCGTGATAGGAGCTGCAAACGAGAGTTTGCACACTGTAGCTTTATGCTGTTTGTTTGTGTTTTTTTTTTTTTTTAAATTAAAATACTCAAATAACTATAATAATTATAGGGTAAAAAAATATATACAGTCACTTTGTAAAGAATAAAGTTTTCTATAATACAAATAAATAATATCGTAAATATATATAATATAAATTCATAATCAAATTATTCCATTATTAATTCTAAAAATTTAAAATTAATACACATTTATATTATTATATTTATTACCAATCAAATCAATATATATCAAAACTCCCAAAATCCAAACCAAATCTATACAAAGAAGAAACATAAAAACTCGAACTTATCTTAAAATTTAAGTGAAAATTAAACCCAAACTCAAACTCAAATTTTCCGAAATTGGCCAAAAGAAACACACCCTAAGTCATTTTTTCCCAAATATGTTATCTTAAAAACTTGGTTTATATATTCTTTGAACTTTTTTTATAAGTTCTTCATTGATTTCCGTTACTAATAGATCATCTATATATAATGAAACAATAATAAAATTGATATTATTATTTTTTTTTTATGTAAAGTATAGTTTTATTAACATTTTCTTCTTTTTTGGGTTATTCAATAAAAGTCCTCATCCAAAAGACCATTTAGAAAAACTGATTTAACATCGAGTTGATAAACTTTACCGTCTTTCTATGTAGTTATTGCAAACAATAATCTGATTATGTCCAACCTTGCAATATGGAAAAAAAAATGTAAAACAAAAAAATTTACACCAAAAATTTGAGCATATACTTTCACAATAAACCTAGTTTTATGCTTGTTTATTGAGCCATCGGGATTTAACATGGTACAATAATCCACTTGACTCTAGTCACTTTTCTGTTAGCTGGCCTTATCATCAATATGCATATATAGTTTTTATAAATCATCATGATTTTATTTTCCATTATAGAGCCCCATTTTGAATTATTTTTAACTT